AGGTCTGTTTCATATCGTCTTGGTGAGAAATTGTCTTCAACGAAAAATGCCGGGAAAATTACAAGGAGAAACATCTGCAGACATGCGACGAGAACATTCCAATCATATGCAGAAAGTCATATCAGTAAAGAAGCATCTTGAGCGAAAGTAATTCGTGCTAAAAATATACCGCTATTTGCCCAAGCCCTTGGTATTAAAACACCCAAGAGAACAGAAATGATGGGAAACAGTGGAACGCACGTGATGTACAGAGCTTTTTTCATACGCATTTTGAAAAATTGACAGAAGAGAAAAATTGGTGGCAATAACCAACACTTCTTTTTGTATGGAAATACTTTAAAAAAAGGAAAAGAAGATGGCTTAAAAAACACACCAGTTTATTGCTTTAAACGTATAACTTCCGAGTAGATCCACAAAACTCGTTTTACTTTTATGTTATATTGATGATTGATCATACCTGTTCACAAGTCTCAGTAATTTACATGGCATTAAACACCTGAGAAGCATAACATACCAATAGCAGAGATACAGACCATCAGCATCCAGTATGATAGTTCGTCCTGCTTCGATCCACCTCAGCAGCTCTTTCAAGACGGTATCATCCTTCTTGGTTTCCTGACTCATACGGTCAAATTTACCCTGAACGCTGTGGCCGAGTATTGAGACGATGTGCTTCGGTTCTTGGGGAGTGAGGCTTGTTCCAAGCCGGGGCCAGCAGGGGAAGTAATCTATAATGGTTTTGATGCCGCTGTCGTCATACGAAAGCAGTAATGCCAGACATAACCTGAAGAATATTGACTAGTTCGCCCTGCATGAATGGCTGAAACTGATCCGTGGAGCCTAAACTCTTTCCTATGTTGTATGAAGGAATAAGTTTGGCTTCCTTGGGGGGGGGGGTAATAGCTGTGAAACGCATCGAAGGCGCGCCTGTGCTCAGGATGTATTTTGTTTGATGTGTATTTTTTTTTCAAGAATGAGAGGTTAAGGATAAGATTGTTTGAGGCGAAAATGATATAACAACTGCTCAGGGAGGAGTGAGGGTGAATTACGATTTTTATTTACAATTCCGAATATCGGTTACAATGCAGCAAGATCCATTCAATTAACAACTGAGTGTGTAATAAGCTGTTAAATTGCATCACCAATTTCCATTTAATGAATGGCATTTTTCTTCAAGTGGAAAAATTATGTGGTTTACTCCAAGATAGACATGAGAGCAAGCATACAATTGTAATGTGCAAACACAATACACTGTCCTGCTGCTCATAATGCATGCAGCTATGCCCATTTTTCATGGCACTAAGCATCTATTCCAAAGTATGGAAACTGTTTGCTTTTATATGCAGGGTACCAGCTTAAAATGCTATGCAATATATTTGACTTGTGTGATTGGTACTCAGCTAATTTATGCTTAGCAACTCTTTTAACCCTTTGGCTCTTGTATAAAGTTGTATTACGTTGAATTTACACCTCCATGAATCAAATAAAACCACAGAGTGTTCGGGCGGTTGTTGGGCGGTATGAGGCAGGGCGGTTTGGGGCGGTACAAGGTTTAGAGGGGGAAATTGGCTCCTGGGCCCAGCTCTGCTAACTGTTAGCAAACAAATGGCTGCTTACTGTAGCAGAAAATTATGTGCTGATGGTAAGCATATTTCACATGTCAGTGATGAATTTTGGATTTATGTGCGTGCACATACATCCAAGGATGCTCTGTTTACAGGTTTAGCACAAAATATTTTTGTTTGAACTGAATGATGATCATAAGCGCAGAATTCTGTGGTTAGCAGAGCCGCGAAATTGGGCCCTATGACCAATTTCATGATATTGCTTAGCAGGAAGCAGAAACATTGTGCTAACTAAAGCAGAAAATTGTGCTAATCTTAAGCACTTTTTCATGAAGTGGATGTGTTCAATGGTTAAATTTCTATAGTTACATCACTAAGTAAGCAACTTTTTCCTCTGAAGTAAGCGTGCCTATTGTATGCTTACTGCTTATGATCTCCATGAAAAATCGATGGAGGCTCTGTTAGCAGAAAGTTCTGTGCTTAGCAGTGCTGTGATAATGGGACCTGGTCCCTTAGTTCGACTAGACAAGTCAAATCATTGTAGACTAGATTTTTTTTTATCCAAATGAGGCACTGCTGTAATTTTCAAAGAGGAACCATAGTTTGAGATCAATCTTGCTCTCTGTCATCGAATTGTTGGACTGGAATGTTTACTCAGCACTTAACAAAGTTCAGGCTTGGTTTTCTGACATACGTTACCTTGATGATGTTGGCGAAATGGATTTTCTACACACCATTGAATGGCTGAACGAATTAATGCAAATTGCAAAACAACAAGACCATTTAAGGAGCTGCCAAAAATGTCCAACTGATAGTTTAGTTTTCCTCCAGGCAGGATGATCTGGCCATCAAGTTGATTTTCTTTCTGTTGCAGGTCTGGTGCCCTTTTCAACTTCATCTGCAAATATTACTTTGATTTCTAAGATAGTCAGTATTTTTCCTCGGCCATGCTCACCAAAACCTGAAACAAATCAGTGATTTTGACACCAGTGATACAGTGCAGAACTTTGTTATTATTAATCTTATGCCATCTCTTTATTTACATGTAGAAGTCTCTGATATATATATTCCCTGATTCAGGTATTCAAATCTTAGTAAAATGTCATTTTTTGAATCATCAGCCTGGTCTTCTCAAACAAAAATAAGAATTCTTTTGATGAATAACATCTTTGTTCTGAGACTTCAATTCTTCAGACTCTCTGTTCATACTTGTACACATGGCTGCTTTCGTCTTCGGGTCATTCAGAGATTGGAAGAACCATTTGTGTTTGCTGGGCTCATATATAGGGCTAGCCTAGTGTACTCTTGGTACCTGTACTGACTGACGCACTCACTCACTGAATAACTGTCACCTGTGAGCCCGGCAGTGCTATTGTATAGGATTACCCCATAGCTCAACGAATGGTCCAAATCCGGCCCGTTGCGTAGACCAGAAACATGACAAGCCTTCCTGTGAACAGCAATTCCGAATCAATTGAATAGAATTGTGTGTGCTTTGGGACCCGCTTTACTAGGCTTTCACCAATCTCTTTTTTTTTTGGAGTATTAAATCATGTCACTTACATTTTTGCATCCAATTCCCATCTCTAAATCTCCCATCTCACCTCCCCTCCTCACCGCCAAGCATTGTTTTTCTGACAGTAATATTCACTTATTATACCCACTAGACTCTCTGTACAAACAATAGCTAACAGCAAACTAATACCATCACAAGCTTTTCTCATTTGGTTGTGGGCAAATTAATTATGTACCTTACACCACAGATCCACTACACAAGGATAAACAACTCATGTGAGCTTGTGTACAAAATGCAGGGAATGGATTTTCTACTTGCGCGATATGCCGCGTCAACGCATAGAACAACGCATAGAACAATGCGCGCGCGCCATGATCGCCGACAGCTGGCGTCCTAACAGAAATTTGACCACTGAACATGCTGGAAGACCGTAGTCACGTTTGGAGTCTCGCGCATGCACACGCAAGACACCCAGTGCAGTATCACGCATCTAACCGGAAATTCGGGGAAGTCGTTATCCTTGTGTAGAGGATCTGTGCATGCACCTTCCTCCTAACCATAGCCTTGGTCAATGCTCTCGTCGTTATTCGTCCCGTACGCGGTCAATCGTCGGCATATATCCTCACGCGCTATGCACATGCATGTAAAAATAAAGCGCGAACAGCGACCTCATGCGGCCACTATTTTTTTATGCAAATCAGTTGGGGATGATCGATTTGCATAAAAAAATAGTGGCCGCATGAGGTCGCTGTTCGCGCTGTATTTTTACATGCATGTGCATAGCGCGTGAGGATATATGCCGACGATTGACCGCGTACGGGACGAATAACGACGAGAGCATTGACCAAGGCTATCCTAACCAGAGATGCTCATTCTGTTGATTTTTGTGGGTTTTTTTTTGGGGGGGGGGTGTAATCTATGCCAGATTATCTGCTTTTTTAATATGATATTTTGTTAATTCCATTAAGAATTAGTGGAATGGAGTACCGAAGTGAATACGTCATGCGCGCAAAATGTGTGTGAAAGACATTAGCGCGTGATTCAGCCGGTGAACCAATACGCGCGCGTGCTCCATTCGTTTGCACTACGTTTTCTGGTTCTAAATGACGTCACACTTCGGTACTCTATACATGTACATGTCGGTCATTCTATAAATTTGTGGCCCATGGTTTTTCCTGTCCCTGTTACACCAGACATCTAAGATTTTGTAATTCTGATGCACTCCTTAATGCAGTCATCCTCCAAGAGTGATTATGAATAGCAAACTACCTACCCAACAAATAAAACAATCTTTTAAAGTCATTCTTAATGATACTTGAATGGCAAATTGCAAAGTACCAAGGTAACAGGGACAGGACAAATGTCACTCTTTAGACCCTAAATTTATGAAATGACCATATCCAAGCGTTCAGCTGGTTTTGTCTCATTAGCAATCTTGTGGCACTCGGTGCATGTTACAATTTGTTTTCCAAAATCAACTAATCTGTTATTCCTTATTACTGTTCCATTTATTGACAACAAATTCTGTTGAAACAAAAACATGTACAGGTGCCGATGAAAATGGCACCTCAGAAATAGAGGGGCCAAAATGGCATATTGAGTTTTTAATTTTAGGCAACTCGATGAATAATCCTATAGAATTTTTAAAAATGATGTAAATTGTTGCCATCAAAGGAAAAAAGGAATAGATAATTGCCACAAAGTCATGAGATTGAGTACAGATAAAGCCAGCAAATGCTGTTATTGCAGGAGTTAGATTTTGTTCATGCTCACAAAAATGTTCTTTTACAACATCAACTCTTGTTGACTTGCGGTTCTGACCAAATTTTTACTTCGTTGGTGAACCAGATACTTCATCAAGCAAGCGTTTTTGACAGGGTCGTACAATTGTTGATCTTTACTCTGATGACCGTTTACAGAGTCTGAAGGAGCTGGAAGAACAAACAAAAGAGAAAGAGCACGATCTGTTGCAGCAAAGAGAGGAGTTTGAACGAGAGAGACAGGCGGAGAGGGACCAGATTGAGACAGAGAGAGTGAAACTACAAGAACTTGAGAACCAGGAGAGGTCAGAGTCTTGTTTTGTGTCTCAGTTCAGAGTGGATTATTGTAGATAATTTTTAAAGGGGCCATGCAATGGGATTTTGTTTGGCACAATCCTCGAAAATGCACCTTTGTGTCCCATTAAACCTTATTTTCAACTTTCGTTTTTCCACTTTCAGGGGTGTTTTGTTGCCTTTTTTGTTTTTATGCCAATGCAAATTTCCATATTCATGAGCAAAACTGTGATGTCATTCCGGGCAGAAATCTAAAAAGTACAATAAAGAACTTTCCGTGAAATAGCTCAGCAAAAAAAGTTGCTGGAGTTTTGACTATTTTGCTGTCGTGAATTTGCTTTTGTTTGGTGATTTGTTGTTGTGTCAGTACATTGCAGTATTAAAACCAATGAGCAAACCTTTTTTTCACAAACGTTTTCAACGAACAAATTTTGGGTTCACAATTTGAACAGAAAACCTCCAAACTGAACAGTGTCTTCCTGAAATGACATCACATCAACAGTGCCCTCAGTGGTCCGGAAAAGCATGAACATTTTAAAAATGTTTACAGAAGTGCGCTTTTCAATAAAATTAACCAAAAAAGGGATGTCAAATAGTTTTCACATATTTAAGAGGAGTAGAAAGTTGCACAAAATGTGATCCTGAAAAAGAATTCATAGCATGGACCATTTAACACCTATAGATTCACACTATTTTCTCGTCTACTCGTGTTGAAGTCAACGTGGGTATGCTTTGAGTGAAACATGAGTCGGCAGTAGATTTTGGATTTTCTACCTGGGTAGAGCCTCTTAACGCTTGTCCTTGCCAGGGTTGGATTTTACCCGAGTGCTGGACCCGTGTGAAAGCCATGTTGGATTCTTGCTACAGGGTGAGTAAAAAAAAGCGGAACCCAAACACCAAAAGTTATATTTCATATTTAAACAAAAATGTAGCACCAAGAATAATAATGACTGGAAAGCCAATTTCATAAGCTACTGTTAGATGAAAAAATCCGTTCAAAGAATATCACCATTTAAACACAATGACCCTAAAACCTGTCTCGTCCAAAAAATGCGATTTCAAGAATCGTCGTCACAATTGCCTTCAAACATCATCAGCGATAAAATCTCAGTTTAAATGTTAGAAATATTCATCAAAGTCCTTTTGAAGGCCCGTCTTTTAAAAAAAGTAGATTTTATAAATCATAATTGTTTGCATAAACAGGGTTGTTAATAAAGATATTGTGTACTACAGTTGTTGATAGTTGTTGAGACAAGTATTCTGTGTCATTCTCTTTGTTGTTCCAAACAGTCAAAACACACAATAAATTGTTTTTTTTTTTAACGAGACAGGTTTTAGGGTCATTGCGTTTAACTGGTGATATTCTTTGAACAGATTGAGCAATTTCAATATTTTTTTTATCTAAAAGTAGCTTATGAAATTGGCTTTCCAGTCATTATTATTTTTGGTGCTACATATTTTTTTAAATATGAAATATATTTTTGGGGGTTTGGGTTCCGCTTTTTTTGACTCACCCTGTAGTGTAGAAAGGGTTTGCAAATTCTCTTCAGTGGTTGTGAATTCTGATGAAGAACAAGTTAAGTACTTTTTCAATGTTTGAGCATTTCACAGTGTGGGGTAGTGCAGCAATATGCAGTGATGGGGCATGATCACTGCCCAACTAGAGATTGTCAAAACACTTAACCAGTGTGCCCTCTGGCTTTAGATCACATGTGAACTGTATGAGTATATGAACACCAACTTCATGAAGTGGTTTTCAATATTTGGCAAAATCTTCGTTGACAGGATCAGCAAGCTGGTTGAGGAGACGGTCAAGAAGCGACTGTCGGAGGAGAGAAGCGAGCGAGACGAGCAGCTCCATCAGGACCATGAGCGAGATCGGCTGGAGAGAGAGAGGCAACTGGAGCAACTCAAGAGAGATCACCGGCAAGAGATGGAGCAGCTTAAGAAACAGATCAAAAACAGGTGGGAAGACAAGTGTATGAGTCCGTAGCTAGTCTGAATACAGCCTCAGAATCATTGCACTGATGGTTGATTTCGAGTCTAAGACACTGGTGTAGTCAAGTCCCTCACAAGTCCAGTCACAAGTCCAGTCACAGTGGATGTAACCGTTGATGAACAACAACAAAGGAATGCCTTTGTCATAGTTCAGTTTAATAGCTTGTGAGTTGAATTGGGACTGGAGGACTAGTGATGGACTTGTGATGGACTTGCAGGGACTTGTGATGAACTCGACTACAGAATTGGTCTGAGACCAGCCAGCAAGAATTTGATGTCATGAAACATTAGCTGCAAAAATTGCCGAAGTTGCAATGTGCTCAACTTTTCGGAAATCTCAGTGGGAAAACCTGCCGCGACGTCACAAATTCGCGTTCGCATAAATTTGCTATGAACTATGTATGAACTGGCCTTAACTGCTTGTATTTGTTTCAGCAGGAGTGATTCCTATGGGGCTGTGTCACTGCAAGGGAATGGGAACGTCAACTCACCACCAAAGAGAAGATACTCCTTTGTAAGTACTTGGAGTTTTCCCTTTTGTTTAATTCCGATGATAAACTTGAGAAATTGATCAGTATTGGGTTTAGTAGGACAAATAATGTTGAATGTGTATAAATGAGCGAAATTCTTTCACGGACATGATAGGAAATGAAAGAAAATAAAGGGATCCTAATGAGAAGTGTAGTAGTACCCGTGTTGGCTCCTAAACTCCCATTTGTGCAACAGCTGTGATCACAGGTCAGGTTGGTAGTGGTACCATACCAAAACTTCCACACACAGAAATGTAAACTGTGCACTTTTTGGTACATTCTTGGAGGCTGACTAAAAATGGTATAATGATACGTAGAAGTCTGACTGCCACTTCTCCTTAAATTATGTTTGTGTATTATGAAACATCCGTTGTGACCCCCAAAGTTAAGCTACACTTACTTGACCTTAATTATTACTGGTGGATTGGAAGATGTTTCAGGCATGCAACTGTTCCTCAGATCTGCTGATTTCCTCGTTTTTCACTTCTCATGAATGGCATTACAAATTGAAAAACCACTATAAAAAGTCTTGTTTGGTTTGGAATTTCCTGGCTTTTCTAAAGTCCCTGTTGCATGCCTGATGTTTGTTGCAGCGACTTCTTCCCAAACTCGGAAATGATATCTTAAAGGCGTATAGCATCATTTGCATAATTTTTTCAAAAAAAGTAACCTACCAAATTATTATAAAAAACTTACATGGATTAAATATCGTCCTGATACTAAACACTCCATGAAATTATTCCATCTGGCCTTGCTGTCATTTTAAGAAATCAAGAAATGTAGGTGATTTTCAATGATCAATGGACGGATTTTTTGGAAATAAGGAGTGTTATTGTTTGTGCATGGCCATGTTCACTTTTTTTTTTCAAAAAGTGTAATATCTACTGAGCTGAAATTTCAACAGGTTATAAGATGGAATTTCTTTTTTCTTTGCGTCGGGGTGATATAAATCAAATTAAGTTTTGCCCTTCACCGACGTTTAAATACTGTATACTCAGTGTGTTACCTCCCGAGTGAAAGTTGGAAACAAAAATCACTCTGCACTAGAAAGCAGGAGGTCATGGGTTCGAATCCCACACGAGTGATTTTTCCAGCTTTCACTCGGGAGGTAACACACCGAGTATACAGTGTTTAAACGTCGGTGAAGGGCAAAACCTAATTTGATTCAACAGGTTAGGTTTTCTTCTTTGGATTTTGAGTGGTGTTATTATTGGGAACAAACAAAATGCATGAAAAGCAAATGATCCTATATGCCTTTCGTTATTCGTATGATTGTTTTATTTTATTTTATTTTTTTGGCAGTCCTCACCTATCACACCACACACAGAGGTGCTGCAAGACCCAATTATTATCAGCATTCTGGGACACATGTTACGGGGCCACGGCTGGGATGCCCACTATGTCTTTGAAGTACAGGTAGGTACCAGCTCAAAACTCTCCTTGTACATTTATGTAAGTATCCATGTTACGGGGCCACTGGGGTGGTTTTTGATACGTCATACCAGCTAAGGCAGATTATTCAGAATAACTTGTAAAAATGAATATATTGTTTTATCTTCTTCCCTGTGTATGTTATTTTTTTGAGTTGCATTCTGAAAAAAGTAGATTTTCTTCTTAAATTGCTATTTTTTCTGGCAGTACAAAAGTTGTTCACTTTTGAATGAGGCATTAACAGAAAAAAAAGCCAATGTTGAGTTATGGAATAATTTTTCAACAAATTGTAATTATTTCCATCTTGGCAATAATTCAATTCTCGCATGGTAAACTTGTTCCTGCCTCCTTATCAAAACTCATAATGAAGGGACTGGGAACCGGTCTACTCGGCCCATCTCTTTCTGCACAAAAGCAACCCAAAATAAATGCTTCTGGTTGCAGCTGCCCAAAATAGAAAAAAAAGGTGGTTTTTTTTCGTGAAAATAAAACATAAAAGTTGAAAATGTGTCATCAGAAAAAAAAAATTAATTTATTGAAGAGTGCAGAGAGTACATCTTTAATTTCCTGGCCAGGCCTGAACTAGTGTTGGGAAACTTGCAGCATTGGGGGCGTGATCATTTATGTAAATCAGGCTGTAAATATTAACGTCTTTGAACAAAACGGTGGCTTCCTATTTGATACCGGTAGTCACGAGCTCGCGCGGGGGCATCACTGCGTTGCATATCTAATTAGCGATGCTTGATCACCACATGTAGCGCATATGTTTACAACCGTCATGCGAGCGCGCGCGTCTGACTGTAAACCATTTCACGACCGCTGATTGGTTCCCTAGGAAAGCCTAGGGAGAAAATAAAGGAAAATTACATGGGTACTACAGGATTCCCAAGATGCTAGTGTGAGCAGGCGCGCTAGTGTACAAGCACTAAATTCACTGTGTGGACTTCCAAACAAAAGATGTCCACATAAACCAGGTAGCAGCGACGTTGTGTGGACTTGCCCACGTCCACACAAGGGTTTCCTCTCTCTGGAAAACAGGTTTAGAGGCATTTTTGGGTTAGTTTTATTCATGGCAAAATGAAGAGAAACACTAAAGGGATTCATAGAAAAAATAGTGGGTTGAAAGTGTTTTCACAGTGTGAGTAAAATGAGTTTTTAAGAGGTTTTTCTTAATTACATAAAAACAAAGGAATGTCTACACTAGGTATGTACTAACGATCCACTGTCATTCACTAGTGTCCTGGGCCAAAACTAGGCCTGAACCAAAAACTGTCAAAGTCCTTCCATCTTACAAGCTTTTAAAATGAAGTACAAGAACGTCGTTGCTTTTTTAAGGTTCAAGCCTTGTTACTTGTGACCTTTACTTGTGAATGACTTGTGATTTGACTTGGTTTGGATATTTGTGATTTGAATTGAGACTGGATTGGACTTCATTTTTGTTATATTCATGTATTCATATATTCATGTATTTAAGTATTCATATATTCATGTATTCATATGTCAACAGATACAGGTACTGGATGAGAGGTGGCAGGTCTACCGGCGCTACTCCAAGTTCAGGGAGCTCCACGACTACATGAAACGCAAAATGCCTGCAGTAAGTGCACATCTGTATTACTAGACCTAACAATGAGCTCAATGTCATCTGCTTCTCAACATTTAATTTAAATATCACTGGGTCCCAAAGACAAGTAATAGACATGATCCATAATATTTTCTTTGAGCTACAGAGTCCTAAAAGTGCTACTCTTCAACAGCACAGTCAGCACCCGGCAGTTATAGACAAAAGAAAAAAACAAATGCATTTAGGAGCCTTCTTAAAAAATTATTTCTCGCACAAAAGCAAAAATGTCCACAATTTTTTTTTTTAAACTGTCAGTGCAAAAGAAAAATAGAATTTCCCCCCAATATTACATGGCAAATATGACGGCCGTTCTGTGATCATCTTTTGTGAGTCTCTCCCATTGTCAACAGGCCTGCTTGTCCCAAAATGAGACTTTTTTAATTTTAATTTCACCACAAGTTTAATGAATATAGGCATTTGGGCCATATAGACCTGTTGTGAGTGACAACAGTAATTTGTGTGCCTGTCTGTCTACACCTGCTTTGCCAATTTAAGTCAGTCTGGCGACAGGGATCAAAGTCCTGTCAGTGATAGATACATGGAGTACAGATACAATTCGTGTACCTTTTGAAAAGGCCATTTCACTAATGACCAGATAGACCTTACCTGAGCCACAAACATCTTTTTGCCTTCTTATAACATGCAAGCTACGGGGTGAAGTGGTGTTTACCACTGTGGGGTGCATTTTGATTGATATCATGCCATGTTGTTTTGTTGATATGTTTTGCAAATAGCCTTAAAGGGCCACTATGACCTGAAATTCCCGAAAATTTCATGTTTTGGATTGTTTACTTTCCTATTTCAAACATCTGGTTGAAAGGAAACCAACCCAATGTCTTACCTTTTCCCGAGAAAAGAAAAGAAAAAACCCGGTTGTTTACATCGGCCATAACGGTGTACGAATACGTTTTTCCTGTCGTTTTCAGTCAATGTGCGATATACGCTGTGTGTGTCGATTGTAACACACGAGCACCGTGCACGCGAACAGCGGTGACCAATCACCAATGCACAAAATGTGGTTTCTTACACATCCGCAAAAGGTGAACACTTTATGGATGAAATCACAACTAGCACCCAAAGCAGTTCAACTTTTTGTCTCGCAAAAGTGGACCCAAATAACACAAAAACGTCCAGTTTTTGAAGAATAGTTGTGTGGATGTTTATATCCTACTTTAAAAAAAAAAAATTCTTTCTGATTAACATCATTTCGTTCAAAGCGCATTTTGTAGCCCAATTGGGGTGTGCCAGGATGCAGTATCCCTTTAAAAGCCCTCAGGGTTATTTGCACATAAGAATCTGGGAACCTACCAACCAAACTATTTAGAGATCTTTCCTCAAAGTAGGTGTATGTAACTATAGAACTGATACCAAACACGCTGCGGTAATAATCCGGATTGATAAACTTTTATGAACTGAGGCTTATAAGGTTGCAGACCAGTAAATAGAATGGCATAGACTTCAGAGATAACTACGTGCACTTCAAGGTGTGTGAGACACACATCAACTTAAAGCTTATTTCATCATCTTTCATTTTCTGTTCAATTTTTGGGGGGTTAGCCAATGACTTTTGGAAGAAAATTCCATCCAAAGATGCTCACCCCTACACGCAGTCCTGAAGCCCATCACCATTTTGAAAAAGAGCCATTTAAGGGCTTAATTTCATTACAAATGTCACAGAAATACGAGCTTGCTGTCCTCTGCATGGCTTGCACCCTTCTTTTTTACAAACCCTCAAGTTCATGGCCCTCACAATGCTCCTGATGACGAGCAGAGCACATTGTTCGAAACGTCGAGTTAAACCAACCGGTTCTTCTCAGAACCACACAACTCACTAAGAGTTATCATTCACATGGTGTTACCCAAACCTCCAATTCAGTGCTCTAATACCTCAGAATGTGAGGGCATGCAAATCGTGATTTGCCTATTAACTGGCCTGCACCCATAATGAAGAGGGGGGGGGGGTGTTCCAGTGGAGAATCCAGGTTTTTCTGAAGTGGGTGGGTTGGTTGGGGTGTTAAAGTTCAAGATTTTTCAGGGATGGGAGAGTGGTAGAGGGGGGGAGTGGGGATGGGGCGTTGAAGTCAGTGACTGAAAGACACAAAAAGCCTGAAGCAATCTGTCTGTCTATTGAGGTTTGCAGTATAGAGTGATGACATATACATATACATTTTTATAAATTTTTTGAAGTGTGTGTTTGAAATGATCGCTTGATTTTCCTGCAGATCGGCCTGTTGAACTTTCCTCCTAAGAGGCTGTTCACCAACTGGTCTGAGAAGGCCATCACCAAGCGCAGGGCAGACCTTGAGGTAAGATTCATATAACCTCTGCATTTTCAATCTTAATCTCAATTCTGTCTTATGAATTTGGATCTATGCATTGTTGAACCCCATGCATAAACACTCGAGGGCACCTTGTGAACAATCCTAAGGATGCAGCTCCCGATTTCATGAAACTCTTCGTAACTTACGATGCATCGCAGCGCTGCGACGCGTCGTATCTCTACGATGCGTCGCAGCTGCGACGTGTCCTGCGATCCATTTCACAAAATACGTCGTAAGTGCAACGCGTTGTAGATGTATTTAAAGCATAACTCGGTGACTGTTTTATGTATTTAGTCAGCGTACAGTAAATAATCCTCTGATATTCAACAAAGAATTGTCGGATCTCAGCTCGAAATTTGTTAAAACAAAATGGCGGCCGTGCGATGCAATTTTGAAGGAAAACAAGCTGTCAGTGGACTGTATAGCTATTTTAAAATTTGAACTGCAATAATTCCAGTCTAATTCATAATTATTCAACGAAATTTCTATTTACAACTTTACACACATTGCCTCTGTATTATAATCTCGTTTGGGTGATGTTTATGGCATAAAACTGGCTAAGAAAAGGACTCTTCTTATTTTGCGATGACCACCAGACACATCGTAACTTACGCGTTCAACTCATCCCATGTTTCGTGAAATGGATGATACGATGCGTCGCGAGTTGCGACATGTTACACCTCGTAACTCGAGTTGTGACGCGTTGCAGCGCTTCGTGAAATCGGGTGCAGACCAGTAAATAAATTCCCTTAGACACACATGATAACTACCCCTGCCTAAAAAATCAGGACAAATACACCCAACTCTCCAGGGTCTTCAAAACAAGTATCAAATGAAATAGGGTTGCTAAAATAGGGAAAAGATATCTTTCTTGTTTACAAAGACGACATTTTAATTATTATACAAAACACATTCTAAAGATTCCACAAAATTCAAATGAAATTCAACCACGGTATAACAAAACAATGACATAATTTGTTACAGTGTAGGAGAAGTTGATTGTGCCATGCGTCCTCAATATGTTAAAACAAAAAATTGTCACAAATCTTAGAAGAAAATAGATCACATCATTGCAGTGTCACCTTAATTCTTGCAAGGTTTTCTGCTGGTCATTCAAAGAATGCTCTTACACGGAGTTGCGGGGCACACACTTAGACTGTTAATCATTAATCTTTGAATGATGTTGTTGGCTATTAATGCACTAACCAGTGCAGAATTGATGTTGATTGTTCTGTGATTGTGTGCTTGCCCTGCTTGTCTTGTATGTCCGTTCCATCTTTTGTCACGTCTTAATTTGTTTGTTTCAGGTCTACTCTCTGATATTGTTGGGCTTTTAACAGATTGACCCTCAAGTCGGTTGGTTGGATGTTGATCGAGTTATTTTGTTAATGCATGTTGCTTTTTGGCTTTTTCGGCACATTGCCGAAACAGCCTTTGTTTTCGTTAAGATTTTTTTGTTGTTGTCATTTTGCCCATAGCATTTCTACACGTTTTTTGGGGCACTTTGGGCATTAAAATCAATACCATTGCCTTTTTTTACCTGGCACACACTTAGACGAGCACCCACAGATGTGTGCTGAACATTGACATCATCACGTGTCACGTGACGTCACAATAAGCGTGCATATTTTGAAGGCCTATATCTCCAGAACTATAGGTCCGATTGGATTGAAACTTGCTATGTACCGGGTACCTAGACCATGATGTGTTATGGATGAAAATTGAAGCGACTTCATCATGACGTCATCACGTGCCACGTGACATCACATTAAAAGTGCATTTTTCTATTGCCAGTATCGGCAGTTCAATTGGTCTGATAAGGTATGTACCTAAGCCGGGATGTGTTATAGTTGAAAAGTGAAGTGATGCCATGATGACGTCATCAAATGAAATATTACGTCATCTTAAAGGTTAATATTTATAAGCCTATATCTACGGACTATTGGCACTACTATGCGACTTTCTACTGATCTATGTCCCATCAGTCTACAACATAACATAGAAATACAACAAATTGCCGAAACAGCTATGTGTTTGTCCACAAACATAAATCTAGTTGTCAAATTGTGTTTTGCAGTTACATTTTGGGGCTTTTCCCGTCACTGTTACATGTGATGATTTTATACTTCGGATGCACTCCTCAATTCAATCGTCCTCCAAGAGTAATCATGAATAGCAAAATACCTACCCTACAAATAAAAAATCATTTGAAGTTCATTCTTAATGATACTTCAATTACAAACTTAAAGAAGGCCAAATAAAAAAAAAACAGACAAAGATGTTGAGCGTCCTGCCTTTTAAAAAAAAAAGGAACGACCACCTTTGTTTCCCCCAAAATGGCCGCCCAACCCATTTTCCAAATGACCGGCCGGGCTATTATTTAAGACGGCCGCCAGCTTTTTTTTGTTTGAAATGGCCGCCACTTGGACTCAGGAAATGACATACCAGCTTTTTGAGTCTAAAAGTACGACCCTTTTTTCCCCTCGAAAAAGATCATTAAATATATCATTTTTTCGGGCTTTTGTTTTTCAATTAAAAAAAAGGAGACGACCTCCAAAAAGGAAGCGGGCGGGGATGCTTAACATAATTTTTTTTATATTTTGCCTAACAGGGATACAGAAAAAATAGACTTTTGCCCTGTTTTCTTTTTTTCTTCTTTACTTCTTCTTCTCTTTTCTTTATCTGTCTAGTTGTCTTGTCTTAATGTCTGCTCTCATTTCCCTTTCCGTTTAGCATTTTTCTAAATTTTCGATAATTTTGTTTAAACTGTCATTTTGATCTTAGTAAACAAACATGTACTTTGATATGTATTGTAATTTGCAAATGTATGCCTGATATTACATGTATCCTATGCATTAATAAATGAATTATTAAATGTAATTACAAAAAGATACACTAGATGTTAAAGCTATGATGAAATTGCACATTTTTTTTCTGACTACTATGGTGCATGTATTAACAAAATAAAACGAAATTATTTTAAATTTAAGCACTGAAATTGCTATTCTGTTTTAAACCACATGTATAATGCAAAAGAAAATTGTTTAATCTTCAAATATTTAAAATCTATTTAAAAAAAACATGATGATGTCAGAAAAAAACGAAGATCAGAACAAAAACAAATGATTTTCTAAAAAATGGAGGCTTTTTTGAAAAGCCAATTGTAACTTAGGCCAAAAAGGGAATATTATGGAATACACATTTTATAACAATTTGTCCCCTCAAAATCAGTTTTGTCTTCGTTTTAGTGTAAAAATATATCTTCTTTGAAAAATAAATTCAACCAACTTTTGGGGCATTTTACTATTGTTCATGTCGGGTGTATCATCAAGTTTCCAAGCTTTGCAGTGTTTGTCCAAACTCCTTGTAAGCCTCCCTTGAATTGTGACTAAAATCGTCTCAGAGGCAGAGGGGAAACTAGAGCCAAGTTTTACTGTGATACCACACCCAAAGAACGTGTGCACAACAACTGAGTAACAACTTTCCTGTTTTGTATATTCTCATTATCCGCTTTAAATAGAAATTTATAACTAGCATCTCCCTGATGATGCACTCAAAAATAGAATACAAATCATACAAGGCACGGGTACATTTATCTTTCCAAGCAACAATTACAATGAGAATTGATTTCTTTCCAAACCTCTTTGATTTGGTACCGGTATCAATCAAAGAAATATGTTACCAGTCACAACGGTTTGCGAGGCAAATGTTTAATAGCGACAGCATGATGATACCATGCTTTGCAGGGTTTGGCGTAGCTCCCGGTTCCTCCAGTAATAAATGATTACATTCAGCCAGCAGTTGGTAAAGAAGCCAGTTTGTGCCACTGTAAGCCAATTATGAGATATTTGTATGTCGATGGCAAATAACAGTAGTGCAACAAATGCAGGGGTCCAGCAGATGAACACTGCGCCAGTTATCAGGAACACGGTCGTGGCAGACTTGGTGCCGATTGGCCGCCGAGTGTTCTGTTCGTCCAGAGAGTTCCCGACAGGATATTGAGCAGCGATGCGCCGGGCCTGGCGTCGGGCAACTATGAGAATGCGGACATAAACTATTAGGATGATCCCAGTTGAAAGGGCAAATATACAGTAGTAGGCAAAGAAGCACATCCTGCAAGGGAAGACGCAAAGACCTGTGTCGTCTACTTCACTTTTCATCAGTATCCCAAACCAGATGATATACACCATGAAAGTTGCCGCCCACACAGAACCGATCATGACTTTTGCCACCCTTGGTGTCATCAAACTTGGGTAGCGCAGCGGATGGATGATGGCGATATAACGATCAACCGTTAAAAGGATGAGAGAAAGGCAACTCAGAGTATAAAACGTCGGGATCACGATGCCTGATACTGTACAAAGAAAACCTCCCAACACCCATGTGTAATGATATATTAAATCAAGCAACAGTGGTAGTGCAACAAAAATCCCGGTGCAGAGATCAGAAGTGGTTAGCGAAGCCATAAACAACTTGGTCGTCTCCTGAATGCCGCTGGCACGGTGCAGAACAAGAAGGCAAAGTGGGTTGAGAACGACGATCAGAAGGATCGTCAGAGCCAAGAAAACGCTGCCTATAATAACAAGCCACTCTGTAGAATCCACTGTTGGCGTTTCAGTGGTCCATCCGAGTGTCTCATTAACGGGAGAGTTCATATTTGTCACGTTCATCTCCTACCAAATGCTAGTCTGTTTAATGACACTCTTCGTAGGTTGGGCAGTGGGGATGCACGAGTGTTATCATCTGTGTATGCCAGCAAAAGTCGTCACTGTAGTCGTTTACTGTAGATGGAAAGGTTGGTTATTAAACCAAGCAAATACCACACAAAAAGGGTTGTATTAATCAAAACTAGCATTGCTGGGAAGTTGCAGCAAATAGAAAGAGTATTTTACTTTGGAGTAAAGCAAATACTTGTATCCATGTGAATCAATGTTTTCTTTTACTCTGAAACGTTCACTGGACTGGTAGAGTTGAAACTGCTTCATACTGCTGGATTTAAAAAAAAAATAGTTTCTCTTTTGTGCAAGGAAGAAACACACAAAGGCGGCTACATGAAATGATTCAATTGTAATTAGAAATCAGAATGTCAGAATTGTGGTTTTTAAATAAGAATATAATATGCATGGATACCAAACGACCTGGGAATTAGCTTTCGACCCCTCGAGTAATAATTCATTCTAGGCTATACGTGGTATGCATTCATGGATTCAGACACATGAACCATACCGAGCGAGACACGTATTGCATAAGTGCCAGGTGTAAATATATACATCCTACTGATTCTTAGCCAATCAGAGTGTTCTGTCCAATTTGGTAGCAATTCTCATACGTTGTCCAAAAAGCTGAAAACAGATTATTCAAGTCTGTGATTGGAATCAAAGCACATGCATCTTGTGGTCGAGGATGTACATCATATCCCTGCACACTGGAACGGTATGCTGTATGTCTTAATATCCTCCCGGCGCAATGCGGTGCATGCGTGCGTCAATAAAACCTTCCAATTACCGACTTGATTCAAGTCTATGATGAAGAAAATTTGTCTGCAGTCATGTAATGCAACCAAGTAATTTTGTTAAAGCTGAAACTCGAGGTTAAATGATATTAAAGAAAAACACACTGCTCAGTTTCAATCCTAGGTAGGGGCTAGTTCACATTTTGTTTATTGCATAAATACAAGAAAGGAGGATTTAGCATGTGAAAGATCTGGAAAGCATTACCTTGTAATTCCAATCAGAGAGATGTAGGAGACAAAAGAGAAACTATTGTCACAAATCATTTGGCTGCGCACTCATAGCCCAACAGCATGAGGCAGTTGCTACCGCGCTGAATGTTTCACTGTAAAGGAAAAAAGTTTGAGATAGATTGATGCATGTTTTTTTTCCGTTAATGTTTTTACTCCAAACGAAATGCTTTTGCCCAATACATGTATTACCCAATGGGCCTGATTTAGCCCATTCATTGGTGCTACAGGGTAATCCTATACGATAGCACTGCCCAGCTTCCTTCAACAGTGTACAACCAGTCTGAGTCACAAATGACGGTCAGTCAGTCGACTGATCGGTCGGTTGGTTGGTCGATCACACCCAGAAATATCTTACAAAGTAAATTTTAAACAGGTTAGCCTAATTAAAAAGGAAACAAACAGGTGAACAAAATGTTCCAGGTTATACATAAAATCATAGTTTTTTCTGTTTGTAAATAACAAAATGTGTCTAATTCTCACATCAATCATTTTATATGAAAAAAAATCTATTTTACTTTTCATTAGGCCAAAAAAAAGAAGTCTTCGGTTTCTGGTATGCGCGCGCGTCGCCGTAGCCATGCGCGTCGGCAAAATGAAAATTTTTTTTTTTCAATGAAAGATGATGTCTCAAAACGCCAAACTCACTGGTTAGACTGGAATCCTGCTGCTGCACAATTTTAACGTGTTTTTAGATGGGGTTATGGTCGAGAATAAGCTTTATGTGGCCTCTCTGGACTCCCATATATTTGCTCTAAGTTTAGTCGGACACCATTTGCAGTCATCAGCCGACATTTGAAGCAAAAAAAACAGGTAAAAAAAAAAAAAAAGCCGCGTCGCCGCACCACTTTTTGGGCAAGCTCCATACCAGAAACCGGAGACTTTTTTTTTTGGCCTTACATTGCTTTTTTTCTCGCTTGTTTGTATGGTTGAGTTAAATGATAACTCTTCAAGTAACACATTGATAACATTTCATTAAAGCAGCTATTTCTAAATATTTCTGTACAGCACCATAGTACATTTCCCAGATCTTTTAAACCCTAAATTCTCCTTTCTTCTATTTATGCAATACAAAAACAAATTTGCTGACATCTTGCATAAATGTGATTGGAAATTAAGTATCTATTTCCAGTTGTACATTACAGACATACTTTTTCTCTTGTGCTGATAACATTTCATAAATGCAGCCATTTTTTTTGCACAGAAATAGTTGCCTCCCCTTTTTTCAAATATGCGTACCCAACCTTGAAATGTGACCAGTATCTACTTCAAATCTGAATCATTCACTCTTTTTAACTCCAAAAAAATTAAAGCAAATGCAAATATTTTAGCACTAAGTAAAAGCATTTGCTCCATATTTTATCATGATTCACAAAGATGCAGTTGCTTTTGAACAAAATGATGTAAAAGCAGTATGCTAGTTCGTTATTCGTACAGCCCAATAACAAAAGCTCCATTTACAATCTCACTAGCAACCACAGTCGGCTTGGCGATCTACCAATTGTCATGGTCTTCCATGCAGGAGGATAACTCGTTATCTTTATCAAGCCCCGTGTTTCTCTGAAGCACACTACAAAGCTGATTTCTCTGCCTTACCTTGTCAATAAGTGCCGTGTATAATGGTTCCCAAACCACAAGCCAGCTCACAGTGATTTTGCACTGAAGATGAGAGCACTCCTCTAAAAACAGTCTCCGTAAGGCAAACTCATCTCCGTAGAACACTGAACAAAGGCCAACTCAATTTTGCGTATCTAACTACCCGTTAATTGTATGATAAAACCAATTATATAACTGACAAACAGATCCTTGTCATTTGATTGGTGAAACTCACATCACGTGACATTGGTTATTGCTCCCATTCACGCCAGGGCTCAAAAAGTCCCATTCGCCCATGGGGAATGGGAAATACTGTTCAACAGTTACAATCATTCTTGTTCCATTACGCGGTATTTGTGTGCAAATGCATGCTAGTATGCGCGTTCAGCGTTGCGCGTAGCGCGTATTGTTCCAAAGAGCCAGCACTACAGAGTTGGGTTCAAACATTTTCGTGAAGGGGTGGTTTGAAAGAGAGAAATACATTTTCCACCAATTTTGTATTGAAATAAAAGTTCAAATATATCAAATGACAAAGATCTATATGTCAGTTATATAAAACAAATATTGAGTGGCTTTAAATTGTGAAATGGGAGGAATATTATCGCTTGGTAAAAAACTGGACTTTTCCAGTTCACTCGGCTTCGCCTCGTGAAATGGAAAAGTCCAGATTTTACCTTGCGATAATATTCCTCCCATTTCACTCTAAGCCACCCAATACTTGTATATTAAACTTGCTGTCCAAAGAGGGAGGCTGGCACGTTTCCTGCCATTTCAGGAAAAGCCCTGCCGATATTTTTAATCAGTGATGTCAGGCAGTTGAGTGATGGGCTTAATATAAGGGAACAGAATTGACCAAAAGGAGGATCCTTGGATCTGACAGGATAGATTTTTTTTGATGGCATTAGCGTTATTTACTTTTGGGGGGGGGGGATTGTTTTGTCATTTATCAATCAATTAATTTTCTGGGAAGTTGACCTGTTTGGAGTATCAACAACTTTCATGCATTATAAGATCCACCTTTCCCCCATTTGTTTGTTTAAACTTTAATGGTCAAGGTTTTTATTGACACACAGGTATGAGGAGGGCAGACCAGTGCATGTCAGAGCTTTTCATGTCTATCAGGAAAGTTGCAATGATTCAATTCATTTCATATGTTTTTTTTTCACTTATTGGACAACAACACATGCCCCTCTCTAATGGTATTGAATGCTCCAGACCTGCACATCATATGCAAGAGCACGCATGTCGGGCTTCAATCACAGTCAAGGCTGTGATTGTTCAAATTGTCTCACTATGGAGCTCCTCTCCTGTATGTTGTTTTCACAGTTGATCTTGATCTGTCCCAGTTTAAGCATTCTACTTGGAAGTATTTTTCCTTTTTAATATATTTTCTTTTCTATTCCTACTTTGTGTTGCCCTCACCTTGAGCGGCCCTTTATACAGTTCGCGTCGGAGGACGTGATAACAGGAACTGACTGGTTTTTATACACAGGCACAGCTGATGGGTTAAAACGTCAAGATTGCCTCGACTTGCCTCCTGCTGACGTCTGAGCATGCTAATCCCTCGTGTCTTTTGTACACACACAGAAAGTCCGTGAAGTCTATAGAGGTGGACCGTGTGTTGATCTTGAATTGGCCGTTGTGCACATCCTATTGTTCTACAATTTACGCTCCAGTGCACACATTCGGAGTGTTGAAACATATGAGGTTGCGGGAAGAAATATCGTACAAATACTGTTGAAATGACTCTTGTGAATCAGTATATGTGGCGTTTGGCTGTATACCAAAAGTTGGCTGGAAAAATTGTCAGCAAAAATAATACTGGCGTGAAGTGGTTTTTTAAACAGGACCTTGAGGTAGGCAACTCTCTTAAAGCAAAAATGGGATCTTGTTGATGTTTTATTTTCATTTTGTTCTTCTCGTCTTTCAGGTCTATTTGAGGAACTTCATCTCAATGTGCATGAAGGTTCCATCCTGTCCCCTGGCCCCTGGACCTGACCGAGTCCTCTCCAAACAGACACTCTGCGACTTTGCCATGTTCTTCCGCAAAGGAGCCTTTGAGACGACCAAATATGGAACAGGATGATGCAACCATGGTGACAAGATAGACTTCATGCGTTCAGTCGAGTCAGAGGGCAGTGGTTTTGTATCGCTGGGGTATTAAACCAGGTGTACATTTATTGTAAGTAAAAAGAAAAATGGAACCGCGCCCTCTGTGATCCATGCAATGCATAAGGTCCAAGTGGTGTTGACCTTGACTCTCATTGTGATATTTTTACCGTATACCCTCACAAATCGTTTAAAATCCACAAAGAAGGTTGTGTAGGATTTACCAGGATTTGAAAAAGATGGATCCCATTAACAGTTTGTTTTAGTAAGGTGTGATCACCATTGAAAATACAGAGAATGTGCCATTTTTTTTTGCCCCTGTGACATTATGTTCCTTAATGTGCATACTAGGACCTAGGGGCTTATAAATCTTGCAGTACTAGAAATTTGGTGAGGTACAGAGTGCTTTATTTTGCCTCAGCTTCACCTCGGGAAAATTGAATACTCCACAAAGTACATTGGGAGGCTAGCTGTACTACATCCCTCAAAGTAGTCAATATTTGTATACATTGTTGCTCAAAGCAGGCAATATTTGAATACTATATCACTCAAAAGCAGTCAATATTTGAATACTTTTATAGCACTCAAAAGCAGTCAATATTTGCGTATCTCTACCCCGGAATAAGTTAATTATTTCATCCCGGACTATATTTATATTATTGAATGACTCTATTTCCCATGGAATGCATACCGGTACCATTCCATTGCAGGTAGACGACTGCTAACTGAATGCCACTTAATTTCCAAGATCAAGTAACGTTACATGTACATTCCTTCTTCGTTCCTTCAGTACTCAACTCAAATATAATAAAAATGAAGTACAGGTTTACGTTGTTCCTTGATATTAAAATCATTAACTCTGAGTTACTTAGTAGATGGTGAAAGTCCAAACCCTGCTCCAGTCAATTTTTTTTTTCAACTTTATAAAAATGATAATTAAAGAGCTTAGTGTTTCCGTCTGAGGTTTATTTCAAGATAATTTTGTCAAACTTAGCAAATAACCTTATTTGTGTGTGTGCTTGGGAAAAAAGTACCCTCAGATAATTTAAAAACAATTAGCATAATGGTATGAGGATAGAAAGGATAGTTTTGTGTATCAAATATTGGTAAAAGGATACCATAGCATATAATACTGTTATGATCAGAGATAGATATCTTTGGATTATTTTTAAAGCATTATTTGTGCTTAAAAAAAAACTGTTTTAAAGTTATCCTAATAGCGTGCAAAACTATTTGTGAAATGATTCAGTGCAATATATTCAATAATGAATATAACTAGAGCTTATACAGATTTCTAAGGGAGTACATTCTTTGAATTCGCTTTATTCCATTACCAGCAAATTTAGCAAAATAATAAAGAAACAGCGGGGAACCAGTCAAAAGCAACATCCATTGAATTACACCTTGGCTGGTAACCTGTTAAGCGAATAGGTCTTTTGCGAGGTCTCATTCCAAAACCGGTCAACTTTTCCCTGTCTTTAAATTTTGTCATGTGTTGTTTTTATTTTAAAAGCTTTGACCTTTTAAAAAATTGCCATGTCCTCTTCTTAATACAATTCCTTGCCCTTTATTAGTTGATTTGTTAACCTTATTTTATTTTAAATTAACTTTATCATGCTATCAAAAACTTTAAATAACAATTATAAATATATACGTTGTCTCGTCCATTTTTTGTAGAACAAATTCCAATCCTGTCTTCTGTATGTTTTGTGATTTTTATGTGTGACTTAATCTTATTTGAATATATATCACAAAAGGGAATAATTAATGACCATATTCTTGTACTAAAACATATGTCAAGAAAAATCATGTTCATTGATTTGTCTGATGAAAAAACATTGTTCTATTTTGTGTGGCATTGTTTTAAATATAAAAATACATATTATTTTTTTTCAAACAACTCCTACAGGAGGGTTTGGGTTTTAAACATATTTTAATTTTATTAACTGAGAGCAGAATTTAAATTGTCCACAGTTTGTTGCCAGTGTCATAAGGTACATGACTTGGAAAAAAACGCCAACGTACGGCTGGGTAGCTCAGTTGATAGAGCACCGGAACGGTAATCTGGAGGTCGAAGGTTCAACCCCAGCTGTAGTCAATTTATTTGTTCAACTTTATTATTATTCAGTTACATAACACGAACATGTAATGTGTGAAATGTCTGTTGGCCTGTGGAGATTCTATTTGTTTTATTGGTTGAACTTTTAAATGATGACCTTTTTGAGAATTTATTGATAGAAAAACACTAAGCATGTCTTTACACGTAAGATAAAAATAAGTTTGCTTAATTAACCTTGTTTATGAGCAGGGTGTGAGGTAACCCTAGAAGTACTAACATTAAACAAAAAAACACACTTGTTGCGATGCCTTTTCATTGGCTTGTACAAAAACATGCAATTCTTCAATCACTGTGAAAGGAAAACATGTCAAAAGAAATTAATACGTTAGAGATGAGATAGCATATTACTTGCTTGACTGTATGAAGTGTGTGATACTGTCAATTCAGTTCTTTTTTAAGGATTTTGGTTATTTGCATCTTCTTGCATATACGTTGTGCACAGCACTGCTGGGTCCCCTTTAGATTGCTACAGTCTTGTGCAAGGAGAACACATACATGCACACTTTGAATTTCCCCGCTGCTTAAACTTTATTTGAACAACTCATTTGAATATTCTTACTAAATTAACTTATTATGAACTAGGAATTTATGCTTGAGTATGTGTTGTTTAATTTTTAAAATGTGATGAACAATCATGGAAGATGAACAAATTGTTGAAACATAATGGTTGTATAGACTTCAAGTTTTAATTTATATTTTATTCAAGTCAACATATTGCAGGCATGCAATTTTTTTTAGTAGCAGATGATTTCTGTGTTTTTAGTTACTTCTCTTGTATGCCGTTTAAAACTAAAACACGCTGCAGAGAGTCGTGCAAAGCATGGAATTTTGTAACTTCCCAGATGCAGGTCTGTTGTTGGAACAAGACAAGATGTGAATGGTTGATCCTGACCAATGTCAAAATGTGCCTTGAATCATTGAAGTTGATAATTGATGGCTAATAATGTTCGTATTTTACCGTCTTTGTTGTTTTTTGGGTAAAGTGTCAGTCAAGGGAATGCTCATTGGTTTGGAGTTCATGCAACTTGCAGTTAAGATTCCCGATTTCCTGGCTATCATCAGAAATGCTTAATTCTATTTTTGTACCAGTTCTAATTAAGGACATAATATAACAAGGCCCACGATTTGATTTCCACTTACTTCAAGGCAAATTTAGTGTTGTAAATTTGTTTGTGAGCCTGATTAATTAATGACCTTGCAGAAGTGAATCTTTTCAGTTCATGACTGAAATTATTATAGAGGTTTTCCATTGTTGTTTTGCTAGGAGGATTTGAAGTTGGTTCTGAATGGAATAATGACTCATGGAAGATTCTTTGTTATTAAAAAATTGTGGAGTTGCCCGATCCCATTGACCAATCCCAGTATACTACGACAATACACTGAGGCCCCCTTCAATGTGAAAGCATTGTGCATGTTAATGCACAAAGCAACTGCCCTGTGATGGAGTATCTGAACAATAGCTAGCACAATGCTTTTGCTGTTGCAGGGGCCTCAGTAATGGAGGTGTTAGGTACCCCAGAATGACGAAAGTAACTCCAGAATGACATGTACGTTTTGTACATAGGGCTAAATCCAGGCAAATTTTCTTCATATTCAGTTTGCCATTCTAGTACTTTTAATGTAGAGCTAATGTATAGAAATAGGTTATATATTCTATTTATGCAACACCTGAATAAATCCCCATCATCTGATTGGTAGGTCGTTGATCACATGTCATTGAAATATTCGTCCTAACCCACGGCCCGGCCGCATGCCAAAAATAGAAGTTCTGTTCCACGGTAAATAGAAGTTCCATTGCACGGTCACGATATTGGTGGATCTGACCAAACAGATGACAATGATTTATTCAGGTGTTGTAAATCAAAAACAAATAATGAATGTTTCACATTTGTGCAATGGAAAATATAATCTCATTCGGTATTTAACAGTTCCATTACACTCGGCTTCGCTGCGTGGAATGGAACATCCCATCTGTTATCTCATGAAATTATTCTGAACGTTGCACTCATAAACATTTGTCATTTGTGTAATGTTGAGAAATGTGGCTAATTTAATGTACTAATCTTGCCTTTCGATTGACTGATAACTGTTTTAATGTGTTACGTGTGCAATTTTGCATGTACCAGATCGGATTTGTCTATAGAACAAGCCATGGCAAATTCTGTGTGGGTTGTGTACTGTAAGGAAATATATCATGGTTGGAAAATTTCCTCGCCTTTTAAGATGAAATGGTTCTTGTTTAATTCCCTGATTTCTTTAGTTCGTTTGACTGAAATAACCAACTAGGTTTGCTGCAGTCTTTTCAGATATATTATCGGAGATAACCTTGGGGATTATTTTAAAATGGCATTAACAGCAATTTATATGATACATTGAGTGTAATTCTCTGCTTCATAAGATGTACAGAGCTAGAGAAATAAAAAAAAATATTGAAAACAAATAGTTGTCAGAAATATATTATTACTATTGTATTCCTTTCCTAGCTTTTATGAAACACCCCCCTCCAAAATGCCGAAATAAAAATCGCTTTATAAAAAAACTTCATCATGGTACCCAAAGGACAGACATGTGCCTCACAATTTGTTCACTAAAATAAACTGAAAACAACATATTCAACCTCTCATATATCTTTATTAATACCTGTTTTCCTGCTTCAATAACTATTATTTTAAAAGTGTCTTGTAATACTGTGCCGACTTATTCACATTTGACTTAAGCTAACAATCAGGATTTTTATACTTGATTTATTCAATAAATATTTCTCACATCTGGTAAAATATGGTAAACAACAACAGAGCAAGACAGCACCGATTTAAACTTCTGACATACCTTGTGACGTACAAAGCATAATATGAAACACATCTGCGCAGCAGAATTTATTGTAATGTCTGTAGCGATATAGACAATTGTCCAAGCTATGAGTATTCAATACTAAGACTGGTACTATTTATTTAGCTTCCCTTTTACGTAATGGCTCAAAACATATAGGAGTGACCTTTCTCGGTGAATTCTGTAATCGGCTTTAAAATGTGTTTTTCTACAAAAACTTGTTAATATTTGTAGTACAATTTGACCACTAGCACAACAATAATCAAAGTTTGGTTTTCTTTCGTTATCAAGCTTGCTGAATACTTGCAAAGCAAACGGCAATCAACAATAAATATTTATTTTTTTCTATCAACAGGAGTTGGGATGTTTAATTCTTTAAACAAGATGGAATATTCTTCCACTGATAAATACCAAAAATGTGCTTAATTTAATAATAATAAATAGTAACATGCAAAGAAAATTTTGTTTGATCTCAACAAATAAGAGCTTCGATCCTGAATACTTTACTTGACAAAAAAAACCCACTCAACAATAAATATTTTTTAAATTATCTCTAAATAAGAGTTTAAATGTCCTGATTCTTAAAAGAAGTATTCTACTGACTCATGAGATACATACAAAACCTTCTAAACTTAACATGCAAAGAAAATCGCACTTGACAATAGATACATGTATATTGTTATTGATCTATAAATAAGAGTTGCAACCAAAATAACAATAAATATTTATTAATATTTATATAAATAAGACAAGATGTTTTGATTCTTGAAACAAGTTGACATATTCTACCAATTTAAAAGATTAATATAAATACTGCTACATTAAACATTAACGACTAATGGGGACGGATGAAAACATACGGATACACCATACAAGATCTTATGAAGTTGTTCACAATTTTTTTTCATTCTAAAGCACACTCAAAATTTAAATAAATTACTATCATCACTCTTATACATAAGCATTCACAGATATCAATAAGGTTCTTCCTACAAAATAGTAGTAATTTGATACAGGACACTAATTTCATACTGTGGACTTGTACTTTTGTAAAGGCCAGTTCATACTTTAAATGCGAACGCAAAGCGAATTCGATGTCATGAAATACTTGATGCAAAATTCGCCAGCGTTTAAATGCGTCCAACTTTGCAGATTCAGTGTGAGTATCTGAAGGGATGTCACGAATCTGTGTTCGCATTCGCTTTGGCACTGAGTATGAACCAGGCTTAAAAAATGTTAATACATGTATTGGCAATGGTAATTAAGTATGATACTCATTGATGTGGACTACAATATTTGTTCAGAAAATTTACAGTATACATTTTAAGAATATATGGCACCAGATATGTAATATCTGCACTTTAAAAAAACATCAAATCATGTCATTGTAGACTCCCATCACAGCTCATTTAACTTGATAATATAGTTCTCTAAAGTTGGACCCTTACGTTTCAGCCATTTAAAAATTCAGGGTAAGGATTCCACAGAATAACGCATTTTAGGTAAAAAGTCTGTCACAAGCCAAATATGGCCCATCAGGCTGGCGTTTAGCTCCAGTTTCCTTGACCTGAAACGACAGAATATTCTCCCTAACCACTAGGCCACACTCCCCAAAAGTTCCACAAACAAAACTGAAAGTGTGTTTCTCCGTTATACTGGCATGAAACTTTTTCTTGCATCAGCGTTTTGCGGAATGTCCACGTTTTACTTTACAAAAAAAACGAAAAGAAAAAAAACCACACCAGTCTGGTATTACTGCGTTCCTACTCCTTTCACGTTTTAGCACTGCAGAATTTTGCACCGATAGCACTAGCACATGTATTAAATGTTAGGAAGTTGGGAGTAAGTGGAAAGACCTGAAGTGCCGACAGCTATGCAGCTAGAGAGAGAGGGTTCCCGGGACCAAAGTGCTTAATCCACCGCCGCCTGTTCTACGTCGGGGCAGCCACATAGGCTGGTAGTATGGACAGACAGGAAGAATTCAAGAACCTCCAGGCCTGTTGTAACAGCAATTTCTTCTGTGTGCATCGAATAAAGATGTGAAGGCAGAACACGCCAGGAAGTGGCTATGAATGACCATGGTGATCATCTCATAAAAGCATAACAACTTGCCAGACACTGCGTGCGCATTCTGTAACATACAGTCTGGCCCACAGACATATAAACGCAATGAAAATGGGTTTGTCTGATAGAACAAAATTACAGATTAAGGTCCACCGAAAAACAAATATCAAACACCCCTTCAAATGTTGGTTTGCTCCACTCTACTGCAATTTCTGACTTTATGCTCATTTTGTGATGACAGACAGGTCACAAATATCCATTACTCAGCTCAAATACCTTAGCCGTAACTATGTTTAGACAGTGTAGAATTGTGCGGCCGCAGAGGACTGTATCTCTATCTGCCCCATCTTGAACTGCAGTCTCTTCAGCCACTTCAGCAGCACAGAGGAATGGTAGGTGGTGACCTCCCCTTTGGTCAGACTTGGTGGGGCCCAGTTCTCACAGTTCTGCAGTCGCACCTGCAGGCTGCCTGGAAGCTACCATTTGAAAAAGAGGGGAGTACAAAAGTCATTTTGAGGAAATGAAATGATCAATGTTGATTTAAGAAAATGGTTGACATTAACAAAATACTTATGTTATAACACTCGCTTTATCGTCATGACTTTAAATATAAAAAAACAAAAGTTGTAAATGTGAGCAACAACTTTTCAACTCGACCACTATTGGACCCGATATCACTCGATCTAGCTTAGTTTAGTGACGGGCAATTGCTTTTACTCTTAACTGTAGCATCAGTTTTTTTCCTGAAATATCTGTTCTATCCACCTTGTTTTCCAACAAGCAGCAACTAACTTACATCTTTGTTGCTCAATTTGTTAATACTTGATTTATTTTTACATGTCGATTTTTACAATAAGCATAATTAGTCCTTACCTTGGAGGGATAGCTGAAAAGGATAGATGCCCACATTGGGAAAAGCTGTGACAAATAAAAGGATTTAAAATGTCAGTAAAACTACCTGATATTCTGACATAAGAAACAACAGGTCTATCCAATGCAACTGTCAGTCAGTCATAAGGGGGAAAGTTAAAAACACTGAACCACAGGCCAAATGCCCACTTTTCCACAAACACGAAAAGAAAAACAGAAAAACCAAACAAGTTTTAAAAAGCTTAGATACATTCTGGGATTACTATACATGTATTTTGAGTTTACCCTTAGGTCATGCACACACAAACACAAGACTTTGATTGAAACTTTGACCATGAAACGTAGGTTGAAAACATGTCACACAATAGCATAACACCAATACGAGAGAAATATGAGATTATGAGATTTTTGAAATCCGGGCTTTTTCTCCAGCTGTGGCCTCTTATCCTACTTCAGAGTCATTTGGAAGTCCTTACTGTTGAAACAGTCTTAGTCTGAACACAGACTCAAAATGGCAGATTATTGTGGACAGCCATTTAAAGTCTGATGCCAGCCAGTACGTCCATTGTAAGGTTGACCTATGATGTAGGGGTCAACCTCATTTCAATATCTAATCGGATGTGATGTACGGATAGCTCACACTACAGAGATGCGTATTAACCACGCATTCACGAGGAAGCCATTTTTGATCATGTTCCCTGAATGTATTTTATAAATTGGAAACTGTTGAATGGAATGGCACCAGACTATTTATGCATTCCAAGCCTCACTTTCATTTTTGTTTTAATGTGGCTTAAAACATTAGGGTATGTTTGATCACAAATTTTAAATTATGCATCAGAGCAGACTGGTATTAATTTGTTATGAACTTTATTTCATTGCTTTCATTTCTATTTGCAAGTTCCAAAAATGAAGATTTTACCTCGCTTTCAATTTAAATATGGCCGACTCGTGAATAAAGCCCATAAGATCTACAGTTAGCATGGTTAGGAAAATTTGTAAAAGGGCATGGCAACCAATAAGATATCAGAAGCACGAGGCCCTTGCTCGTCCTCATTTAAACATTTGTTATGAGGTCAGGTCTGCGGTCTAGAACCCATTTGGAGCCTGAAATCCCTTGTTAGCCAAACCTAGAGACCGACCTGGGATTTGGTAAACCCCTCATTGTAATCAAAAAGAAGTGACAACATGTACCTTGGTCAGCACAGAGGAGTTGCATTCCTGCAATGCTTCCATTAAACTTAAGAAGTGTAAGTTGACCATGTCTGCCAGCTACAACAAAAACAAGAGATAAAACATGGAAACTATTATTAACCTGAACATCCAAACTCCTCCAACTTTCCAGTGCATCAACGATGGTTACTTCCATCAGAGAATATCAGAGAATACAGGGTGAGTCAAAAAAAATAAGGAAGCCCAAATGGCGCCCCAACTTTTTTTTCAGAGAAGTTTTGCATGTAGCGCTTTCCAGATCTAGGATGTGAAAGCCAAATTAATAAGCTTTCTTTTAGTAAAAGAATCACTCATATCACTCATGTACTTTTGCAGTTATGGAATTTTGAACACAAGCACAATTTTAAAATTTTGTTCACGGCATAACATTTAAGGTACGTGATATTTCAGTCAAATAAAACCATGTTGTATCATGAAAACGATATCAGAATAATCCCACACAAATCGCCATGGTAGCAGGAGTATATACAGGCCAAGACTACAAACTCTTGACATTATAAAGCATGTTGTTTTAACATTTGAATCGGAACACGTTTAAATATAGGTTATGATAAGAGCCAGTTACCATGGTTGTGAGAGTGTTCCTGCATGGCATTACGCCTGAGGACAGACAACAAAAGGAGCACAAAGGGGCCATTGATCCTCGAAGGAAGGTGCCTATTGTCCTCGAACGCAGGTTTGTGTGCTTAGTCTATGGGAGAGTGTTATATTACAGGGACAAAGGAAAACACAAAGCCAATCCTCGGAAGCATAGCAAAAAACGACTGAGTGTTCTGATGTGTGTTTATATTTATAAGTTTTGGTTTTGCTGAAATACCACTTACCTTTATTGTGATCCGTTGACAAAATTTTAAAACTGTATTTGGGTTTAAAAGTCCAAAACTGGAAAAGTACGTGAAGATGTACAGGTTTGTTCAATTCAGAATAAAATTAGTCATGCATACTTTGCCTGTGCGAAGTACCCTCCCACTTGGGCTCTCAAAAACTGTCACAAAGCGCCTTGTACTATTCACACACTAAGTCCATAGATGAAATATTTCTTGGCCGTGAGAGGCGAGGTTACCTACCACTTTTGAATGTGAGAGTAGCTGCAGCACACCGGGCGTGACGCGACCCCAGAAGTCCATGACACTCATCATAGCGGTGTTGTGCTGGTCACTCTGCGGTGCGTTGATTGAAGCCATCTGCTCACAGTACATGGTCCATAACTAGAGCACATCAAAGAGATCAGGGTTTGATATCATGAAACTAATCGTAAATTAAGTAAGACTTGAAGATTTGCACGGTGGAAGTCTAAAGTTGTAAGGTTTGTGGTAACACCATGTATTCAAATCACTTTTGTGACTGTGTGTGGTTCCGAAAAGAGCCAGTTGTGTAACACGACATTTTGGACAGTATCCGCTCCGTTCACAAGTACCCCCTCACCGGCAAAGCAAGTACAGTTGGGGGTGACCGACCGACATCGTCTTGCCTGACTGCAATTCATTGCCGCGAAGCACAGCCACTGCGTGTGCATAGTACAAATCCCCTGGTGTACGTGCATCACACATAAGGAACGGTGCGCGTCAACCAGCGAAATGTCCCGCCCATGGGACGTCGTTGTTAGGTAAAAGGGCGCCCTCTTTTGTCGGCGCACGGAGCCCATGCTTCGCTTGTCTTCAAAAGACTTACAGGGTATCACAGGGCTTCTGTCAATCATAGCAATGAAGGGGTCTATGAAGGATTTCACTTAACTCAGTGCGAGTGTGAAGCACTGGAAGTGTCCTGTTAACCCTAACTTCAACAGAATTTATTTGGGTTGAAGTACCAAATGCTACAAAATACAATTTACCTGGCAGAGAATGAAGGCATGGAAGAGGGATGACATGTGCAGAACCGAGGCCTTGGATTGCTCCGCAAAGCCAGCCAGAATAACCTAAAACATCAAAGTGAGAAAATTAGTAACACCCCAAACTCTGCTAACATTACATTGAGCTGAAGTGACTCCAATTCAAAAGTTTCACAATTGACTAATGGTCAAAGCTGACTAACTTACACCATGCAGATGATTTTAAATTTATGACAATGTTTGCCGTGCAGTTGTGCAACATGCTCACAACTGCTTTCACAGTGTCAACTAAACAGAACTACGATCAATTTCAGCGACAATATTGACCAAATTAATCTACCAAGGCATTAACACAAGGTCTAGCAATCCATGCTTGCCAATTCCCAGGTTTGCAGCACTGGCAGTTATGCTGGCATTTTGACTGGTGGACATGATACCTAGCCACATGACACAGAAAAGGTTATGGCTGATGACTAGCGCCTCATGGACACAGACAAGACTGTTAAGTTCAGTTTGCAGGGTGCTGACATACATACATGTAGTGTTGTGGAGATCACAGTTTTAGATCCTTTGGTCAACACTAGACCGTATCAGAATCTCATTTCAGGGGCTATAGATCAACCGTAGTTGCCCACTTTTTGTGATCGCTGGGCTGGCTTTCCAGCTTTACTGGGACACTCCAAAGCTCGCTGTGGTATTTTACACAATGCATTCCCCTTTAGTGACATTCTAAGAGCTATACAAAATGCATGTATGATGGGTGTTCAGGCATGGAAGCGTTGAAGTAACGACAGACAAAACCGTCACTGTAATTTCAAAATCGTGTATTGTCTCTAGCTTTGACAATTACAAATATGTTGGAAAATGTTGACAATAGAAATAGCCACAGCACTGGACATGTGTTTGGGCATGACCCTCCAATGGAAACTTGCATTGTCAGCCTTGTTAGTACTTGGGTCAATATAGGTCAAGACCCCAATTGGTTTGTACACAGTAGGCCAGGAGGTGAGGAAGAAAATTTTGACCAGTTGTGACCTCTCAAATAGTAGGAGGGTTAATAATTTTTTTAAACCTAAATATTCTTGCAAAAAAGTAACATTTAAAATTTATTTGATAACAAGATGTACTGTGAATTACAAACATAACGGGCACCAGACTACTCACCTGTACGTGATCGGCGATGTGGTTACCGGCCTCTAGTGGGATAGGATGGCAGACGATGCCGGTTACCGATGAATTGATGGGACAGACAGCGGCGTGAGTCAGGGAACCAAGCAAGAGCCAGGACAGCAGACGCACGTGGGCGATGCAGTCAATGAATTCCTTGGGTCTGGGGGTAACAGATCGAACGACATTAGTCACTTTCAGGTCAAAAGTCTCAAAGCCAAACTGCCTCAGAGTCTGTGGTCACCGAATGCAGCAGGATACAACTGTGGCATTGTTCAATGCGACTAGCTGTCATTGTCTCAGAAGCGGCCGTTTATGCACTGGTGTTGGTAGCTGAATGCATCAAAGTGCACCAGACTTTTCCACCTGATGCACTGTGTTGCGTCTGGCAGGGTAAGGGTTAAACAATGACATTTATCAGGCTGATGCTCATTGTTGAAAATTTCCTTCATGAACCAGTGTCCACTGTTACGTGCTTCTTCTTAATAGCATTCAAAGATTTGCATGATGTCATCAGCAATGATGCAGTACAAGAAATGTGAGAGTCATTTCAGCCTTTGCCAGATTTTGGAAGAAGAAAGTGAGGAAAAGAAATGGATGCAGAGGGTTTTCACTGACTGTTTACCATAATTGTTCAATTTGTCTTTCACTGTAAATGCATTCTAAATACTGTGAAAGCTCAAACTTGACTGTACTAGGTCAGTTTTATCCAAACAGGTACACAATTAGGGAATGAAAAGTAAACGCCCTCCTGAGCACATCCTGAGACAGTAACAGTTAAACAAATTTAGGCATGAAACAGAGTACAGTGATACAAATAACTTGACTACTACAAGTCTGACTCAGGAAACAATGTAGTATCCTGATGCCACTTTATAAAAGTATGAAAAACAAAACTTCGATCTTGTTTCTCAGATAATAACTTTTTGTATGAACACTGTAAGAATTACATTTCTCTAAGCGAGATTTGAGATTTTTTGGGGAGAGAATTATTGCCACGATATTGCAATCTACCATGTTTACATTGATTGGAAAGAGGCCCTCTAGTGACCAGGCAAGTTTGTGCTGTCATTAGAGCGCCTCTTCACATTGATGTAAACATGGCAAACTGCAATATTGCGGCAGTATTTTTCCAAACATATCTCTTAGAAAATAGCATTTCATACAATGATCATTTGATAGATTATTAGAAGCAAGATATGACTACTCTGTTGCTAATACAAGTAGCGTAAAGTAGCGTCAGGATACTTCATTTCCCCCCTGATTTCTTACCCCTGTTGGACAGCAGACGGCGGGTGGTACAGCCAGGGTAGGTAACGGTTGACAGCCTTAGAGGCGTCCCGCTGACTGCTGCGGGTAAACTCCAAGGCTATGATCTGGGCAACGCCTGCCTTCAGCTGGCTACCTAGAGTGTCCTCGTTAAGGTTCTGATGAGAGCCTCCTTTCATCTTATCCTGAGAAAAAGAAGGGTGGGTGGGATGAACCAGGGCAGAGTGGAAAGCAGGGGCTTGGTCTAGCTTGGCCAGTCCAGTGTCCTCTGTTACCTCACTGACTGACTGTCACTTGTGACTCGCACTGGTCATGTAGCATCTAGACCACATGTGCGTTAGTCTGTTGCCCCTTGTTTCATGTACTTTCATGACACATACAGTGATTATCTTGATAAGTCCAAACCTGTTAACTCAAAACCCCTTCTACCTCAAAGTAAAATCTTATTCCCATCAATTGTTGTTGAATAAAAAATCCATTGGATATGAGCCAATTGCCTTGAGGTTTGACATATGGAGATTCCACTGTATGTAGACAATACATCAAGTCTCCATACGAATGGGGAAAGTGGATTTCTCATTTTCATCACGCTTACCGCTACAGCTTATTCTACGAACTTTTTAGCCGTTCTGAATATGTAAAATAGAATTCTGTGCACTCTGGGACCAGCTTTTCTTTGCTTGTCTATTTTGGGGTTCAATTTCAATATCAATGGTTGATACTTTGGTTGACATGTTTATCCGTTAAGCAAAACTAAACATCTTTACCAGCATCGCAAGATGATAATTTTAAAAATCAGATCAACATCTTCAGGAAAGGAAACTTTCAAAACGACACACATATGCTAATTGTTTTGAACAGAATGAGCGCATTTTAAAAACACAAATCACACAAATTTGCCTCATTAAGGAAATGATCTGAGAATAATGCTGCATTAATAAGTTAAAGGATGAAGTCTTCATGCGAAAAATGGTCGTCTTTGCAATGAATTGACAAATATTAAATGAGTTTCCAGTAATTGTGTCTGATACAGCAATACTAAGCAATTTATTAATCGACTGAAGAGTCCACAACAAAATTGTAGTGCAACAATCAGAAAATATGTAATCAATCAAGAGACCTTTAAACATTCAAACGAGTTTAAATCTTACGATAAATTTTTAAAAAAATAGGCTTTGTTCTTTCTCAGGGTTTGAACGTCTAACTGTAAAACCAATAAAACTAACAAAAGTTGGAATCTGACAAAATGTTTGTGAAGAGAGCTATTTTCTGTGCAAGCATTACATTCACATTTTGTGTGAGAACATGATATGAAAATGGCACTGAACAGCCCTCACCGGACACATTTTCACCCCTAGAGGGCAGTGTTGTACCCACGTACACGCGACACCATACCTTGACTTTAGTCAGCGTGTGTAGATCCCCGACATATTCGATGGCGTCGTTCAAGTACTGCTTCATACAGTCCACGGTGAGTCCAGAGGAGGACAGCTCGGCGATGCAGGCCTCTGAGATGTCTGCGTCTCCTACAAGGTTGCCAAAGTCACTCATCTTACCGCCAGCATCCAGGCAGATGAACTGCACCAGCTGGATCAGGTTGATGTCCGGCAGGGAGGACTTGAACTTGAGGGCGCTGACAAACTCCATGACGATGCAACGGGCCAGGGATTGGCGCTCACGCTCCTATAGGGGATAATGACAAATCCTTGATTCTTGTGCATTTTCTTATCAACCTGAATCCTGAATTCTCTTTAAATTTTCTAATGTTAACCCTTTCCTTACCGCATTGTTTACTGACTTGGCTCTCCCCGGGACCAAAATGTTTGCTCAGTCATGCGGAAATCACTAGAGCGTGAAAATGGATCACAAGTTGAAAACTCACTTTTTCTACCCAGATTTTCACTGCCAAAAAGTGATTAAAATCATAGGTGTTGTGTGTAAAGTTTGTTCCTTGAACTGTACACTTTTATGTGATGTAAAAAATCAAGTCCATATGACCAAATATAAGAATGTTATACCTGTTTGTTGATCTAGTCCCAGTTATCCAACTGCAAACCATTTCACCACATGACCAAATGGCTCTCCATACCTCAGAATTGTGAGTGGATACTTCTGAAGCATTTTTCGTAAATTTTGGTAATGGTAACACTACCAGTAAACTGCACCATTAGAACGATCTGAAAACACTCTTTTAGATGGTATATGGTTGATGTATGGGAGGCCAAACACACCAACATGCCGCCTTTCTGAAAATTAGTGAATAAATCTGTGTTGAGGGTGTTCTGTGTGTGGTTTGCTGGTCGACTAAAGTCGCCTATGGTAAACGAATCCCGGGACATACCGTTATTTCGTTTTACCGTTTTGCATTTCCTCAAAACAAAAACAGTAAACAAACCATGTACCGTTCTGTCGTTTTACAGTTTTGTAAAACGGTCAAACGGTATTAAGATAAATACGGTTTCTCTGTTTTATAAGTTTAATAAAATTCATTACAGCATAACGATCAATGATTTTTGTTTTACAGTTTTACACAAATAACTTTGAAAAACAGCAAAACGGTCAGTATTGAATACAGACTGTTTTTTATTTCAGTGTCATAGTGAGCAGTCCGTGGTGCATTTTGTGGTGCTGGGCAAGGGGGATGGAGGGGGACCATGCTTTACATGAAAAAGTATTACCTCGGCATAATGCGTGGTATGATTCCTGGCGTGACCCTGACCCCCTTCTCACGCGATTCAGTTGGTGGGGCTTTTAGTAAGAGTTGCAAGCAAAAATGGCGCTGGAAAACTTCAAGGGGGACATTACTTTTTACAATGGATACAGGATGGTAATACGTTTGAAGAAGTTGCAGATATTTGAAGGAAATTGGAGTTCGGCGCGGCTCTTCAATAGCCAGTTCGAAAACTATGTCGTGAGAACGAAATGTGAGGAAGGTAATTTGGGTCCCAGGCAATGACTCGATCCCATGAGGACGCATTAACATTCCTAGGTGCATTGCTTAATTGCCGAACCTAAATCAAAAAATGGTCGACAGGACTATTGACCGTTTTTCATTGTCATGCCCTTGTAAAACAACACTCTGAAATGAAGCAACTAACCGTTTATCGCTTTCAACAATCAAGAAAAACAACAAAAAGGTCACTGTTTTTTGTGACCTAATACCGTTTGACCGTTTTACAAAACTGTAAAACGAAAAAACGGTCAACGGTGCGTTTACTGTTTTTGTTTTTGAGGAAATGCAAAACGGTAAAACGAAATAACGGTATGTCCCGGGATTTAAACAGCAGGGGGCACTTCCTTGTCAACAAAAGTCCCCATGGTAAGGAAAGGGTTAATAAAAATAATATGGATTTGTAGTGCACGTAGGTGCTCACAGCGTGGTAAGATATTATTACCCCCGCTCATCAGGCCAATGAAGACATTCCAAGGAGCATCTTAGCTCCCTGGGGAGTATACAACACGATGCGTCTATTTAGACCAAAATCAACACTTATAACCATCTCTGCCCTTACAGGTACCCATTTACTCCTGGGTGGGGAGAAGCAATGAGTGATAAAGCGTCTTGCCCATGAATGCACCCTAAAAGATGCAACCCCAAGCTGGAAACGGACGGCTTATTCTTCATACCATGAGGATTAGCGAATTCTTGGTTACGTCTCTGTATTGAACTTCTGCAGGCTCCAGTTGTATGATTTGAGTCCCCTTCACATTGAACTTTGTTTCCAGTAACTGCATTTGAAGTTTCAAAGTATAGATAGCACCGCAAGTTTACGATTTTTTTAATTGATTAAGTTATCCTTATTCATTTATCCATTATTGATTAATTTATCCTTTTTTGGCTGCAGTTTTCGTTAATAGACTGAACGTTTTGGCGCACCTAAAACATCCGGAAAAAAACCCGGGTCTGCTTTCATTATATCATATTATTTTTACCTACAGCTTTCATGTGCCCCTGAAAAAGAGGTCATTTCCAGATAAATGAATAAGTACTCCATATTAAATATTTCAGTTACAGACTTGTGAAAAGGGTGAATATTGTCTGTCAAGAATACCGCGCCTTTACAATACTTGTCAGCATCTTCTCTATTGGTACGTTTATATCGTGGTGCTGGCAATGGAAGTTCCAAACTAACTTGTCTGACATTTTGTTTGGTAAGCATGTTGCATTTGTCCCACTTTTTAAAAGAGTTTCGTCTGTTGGAACGAGTGATCAAATAACCTCCCTATCAATGCAGGAACTGACTAATCATTGAAGCCTAGGTGTAGGCTGGGAAACGACGAATGAGCCAAAGTGGATACCTTGACAAAGATGCGATTGCAGAGGGAGCAGATTTCAATGAGCAGTTTGAGCTTGAAGTGGCACTTCTGCAGGACGAAGCCGATGAGTTTAGTCATGGGGTCCAGGAGAGTGCCCAGGGTCTTGGTAGCAGGGCTTTTCAAGATCACCGTCATGATGCGGAACAGGTCGTTGGTGTCACACTGTGGACGGCAGGTAGGAAAACCAGGGGTTAGTCAGTAATTTGGGCTGTTTGTGTTTAACCAAGTCCTGGCCCGAGCCTGGATTTAGATGCAGCAAGTGCAGGCAAGCTGCAGCGGACAAAAAAACTCTCAAGACAGATATGATTACAAAATATAGACAATAATCAATAATGAGCCCATGGCCCAATTTGATGGCGCTACTAAGTACAGATATGTGCTAACAGCAGAAATTATTTCCTTGGCAAAAAAAGAAAACCCAGGATACCAGCCTAAATGCCATGCAATGTATACTATCTCTGACTGGTTACCAGCTCTTCTTCTTCTTCCAAGCTCTGCACCAACTTCATAATGTTGAAGACTTGGGCACATTGTTGAGTTCGCAACTTGCGGATGGAATGCGTAACTGACTCTGGCTATTGCTGCGTTCCAATCACGTCGTGTTTCTCGTGTTCACGAGTTCACGAGTCACATTATAGCGTTCTTATCGCCTGGTATCTTGTATTCACCAGTGGTGAAGTGGAGGCGGGAATTTCTTCTTGACTTGACAAAAATACCAGTGGGGTCAATGTGCATGAAGGCCTGTGCGCGTGCGTGTTGGTGAGTAACATTAGAATGCAATCCACTCGTGAACTAGGAGTAATTTATGATGAACACGATAAACACACCGCAACTGGAACGCAGCATAAGTAGCAATGTCATAACTGAGTGGCTCCATAAAATGGAACCCAAGGCACTTACGTTTTCGGGCATGGCAAAGACCAGCTTCCTGAAGAACGTCTCAAAGAGAGGGATGAGGTTGCCCCAGGCCGTGCTGCCCTCTAGAGGCAGGTTCTCCATGTACTCGGCCAGGTTCATCAGTACGAGCAGGATACGCAGCGAGGGTAAGGTCTTCTTCTCATTCAGACCCTGGGAACAAGGAAACAAACACATCACGTTGAAGTGAAAAACCTGATGCTGATATCATTGCTTGAAAGGGTTCACTAGTGTTGAATAAACCAAAAGTCAAAAGTACATAGGATCATTTGACTTTTGGGGATTTTTTGTTTTCGTCTGAAGCAATAAAATTGCTCACAAAATTGCTAATAACTGACTTGTTGAAGTTTCTGCTCTGTGCTTGCTGTACATTTTGAGAAAACAAAGAAAACGTATGCAAACATTTGTGGGTCTCGTAACTGGATTCCGTTGCTAACGCATGTGATTGTTTTATTCCGAATGATACCATTTCAGGGGAATAATTTCACAGGGTATTTTGTGCCAGTCCTATATTCTTGGTACTAGGGCCAAGTTCGGGCAAGGACCATTAGTCGACTAGTGGTTGATTTGTGATGTACCTTACGCCTGCGCACTGATAGCAACGTGCGAACGTCTCTAGTCAAACGCTGGTCAAAATGTCATCGCAAAACTTCTGGATCCTGGCTCTCTGCTAGCGTTATGAATGCGCGCGGCTATTGGTTACCAGCGAAGCAACCAACCCCAGTAGGCTGGTTCCAAATAGTCGACTAGCGTAGTCAACCACCGTCGACTAGACAGAGTTCGGGCAAACGTTAGTTTAAAGCTATAGTCCATCATTTGTAATTAGAGCATTTTGTTCGTTTGAAGCAACAAAAGTGTTCAAAATCTAATGAAGGATACTGAGCAACTAACCTGATGAAGTTTCAGCTAAGCTTCAGCTGTACATTCCGAGAAAAGCAGCATTCTAAGATCTCAATTTCAAATCAAAAGTTACTGAATCATGTTTTGAATTGTTTTGAATTGCAGCTATACGCGGCGTCGCGCACTGATCCGACGAATTATAACAACCGCGCGCGCGTGTGCGTCGTTCCAATACTTGTGCGCGCTGCGCTGAATAACAAAACGAACTACTAATTTAAATTTTCCTACGGTGCTTCTTAAGAATCACCGTTGGAAATGCCTTCTTTCGTTGATTACTTCAAAATGACAGCTTTCCGACCAGCGTTGGAAATTGATACAAAAATACCACTTTTCTTGAAAATGACAGTATACCAGGTGCCATGATTTTACAGGATGCTTTACACTGTTATTCACTAACAGTCCAGCAAGGTATTTCAAAATGATTTGGTAGTTTTATTTTTTGATGTTTGTAAATGTTGTATTTTCCCTTTAACCACTAGGCCATGACACTCCACTTTAAGGAAGGTACGTTTCCGGGTAATTGCAAATGTTCCTACATGCCTTTGAAGAGCAAATGCAGCGATAGATGAATGTTTGTGATCTTGTGTGCTCATGAAGCCTTTACCTTCTAACTAACAAAAGTTTTACATTATTTTTGTAATTGCTACTGACCTCTAGAAGGAAACTGACAGCATCCATGGGAGACAGGTCACTGAAATCAGTCAGAGCTACAGCCATGGTCTTCAGAAAGTCTCCATCTGAAAGACGACATCACACATCGGACAATCACAGAAATAAATACATGACACATAGGAATGCAATCTTTGGGACATGGTACCGGTGTCACATGAAATGTGGACTCCTACGAAATCTGGTCTCTTTCACCTTCTAACCCTCACACGCGACCTGCTTACGATCCCTAAGACATGTGCAGTACAACAAATAAGTCCGTATTCCGTATTCACAGAGTCCAAGTTTCACACTACACTAGTACTGAAACTAAGTATTTGTTTCATACTTTGAATGAGAGTTGGATATAACCCAGTGCTTGAACCGAGGCGCGGGGGGGGGGGGGGGGGTTAAGCATTACCTTCAATCTTGCTGAGGAAGAGCTGGGGAAAGACTCCGTTGGGAGCAAGTTGATGCAAGGTGCAGCGCAGGAACTGCTTGGCGACGGTGCAACAATGGCCAGGGGGACTTCCAATACTAGACAAGGGAAAATATAGTAAATAAAAACTTGAGTATCTCACAACACAATATGACAAGCTTTCATTTGTACTGTGATAAACATGTGATAAGCTTCCATGTAATAAGCTTCCAATTCAGTTAACAAATTATTCAGAAAGTGAATCTATCACTGTATTAAGCAAGCTTAAAATGAAAGCAAAACTCAGGGAATGAGGAAGTGCCTACTGTTAAAATCAGAAATTGTGATTTACTTTAATCAATGAATAACATGAACATCCTGGCAGTACGTTCTAAGTGTTTTATGAGCACTGTTTTTTCTGATGATTTCATCAATTTTCTGTTATATGATATTTCTCTAAGCTACTCTCTCACCTTTCTGCTTGCCATGGAGAGAATATTCCACTTGCAATTCTAGAAATAAGACAAAAGGGGTAAATATATACACTATTAATAATGTGTTAATCAATTATAATGTATAAATTGGACAAGTACCTTAGCATAGGGCCAACATACTTATATAGTGTAGCTACAGGCACAGTCTGAAATGCATTCAGTGGTCCCGCCCTACTTTCTGTCAATAACCGTTGAGGGGTACGTGTCCTACCCAGCCCAGAGATGAAACTGGCCTTGGCAAAAAAAATCTGAAATTGGACCTGGCACAGCGTCGCGAAGTGCAGTGAAATGCAGCGCAGCGCATCAACGTGGGACCCAGTGAACTTTTCCAGGTCATAGGTCAGTATTTAACCTTGTCTCCAGCCGGAAAAGGATCTGATCAGCATAGGCCAAGGTGTGTTTCTACCATAAAATCACTCTGTTCATGACTGGTAAAAGAGATTAAAACTACTACACTTATGAAAAAAATGTATGTGCTGTTTTCATTGACTTTTCATGGACTTTTTTGGAAATTATAATGAAAAAAAAATTGTGGAAAAATTGTTGAATAATCATTTTGTGGGATTGTTAACAAATCTGAAATTTCAGTGGAAAAGAAAACAAAAATCTGATTTCAGATTAAAATCTGAAAAGTTTCATCTCTGCAAGCCAAGTCCTAGCCAACCCACTCCAAACTAGCCCAAATTATCCCATCCCTACCCAGCCTAACCAAACCCAGCCAAACCTTAACTTAGCTATCACCGTTTGCGAGTTAGTCACACCCCTTAGACAATACTATGGAATTTTGTACGTTAAGTTTGGATTGTCTCAGATTTTGCACGTCCCACATCCATTTGTACATCATTTAATTGGGCAATATTTTACAAGCTGCGTTGATGCAATTCTACCGCGATAGGTTATTTCGATCCAATTCAGACAGACAATCAAATGTAACTCAAGGCTTAACACACACTCCTTACACCTCAGCTTCAACCCAGCCCAACTATTACCTTGCAACCACTTGCAGCATCTCCAGAAGAAGAGGAGCAGCTAACTCAGGGTCTCTGTGGACAAGCGTAGACAGCACAACGATGGCCAGCGACACAGTGTCATCATCATACTCCTCCAGTAACACACCACAATCAGTGCATCTGAGGATCAAACCAGTTATGTGGTCAAACTGAGATAGACAAGACAAGACAAGACTCGCCTCTACCAAACCAGTGTTCTATAACCTGTCAAAATACCCTGGTGCCCGGCCAGCGGATTTTCTGTTCATAAACGACATCCACATATATGGTTGTTTAGCGCCCTCTGCGATACTTTTGTGATACGTACACAGGTATATGATTCTTAATTTCCCCAAGATTTGGCGAGCAGTGCGTAGCTCAGTGGAAACAAGGTCGTGATTTTGCACCGCGAGGTTGCGGGTTCGAATCTCGGTTTTGTACCCAAATTTATTTTCTTTCCTAACCCAAGGCTTTGGAGGATTTTTTTAAAAAGGGAAATAAAGTCTGAATTTCATAATGTTCGAAATCATTTTTTTCTAATTTTATATTTTTTCTCATGTTTTTAGAAAAGTGAATTCCAAAACGCCATAGCGTACACCCATATGCGGGTTTCGTTTGGGAGAAAAAAAATCGCGCCCGGCTACGCTTTCTGTGGCACCCGCCATGCTTCAAAAGTTGCCGCCACGCTTTAAAAAACTTTCAAAAAATAAACACACACAAAAAGCACTGCCTGTTACTTCCTGTACCACCCCAAACCGCTCTGCCTGTTACTCGCTGTACCACCCCAAACCACACTGCCTGTTACTCCCTGTACCAACTAAAACCATCCGAGCACTCTTTGGTTTATGCTTTCTTCAGAGAGTGAATACAATGAAGTACAGATGCCAATGGGTTCAAAAATCTACCTGGTTAAAGCCATGAAGTTCTTATCTTCATGATAGCGTTTAGCCGCCGAGTACACACTGCTGTTTTTCTCGGGCGTCTTCTGGGCTTGGTCCTTCAGCTTCTGAGACCGCTTCTTGCCCTTCTCCTTGCTCTTCCTGGTCATCCCTCCTTTGGTGATGCCGGCGTTGACGCCTCCTCCTGCCGCCGACAGGTCAAGGTTCAGATCCCCCTGCTTTCCCCCGCCTCCCCCTCCGCCCAGTTTGTTGTCGATGCGTTGGGACAGAGCGTTGGAGGAGATGGTGGCCACGCCCATTTTGCGTTGCTTCTTGGAGCGGAAGCGGGGCTGGAGTTTGCTCTTCTCGAACGGGGAGAAGAAGGATTCTACCTTGGCGGACATGAGGGTGGGCTCCAGGGCCTGGCGTTCCACCTTGGCCATCTCGGTCACAACCTAAGGAAGAAAGCCAGAAAGAAACAGGAAAATAAAATTGATTCTTCCCGAATGTAATTAGAACAGAGGCTCATTCAAAGCATGCAGACACTAAGATTGGAAGCCTGAAAAGACTTAGAAAGGGAAGAAGATGAAGAATTGTTTTGTTTAGTAGGGCAGGGAAACCCGAAACCCATAAGATCAAGTTGGAATTGAAAAACTAATCATTTTGTTGGCCAGGGGAGTTAGCAGGGAAGTCATCTGCGACAGAGATGTTTCCCATCCAAAGGAGAATGGAAATATTCTCAGTTGTTTCCAGCGCTGTAGTCAAGTCCATTACAAGTCATCCAGTCTCAAGTCAAATCACAAATTATTCAAACTATACACTGAGACAAATGAATCCTTCATCACCGTTAGTCCTGTATTACTTGTGACCAGACATGTGAAAGGACTTGAGTCAGGACTTGTGATGGTACTAGTGGTTTACTTGTGACCGGACTTGTGATTACTTGTGACCGGACTTGTGATTCACTTGTGACCGGACTTGTGATTCACTTGTGAAAGGACTTGTGATTTACTTGTGACCTGATTTGTGATTTACTTGTGACCAGATTTGTGATTTACTTGTGACCAGATTTGTGATTTACTTGTAAAAGGACTTGTGATTTACTTGTGACCTGACTTGTGACCTGATTTGTGATTTACTTGTGACCAGATTTGTGATTTACTTGTGACCTGATTTGTGATTTACTTGTGAAAGGACTTGTGATTTACTTGTGACCTGACTTGTGATTTACTTGTGACCAGATTGATTTACTTGTGACCAGACTTGTGATGTACTTGTGATTTATCTGTGACCTGACTTGTGATGTACTTGTGACCAAACTTGTGATGAACTTGTGAAAGGACTTGTGATTTATTTGTGACCTAACTTGTGATTAACTTGTGATGTACTAGTGATTTACTTGTGACCAGACCTGTGACTAACTTGTGAATGGACTTGTGATTAACTTGTGGCCAGACTTGTAAAAGGACTCCTCAAAAGAGTTGCGATTTCTTGTGACCGGACTTGTGATTTACTTGTGACCAAACTTGTGATTTACTTGTGCCATCTCAAAACAGCACTAGTTGTCTCATGCTAATGAAACAAGATAAACAAACCAGACTGAAGAGCCATATTGGCTCAAGACAGATATGTCTTTCCTGACTGACCCTGGGTACGGCTTGAGCGCTGACGGGTTCTTCCTTGCTGACCATCAGCGCCTTGGCTGGGATGGCTTCTACTTTGTTCAGGGGCTCCAGGGCTTCCACGCTCTCCTCATTCTCCTCCTCCACTTCCACGATGGTCGACGCTACAAAGCTCAGGTTGGACTTCTTGATGGTCAGAGCAGTCACCTTAAGAGAAATTCAAAAACAAATATTAGGATTCTTATGTCAAAAAGTTAGTTGTATTTATTCCTTGATGAATCTGAACGACCATTAGAGTGCTTGGGCGGTTTCAGATGCAACAGGGAGTAACAGGCAGGGCAGTTTGGGGCGGTAAAGGGAGTAACAGGCAGGGCAGTTTGGGGTGGTACAGGGAGTAACAGGCAGGGCAGTTTGGAGCTGTACAGGGAGTAACAGGCAGGGCAGTTTGGGACGGTACAGGGAGTAACAGGCAGGGCGGTTTTAGGCAGTACAGGGAGTAACAGACAGGGCAGTTTGGGGCGGTACAGAGAGAGTAACAGGCAGGGCAGATTGGGGCTGTTCAGGGTCTAATGGGCTTAAGCCAGGAATTAGCCCACTTTTGGAATTTGACCCTAGCTATTCTGTAACCAGTTTTGATGAGTTCAATGCCAAGATGCTAATTTAGTTAGTTTTTTTTTACACCATTTGCATGTAACTCTTACTGTCAAAAGACCATGTCATCTGTGCTGACAGGCAAAACAGTTACACAGCATTTATTTTATTTTTCCCATATAGTACAGCATATCAGTTTCTTTTAAACAATCCATATTCCTGCTTAAGGTTAGTACCTGTGGTCAGCAGAACTGATGTGCTTACTGGCACGCAGCATCATAAAATGAGAGAGGTTTCGCATCCGAACGGATGTGTACGCATACATACAGCAATCCTAAACCGTTATCGACCAGTCCATGTTTCACATCGTCTACGTCTATGGATAGACTTTAATAGTTATCAGAATTATTTCCAATAAAAGCAGAAATCCAAAATGGCTGCTTCGAATGAAAGCATTGTGTCTGCGGCAACACGCAGACAAATGGCACATATTTCCGTTCAGCAAGTCATCCTCTTTCAATCAAATCATACGAGATTAAATAACTTTTCAGAAAAGAGGGTGAAAATCAACATATTACTATGTGTTTCAAATTGATGCATAGTACCCAAAATAAATGTGCTGTGTACACACTTAGTGGATGACATTACAAGCCCACACAAACTGATGACCTATCTGGCAAGCGAACCATATCCTTTTGCTTGCGATACCTCTCTATTAATCCCACTGAGCCCAATGGTGCAGTTTACCTCTTCCTCGGGAACAAACAGCATATCGGGCTCACACTCCACCTGTTGATGGAGGCCGGCTGGGATCTCTCTAGGAGCCACTGGGAGGAGAGGGGATGAGGGTCCGGCCGAGGCGTTGGATGATACCTCCTCACCGTTCTCTTGCTCTTCATTCTCTCCCATGGCTTGGATCAGGCTGGATTCTGTCAAACCATGCAATTGTAACCTTTCTAAGGATTTGCAGGATGACTTTATACAACGTCTGAATAAATCCCCATTATCTGATTGGTGGGTCGTTGATCACATGTCACTTTGACCTGACGACCCCAAAAGCAATAGGCTTCTTAAGACTACCAAGAGCAACCCACAAACCAAAATTGAAGTTCCTAAGTGAAGTATTGCTCAAGTTTTCGCGCCCACAAAATTTATGTTTTAGCAACAGTGACCTTGACCTTTGACCTGTCGGCCCTAACAGCAATAGGTTTCTTAAGACTACCAAGAACAACCAACAAACAAAATTTCAAGTTCCTAAGTGAAGTATTTCTCAAGTTATCGTGCTGACAAGAGTTAACCTAACCAAAACATGACACACACATACATGTACATACTAGCATATTTGTTAGGGTGTAAACCGAGGATTTTCTTTTGTTCCTCTTCCCTTTTCCTTTGTTTGTACTCTAACTTTTTTGCAACAGCTCTCATTGGTTTTGTACAAGTTTTCTAATCGATTTGGTTCCTGTTCTTGATTCACCGATGATGTTGCACATGTGTGTCCTCGATCTACACCATAAACAAATGCACCCAGACACACAGCAGGAATACACTATCGCAACAGGTCTCTCTCAAATGACGTCATTTCCTACAGACCAGCCACGTGCATCAGCATTTTGAGCGTCAACTTGCATAACGCGCATCAGCTACGTCGTATTTCGAACACATTTCGAGAAGCGCGCATATTTGGAACACTTTCAAGGCTGTGCCATGCGTGCTTGATTGCGTAAAATATGTACTTGCAGTTCTCCTACATACAGAGATGGACGTCTTTGAGAGAGACTTATATCCCCCTTTGGGCTTAAAAGCCAGGGGGATAAAAATGAAGAGTTTACCTCGCTTTCAACTTAAAAAATGAAACTATTTTTCAGCATGTAACCCAAAAATAGCAACGGGAATGCAAGTTCAAGGATTTAACCTGATCGTTTCTTCTCCAGGGATGTAGTGGCTCCCCAGATGTCCTCGGGGGTGGGGGGCTCGGGGCGTTTGGGCTTACACTGGTGTCTCTGGGCCTCCAGGGTGTTGATGGTGATGCGCATCAAAGACTTCACCTCAGCTTTTAGCTCCAGCTGGTCAAAGTTGTACTGAACAACCAAATGGGCAGGGAAACACACGTCAAAGCAATCTTAGACAACCTTGTGCCGTTTTCATGGAGCTGCTAATCACAGCAATTTGCTTAGCATGAAAAGACTTCCTCAGCAAAAAGAGGATTACCAGCCAAATTGCCATTTGATGCTTATTGCTTGTGATTGGTATTCAGTCGTTGTTTGCTTAGCATGAGAATCACATGCAGTTTTGGCTGGTACCCTGCTTTTACTGAGCCAGACTTTTTTGTGTTAAGCAAATTTATGTGCTTACCAGCTCCATGAACTTGGCCCCAGATCTCAGAGAGCACAACATTCTATTCAATTGATTGAGAATGGCTATTCACTGGAAACCTTTTCATGGATCTGGTCGACACAATGGGTTGGGTTTGGCCCATTCGTTCCTGTTACGTGATAATCCTATATGATAGCACTGCCCGGCTCACAAGTGACTATGAGTCAGTGGGTCTGGACCAATATAGTGTTTTTTGTAAGGCGGCGGAACACTTTGCCCCAATGTAAAGCATATTAGCTCAAGTTGTCTACTGACACTCATTCAAATGGGTCCTGTGTTGTCAACCGTAAACTTGAAAAATGGACTCTCCATGGCAAACTCTTGGTGGCGCACTGCGCACTGCATTGTGAATCGCCCCAATTGTTAAATAACACAAGAGGCCCTGAGCTGTGACCTTACCTTGTAGAGTATGATGAGGACCGACAGGAGCCAGGAGTGCCTGCAGTGAGGCTCCAGGAACCACAGGGTGTAGTCATGGGGCTGCATGTCCTGGGGAGACTTCTGGGGCGAGGGACAGTAGGCAAAGAGCTCCATGATCATGGGCAGAAGAACGTTGCCCACCTTGACGTTGTGGTCCAGCATCTGTAGGATGCGAGGGGGGCAGGGATTATCAGAGGAGTTGTGATTGCGTTATCACAAGTCATTACAAATCAATCACAAGTCGTCACAAGTAAATCACAAGTCAATCATAAGTCACTCACAAGTCATCACAAGTCAATCACAAGCCATCAAAAGTCATCACAGGTCATCACAAGCCAATCACAAGTCAATCACAAGTCACCAAAAATCTATCACAAGTCAATCACAGATCATCACAAGTCAATCACAAGTCAGTCAGAAGTCATCACAAGTCATTGCGATCCTTAAAATAATTGCAAGATTTAACTAGAAGCATAACATCTCTCCTCACACTACTTCAGAAAGCAGAGTGTCTAACATTTTTCAGTGATTAACTTATCAAAGGGTTTCTGGCTCATTTCGTTTCATGACATGAGCTCTATAACTTCTTGTTAAGTAACTTAGCCGAAGGGGTCTCACGCCAATTTATGTAAAAGCACTTCGTTTGTTACTCTTTTATTTTAGATTGAACCAGAAATATTCTGCAGTTGGGGAGCAAATCTGGAGTTCTCCCGTTGGAGACAGATCAAGTTTTCTATAGATGCATTTTAGGATTATTAGATCTGGGTCCACCATCTCTGCCTGCCGTAACTGTGTATATTTGGTGAACATCCATGTGCATATTTGGTTGTCTGGTGAACATTGGTAAAAAGGGCTGATAAATTAACTGTTTAACTTCACTAGGACTATCAGTCTCACTAAGGATTCAATTTGTCAGATGTCATTAACCAGTGTCGATCTCAAGACAGGTAGGCAGAACAACAGTGTGAGAAGGCCTTTCAGGATACCTTCGGTGCCCCTGCCATGAAGGCATAGAAGACAGCCGACTCTCTCAGCTGCTGAGGAGCCAGGATGAAGCATTTCTCTACTTGATTGTAACCCATGAGCACACTGAGGTGGCGGAGGACTGTACTCTGCTCCAGACAAAAAGAAGAAGCATTAGTTATTTCATCGTCTCTAATAAAACTCTTTATTTTACATACATCTGGACTTCCACATTCTGAAGATGAACTCCAGTTCAAGTCTTCACTGGGTTTCTTCAAAAATCTGCCGCTTTATGTCAGAAGCAATGTAGAATTTTCAGGGCTTTCTTTCTTTCTTTCACACTTTCTTTCTTTCTTTCTCAATTCCGCTTTAACAGATGCAAGAAGTTTTTGTTGCACATTCTGGGATTGATTCTGCTCTGTGGGATTGAATCTGTCTCAGGTAAAAGAAAGAGACCGAATAAAAATCAAAGAATAAGAAGAAAAATCAAAGAATGTAGATGAATGTAGTGATAGAAGTGACAATCATAAACATTTTGGGATTTTATGCAGAAGTAGTATTAGTCTATTATTTAAAAGTAAATTCTGGGTTTTGTTTTTTTCAAAGAGAGAGTTTTCATCAGAGGAATTACGTAACAAAGATATAAAGTATAAAGTGAAATAAGAAACAAAAATTGTAATAATAAAAACATAATATAATATAGTCGTGAAGGATAAAAATGGAAGCATGCAGAACATAAAATATGAAACAAAGTGAGTCAACGCAAAATGATCTATAGATGATACAAAAGTAACATAGGGTTGTATGAATGATAGGGGCAGCAGTGGTCTGGTGTCTTTGTTAATGGAGCATACGGTACATCACGTGTTATTTCAGCAAGGGGTTGGGTACCGTCCTATATTAGGAAACAGTTTGGGAGATTTGGATGAAAACCACAAACAAGACTTGAAAGTGGTAAACCAAAAACAATCAAGAAATGTAAAAACAGATTGAATCTTTTGTTTTTCTTGTCTCCAATGAAGACAAGGGTGAAACATACACACCGTATTTTGGGATCTTAGAAATTAGCCAGCTGTTTCAAATATTCTGATTCTTAATCAGAAAACAGCGGATTCAGTGGCTTTGTTGTCAGTGATGGAATTCATGCATTCAAAATCTAGTGAATGAAGCTTTTTCAAAAATGTTTGTTATAGGAAAATTGTTAAATGAGGCTGATGCTTTCCAAATTCAAAGTTGGTGACCCTTAAGAAACGACAGGGTGCTCCCATATTTAAGACTATTCTCAAACCAACGATTAAAAGTAGGATTTTTTACAAAAATAATTCTTTTTTATTAAACTGCTGAATCAATCCGTTTCAATATTTACACCTCTGTGTGCAGTTTACAGAAGTTTGAACAAGCACTCAAACATTTGCTTAGTGGGAATACGGTACATCGTAGCTCACCTTTTACAGAAAATGATAAATAAAATTTGTATTAAAATTAATCGATGAATGATGACAGCATTTTTTAGCAACATCAACATTTTTTCCCCTAGTTGCAGTGGCTCAATGAGCTCAGAATGCAGACAAGCCTGTAAGTGATGTCAACAATTCTTGGGACCAATGGGCTTTATCCGTCTGTGCTGTGTGCTATGAGCATGCAATATCTTGCTGGCTGTACAAGTAGGCATTAGACCTTGATTGCACCAGCACACACTTGCCATTTTCAAACACAAATCTCTGAGGGCGTGATGAGGTCCAGTATGGTACACAGACTGCCGACGATTACTGGGAACGTGGACAACCAGCATTGCTTTGCAACAACAGGTGTATTTATACACTTACAGGTAGTACAGACAAATCGGGGCACACTTGTAATTATACAAACAATATATACATAATGTCATCCTTGGTCAATGAGATCGCCCTCCACTGATGTCACTGAGATATGTGGCAGGCAGAAGTCAACTGATGACGAAAAAACCCACATATTTTTGTGCACTGAATTTAGGCCTGCCACTTTCTATTTTCTATCAAGAGAGGGCGCTCGTGTCTTTTTAAAAAAATTCTTTGCACATATTGCGAACGGGATTTAACAGACGGACGATATTTGTAGGGGACAATGACGCACTCGAGGCCACAATTCATGACATAGGGACAATGCTTTTTGTACAGGACTGCTGTTAGCCAATTTCAGATCTCTTTCCAAAATGAATTTTTTTTTAATATTTGAAATTTTTTGCAAATATGAAGGTTTATTGAGGGCATAAAAGACAGAGTTAAAGTTGCTCTTCTTAATATTTTTTTCTCTCTTTTACTTGAATAGAAAAAAAACCAGTTTTGTTCTTTTTAGGACATTTTCAATTGCATCCAAAACGCTCAAAAAATATGCCTGAATTATTGTTTGGCAAAAATAATTTGAAATTTGTAAAGTAACTTTTCCACAACTTTTACATGTTTGGTGGATGTTTTGGCTCGATGCTTCGTTCAAAATGACTAAAATTTGTCTTGCTAAAAAAATACATAAAGCAATTTAAAAGCAAAATATTGCTTTTTATAGTTGAAAAAAAAAACACAATCCACTGTAAAATTGTATGGGGTGAGAAACTTTAAGTAAAAAGAACACATAACGAGCATCTTCTGGAAAACCAACTTTTATTGTGTAGTGAACCATTGGATGAATTTGAAAAAACTAAATTGTTCACTGCCAATTTTTTTTTTAAATGTCAGGAAAAATATTCACAGGCTTCAAACTTTACGCGTGGTTTCCATTGTGTGTGCACACTTGTGCAGCTACACTCACACATAAGTGCATGGGCATTGTCTTATCTTTTTAGATTTGAAAAAAAAGAAGTGCGAGTTAATGTAGATTTGACAGATCTAACATTGGCTAAAACGTGGCCAAAAAACAAGTGAAACAGGGGTCAGACGAGAGGACCAAATCTCCAGAACAGGACCATGAAACATTTCGGAGGGGGGTAATGACCGTGCCACAGGGCATACTCTTCGCTACGGATGAACATGACGTGCAGTTGGTACTTATCGGCTACACAATGGGTGGTGTGCGGCTTTATTTTTTTGTCCACGGACTCAAAAACAGAACGCCACGGGGATTTTCACACTGCCGATGAGATGCACAAAACCAAAGCTGGGAATGGAAAAAGGCTGGATTTTTTTCTGGATACTTTTATTTAATATTGTTTTCTTCTGTCTTTCATCAAATGTATTTGATAACACTGTAAGCAAAAACTACAAACGTCTATTGTATCGAGTATATTCACTCTTTTTTTTTCTAACACTTTGGTCAAAGTTACACCCCCGATCAATACACCTGTACCACATCAATTTGCAAATTATCAAATGGCATATTGGTAAATTATCATGCACTGTTCTAGTAATTTTTAAGCAATTTTTTAAAGCGTGCAATTAAAAAAAAAAAAAGATTCTCACAAAACAATATTCCCCTTAACTTGCCCCTAATATTACTCCTTAACTTCACCTACTACTCACTTCATTTCCAGCAAATGGCATTTGTTTGAAAACAAACTGCACACCACAAAAAAAAGATGTGTCAGAAAATGGGCCTGTTACCAAACCCATCCTGGATTCTTAAAATAAACCCAAAAAAATCCAGCCGTATTTTCCAACAGCTCCGACTTTGTACAGCCTCAAGTTTGCGCGTGATGGACACAGGACATGGCAATGGACGGACGGATGTGAATAGGGGGTGGGGGAGCCTCGCTAGGGGGCACACTAACCTTACGCATCATATTTCTCCCCTTCACAGAGTTCTGGAACGTGCACAGGTTTAATGTATACATACATTATGCGGATTAGAAAAGCAACGTAGCAGGCTTTGTCACACTGTACTCCCAAAGACTAAAATCTCCTGAAAACCGCTTTTAACTTTTAAACCTTCTTACACCCCTCGAAATCCACCCGAAGGTTTGGGAGGATTTTGCATGAATGAGAAAGACACAGAGGTCGAGTTTGGGTGGTCTGTTCTTGACAAGGGTATATTGTTCGTGCGAAACCCTGACAGATAGGTTGTGTGTGTGATCCTATGGTGCAGTGTTTGTGGGTCGTGTTCCCGCCGTTTGAGCACGAAAAAAAGATACCCGTGTCAAGAACAGACCGCCCGAACTCGGCCTTTGATGCCACTTAAAAATTCAAATAATGTGTCATTGGTTTCCCGCACAGCGGGGGAGTTTGGAGAGCTTTTGAAGACATGTTACAAAAATGCCCAAGGAGTATTAAAGGGTTAGTTATAGTAAAGGCTTTTCCCTTGAAATAATAGATCGTGCTTAGAAACAATTCAACTAGGTTTGAAAATGAAATCACACACAGCTAGTAAATTTCAGCTCAATGTGGTTTTCAGTGGTAGTTATGCTATATATTAATTTATTCAATGTGTCTTTTTTTTTCAGAAGGGTTACTAAAAAAAGTTTTTAAAAAAAAGTGCAAGCACATTTGGCCCATGGTTTTCCGTTTTCAAAAGAATAAACTCAGCTTAAAGTGGTACTTATTTTGATGTATTTAAAAAATTTTGGAAGACAGTGTGACAATGTTTGTAAATTAATTTAGCTCCTTCCAATGCACCATATGAAGACCAGGGTAAGATTTCTGTGAATAGAAATAATACTAAAGATTTCTCTATATATCAGCATTCTCTAAATGAAACATGTTAAATGCAATACTGCCCAGTCAACAGTACACCAATATTGAGGTACATGCTAATATACTGACCAGGCAATAACATATTGACCAGGCAATAATATATGGACCAGGCAATAATATATTGACCAGGCAGTAATATATTGACCAGGCAATAATATATTGACCAGGCAATAATATATTGACCAGGCAATAATGTATTGACCAGTCAGTAATATATTGACCAGGCAATAATATGTTGACCAGGCAATATATCATTATACCCCTATATACTGACAGGCACTGAGAAATTCCTTCAGCCACATGGGAATGAGGTGGTTATGCATGTATTTGCTGCTTTGCTAAACATTCTTTCTAAAAGCATTACTTATCAGTCCAACATACATTTGTAATAAATAACTGACTAATGTTGCAGCAAGTAAATATTAAAGCAAAATTGTAGATGTATGTTGTTGCACCCCAACTACAGCAGTATCCCAACTATATTCGGGAGGTCCCAACTATAGTTAGGGCTGTCCTAACTATAGTTGGGACCTTTGCTAAAGTTGGGATGTAACAATTATGTGCGTTAACTTTCATTGTTAAAGGGAATATACATCATTTGCTTTTACTGTAATTTTCAGAAATGGATGGAATTGGGGGGTTGGAAATATATAGCAAATATAGTTACACTGACTTTTTTGAGGTTCTGGGTTCGAAAATGCTATAAAAACCAAGAAAAACAATCATTTTCCTGTAGTCTGGTTCCCTGACTCCATATAAGAAGAAACAGAGCAGTTTACATACATTGGGGAATTGTAAGGTCAGGGAACCAGTCTAGCTGGCTCGTACCCGTTCATTGGTTTGTAATCGATTGCAAACAAGTGCGATGGTCAATTGGGGGCAGTATTTGAAAAAAAGCCAGTTTTTTCCAACGCTGATCGGCCAATCAGCGTTGGAAATTGATACAAAAATACCACTTTTCTTGAAAATGACAGTATACCAGGTGCCATGATTTTACAGGATGCTTTACACTGTCATTCACTAACAGTCCAGCAAGGTATTTCAAAATGATTTGGTAGTTTTATTTTTTTGATGTTTGCAAATGTTGTATTTTCCCTTTAAGCTAATTTGCTGAAGTGAATTTTCATATACCAGATTTAATGAAGAATTAAAAACCTTATTCAACAAGTTGGAATATTAAACAAGTAACACCACATAGGAATGACTTACCATGGCTCTGCCTGATGTCTGTTCCTCATCTGCACTACTGTCTCTTGTCATGAACTAATAGCGAGAGAAAGCAACAATACAACTATGTGTTTGCTAAAAAGGAGCACTGTGCCTTTATGGGTTCTAAAAAGTGTTTAAAACGAAACAGTTGGAAAGTTCAACAGGTAGAATATTAACGTAACTAAACCATGCAAATTTGTAGTCAGTAATTATTGCCCTGCCTGCTACATTTAGCATAGACTTGACGATAAGTCATTAGACAGTCTTGCTTTGTCTGTCGAGGCCTCCGATATTTACTAGCATGGCCCTTGCTGTGTATCGTGTTCATATTACGTCCTGGCCTCGACATGTCTAACTGGTAATTGGAAATGACGTACATGCATTTTGGAGCCGACGATGCATGACTCGTTCCCGCATGTGCCATACCCGCACACCACACGTAGCCCTGGGACGTCGACAGTATGCAGTATAACACGTAGTGTCAACGCAGGCAAAATTAAACCTGGCCAATTACTGACTTGATGTCAAGTCTAATTCTTGCACTGCCTAAAACCACTTCAGCACTCCATGGGTGTATGGATTCATTATACAAATATTGAGTGGCTCAGAGTGGAATGGGAGGAATATTTATCGCAAGGTTAAATCATGATTTTCCATTTCACGAGGCGAAGCCGAGTGAACTGGAAAAGTCCAGATTTTACCGAGCGATAATATTCCTCCCATTTCACAATTTAAAGCCACTTAATATTTGTTTTATATAACTGACATATAGATCCTTGTCATTTGATATTTGAACTTTTATTTCAATACAAAATTGATGGAAAATGTATTTTTCTCTTCCAAACCACCCCTTCACGAAAATGTTTGAACCCAACACTGTAGCGCTGGCTTTGGAAAAATACGCGCTACGCGCAATGCTGAACCCGCACCTCAGCATGCATTTGCACACAAATAGTGCATCATGGAACAAGAATGGAATGATCCTAACTGTTCAATAGTATTTCCCATTCCCCATGGGCGAATGGGACTTTTTGAGCACTGGCGCGAATGAGAGCAATAACGAATGTCACGTGATGTGAGTTCCACCAATCAAATGACAAGGATCTGTATGTCGGTTATATAATAACGAATAAATACAGTGTAGTACAATTTAAATACGAGTGCTAATTGGTTAAACTCTTTTGGTCTTATACTTTTCTAGAGCCAGGCAGTTTTCACTGTGGCTATGGATTATCTAAGCTCTTTATTAATGGCAGAAAGCCTAAGCCGTACTCTTGACTGGTTACTTAGCCTGTACCTTCATCAGGAGTGATATCAGCTTGTGTACGGTCTCCTTGTCCAGGCTAGATAGGTCCAGCGCACATGTAGGCATGTCTGGCTGTTGCTGCTCTTCCTGCACTGTCTGCAAATGACCATCTAAAGAAAGACAACCAATTACTTGTTTCTTTTTCTCGGAAAGGTTCGACTACAACACTGATACATAGTGAGTCAGTAAACCCAGTACTAAAATTATTCATATTATAAGCCAGCGAGAATGACAAATAAAAATATTCAAGAATTATAGACAAACAAAATTCTACTAGGGAAAGGCAGCTCCATGCACTGGCGGATTTCGTTTTTGATTTAAAACAGCAAAAATGACAAGTACACAAATAGAAAAAGAACTATAGAGCATACTTTCAAACAGCGACTCTCCCAGTGGTCCTGCAGACTCTGACTCTGAGGATTCAGAGAGTCTACTGTAGGTGGAACGATTCGCTGTAAGACAAACAAAAATATTGAAACTGTTAATGTACAGCCTCGACATGGGCAAACAAGGTCAAACGGATGGCATTTGTAAACTTTTCTCACAAACGGTTACATCAGTCCCAACCTAGATCTATATCACAAAATTATCAGTTTTGGACGGTTGACGTCTCATTTTAAAGTGGAAAGGTGTATCTTTCAAACCATTCATATATGATCTATATTGGTTACACATTCTACGTCTATCATTCCGGTATATTTTGTTTGCATTTTGTTTGAGACTGTATAAGCACAAAATTGTTGTTGTTGTTAACAGTGAGCACGAACTTACTTGATGCAAAGTAGATTCGGCTGAATCCGTTGGCAGTAGCCGGGGAGGACATGCTCCTGCGCTTGAAGTTGGTCTTCATGTTGAACGAGGACAGACGCCTGGGCTTGAGGGAGCTGTTCATCTCAGACTGGGACCTGGCCACCCGGGCCCGCGTCTGTTTGTTGAGGAAGGTATCCATCCGGTCCACCACCCCGGCCTGTGAGCGGCTCAGATCTGGGTAGACATTGGGTGATTGTTGTTTAATATATTTTTGAGTGAGCCCACTGTGACCAGACCCTAGAGCGAGTCGCTGTATGTTGATGTTGTGGCGCGTCCCCTATAAACATGGCCCACTTTGATATCTCTACCTTAGCGCCTTGTCTGAGAAAAGGTTTCACCCTCAATTTTCACAGGAAAAGAGTCTCGTGCACGCGCACGCACGATGCTCAAGTGCCGTATCAAGCATCTGGGGAAGTCGTTTATCCTTGTGTAGAGGATCCGTGGTTGAACGATCCTATAATGATTACCACAATACCAAACATTTGCCTACATCAAACTTCCCCTTTGGCTCCTGAATTTTATCTGCAACTGTAATGCGCATTTGATCATTTGATCACCAAATTTTGATATATTAACAAACAACCCATATCTTTTATACTATAATGATGTTCTACTTCAACTGTATGGCCCTAAAATTCTCAAAATAAGGTCACTTTCTACTGATACAACAACTTAATAAAAGGATAATATGAGTAAGTTTGCACTTGCACCATGTGACTTTTTTTTTTTTTAGTTTGTGAGGTTCTGAATGGAAACAGGGAAAACTCATCGTTCAAGGCATAATGCTCCACCTGTTATCTCCAAAGGGATAGATATTTCATTTTTGAACAAAACAAATACGTGACAAACTAAGAAACCCACCAATAGGGAATGGGAACTCCTTGTTGTGTTCCATCTCCACCTGTGCCTCCAGGGCCAAGGTGTCCAGACGATTCATAAAGAACTCCCAGGATAAGATCATCATGTCTGGCAGGAAGTGCTGCAGCTTGTACAGAGCATTCAGGATCATGACTCGGTCCTCCACTACGCAGTCCCATTGGAACTCCAGGCATCCAACCAGGACCTAGAAGAGAGTCCAAAGATCAATGAATTATCAGTATATCTTCCCTGTCTCGTGTCTGCTTACCATTGTAATGTTTTTGTTTGTCTGTTTGTTGGTTTTTTGCAAGTTTGTTTGTTTGTTTGTCCTGTGTTGTTTCTGTCGGCTGTTTTCCACAAGCTTCTGCTTATTAAAACAGCCTCATACTCTATTTGCGTCTTTTATTTTGCTGTTAACTTGATATTAACTGCTTTATTGTTTAACCCTTTTCTCTAAAGTTTGTATATATATATATATTTTTTTCTCTTCATGAAGCATGGAAATAAATGTGAAGTTGAATTGAATTGAATTGAATTGAATTGAATTTGTGATTGAACGAGGGTATCGTAGGTACCAACAGTTGAACCATAATGTTAACTGATGGAATTCAGCAACTTTGCTTCAATCTAAGAACAGTAAAATATCAGTAATATATGAAATTTATGTCAATAACCTGATATTTATGTGTGTTTGTACCCCCAAATTTGCATCATTACAGCCACGGGTGTCGCTGAGTTTGTTTCTGCATTCAATAGAGGACGTTGAACAATAGAGGACAATAGGGTCCACAATTCCCGAGAGGTCCCCAATTTGGATTTGTGTACAAAACATAAAGGAGGTCTTCCTAAAAAGTTAATGTACAAACAAAAGAGGGACAATTGGGAGTCCCGATTGCAGGCAAATACACACTTGTATGCGTTTATTTATGGTGTAAATCGAGGACACACACGGGCAACATCCTCGATGAATTTAGGACAGGAACTAAATCGAGAAAAGTTGGAAACGTGTACAAAACCAATGAGAGCTGTTGTAAAAAAGTTAGAGTATAAGCAAAGGAAAAGGGAAGAGGAACAATAGAAAATCCTCGATTTACACCATAAACAAATGTAGTATGCGTGTGTGTGTGTGGGGGGGGGGGGGTTGTCTGGTGGGGTGGGGTGGGGTTAACACCCCCATTAATAGTTTTTGTCGTCAAAATCGTCCACCTGTCAACAAAAACATGTGTCTGTCGGCAAATGCGTCAGAATAAAGAGCGCCACCTATTGTCGGATAGTGTCCACGATCTTCCACTTTGAACAGCACACCCTATGGGGAGCTGGCGTCCTGATAACAACGCCCTCATTCACTCTGAACAACCGCCTGTAATGAGCGTTGTACCAGTTTGGAGCTGGTCCATTATTTTTAATGTTACACTTTCATTTTGTAAGTGTAGTGCACATGATATGCGTGTTTACAACTGTCGCGCGACAACAATAAACATCCAAACAAAGACTGAGCGTTGACAATAAATCGGCCTTATTTGTACCTTGAGGACTTTTTTAGGGACGGTTTCCAGCATGATCATAGCCCTGGATGAGACAGCCGGGCAGATATCATCAGAGGCAGACACTAGGGTGCTGAAGGCACAGGCCAGGGAGCACATGATCACTGAGTTGTTACCAAGGGACTTCTTCTCCACGAACCGAAGGAGAGCCGTCACTCGCTCAACTGCAGGGAAATAAACAAGAAACTTTGTGTTCACTGCTTTCTGGGTTTTTTTAATGTAAATTCACCATAAAGGCAAAGACTACTGAATGTTGCAGTAGGGCTGTTCTGAATATATCAATATTCAAATATTTGATCATCCACCTTATATTGATACATACATGATGCTCTCTATACAGGGTGGATAAAAAAAAAACCAAAACCGAGATATTTTTGCTAATTGGAACAGAAGAAGGGCACATGTGAATCAAAGGGAGATATCCTCTGTTAGGATTGAATCTCCTCTTTAAAATGACACCCTGATCATGTCATTACATTCACGGTTGACTGAGTAGTGACCAATTTCATAAAAGGGTCTATTTAGAGAATTGCGCCACTATTCATGGTGAAATCTCTTTTTTCCCCACCTGCCTTGATTGGCAACCATAGCCATGACACCACAAAAACCACAATTGAAAAGTGGCGCAATTCTCTAAATAGACCCTTTCATAAAATTGGTCACTGCTCAGTCAACCATGAATGTAATGACATGACCAGGGTGTCATTTTAAAGAGGAGATTCAACCCTAACAGAGGATATTTCCCTTTGATTCACATGTGCCCTACTTCTGTTCCAATTAGCAATAATATCTTGGTTTCGTGTTTTCTTATCCACCCTGTATTATGTAACCCTGACTGTCAGGTTCCGACAAGTACACACAAGTTCAGATCAGCAGCCCAATCAGCACACGTAATTTTCAAGCATGCCTACAGTTTCTGACCAGCACGTGCAATTCTCAACTGGTTAGGCTGGCACATGTAAAATATAAATTGTCTGATATGTGTATTTATTTTCTAGTTTAATAAAGCATGGTCTAATAAGTCTCAGTTGGATCTTCACGTCAAAATGATTTTCCCTTGACGAAAGTTTAATGTGCATTGTGCCTGCCTGACGATAAAAAAAGGGGAATACATGAGGTAGACAAACGATATGTGTTAACATGAGTGTACTTCTCAGCACACAAATACCAAGCTTGTCTGCAATGGGCCCATTGTATTCTGAATTTGTTGCAGGATTCTAAACAACTTCCCATAAATCTGGGTAAAATAAAGTTAAACAATGCTAATAACTTCATGATGGGAAGGTTCCGGGGAAGTTGTTCAGAATCCTGCAACTTATTACGATACAATAGGTCTGCTGCTGCGGGAAAACTTTCCCGGAACTTTTCCCGGATATTTACTGGGATGACTCCTTACCGGCGCAGAAGCGTGCCTTCCAGTCCTCGTTTTCCACATCCCGCTGCAGCAGGTTCCACATGGCGTCGGATCCGTGGGGCAGGGCCAGGCTGTGAAGGAACAGCGGCACCAGGAGCTCGTTCACATGGCTCAGCTCACCTTTCAGTAAGTTCCAGAAGCTGGGTGGCGGAAGGGGACAAATGAGAGAGAGGATTAAGGATTGGAAAGATCAATGGTGGGCTTGTGTCCTTAATTTAAAACCCCAAAGGGTTCCTCAGGACTACCCTGCTAAATCCAACAGAGTCTGACGGTTACTTCCTGCTCAATCCAACAGAATCCAACTGTGCCTAATTTTTAGTTGTCTGCTGGATCCAACAGAGTCCAACTTGGCGTTATTTATCAGTACCCAACAGAATCTGACTCTGAATATGTACATGTACATTTGTACAATAAGTTTACTGCTCAATCCAACAGGCTCCAACAGGTTTATGATGAAGTTGGATCCTGTTGGATTCAGCAGGGTTAGGGTTTTAAGCTAGGCTTAATTCAGCAACTGCTTGAAGTGGGTGAAATAACAGACATTTACCAGACTAAAGACATTTTGTACTTTAAACTGATTATGGTTGGATCATCATTTGGGAGTTGTTTTTAAAAAATATATGCCCAACACACAATAGGGCCCAATGTCATGGTGCTGCTTAACAGTTAGCAGAAACGTTGTGCTAACTATAGCAGGAAGTTGTGCTGACCTTAAGCACTATTTCATGGCGTGGATGTGCTAACCGTCGCGCGCACATGGAGATTTCTATCATTACGTCACTAATTTAAGCATTTTTTTCCGAGCCAAGCGTCCCTCTTGTGTGCTTGCTGCTTATGGTCTCTATGGAATGGACGGAGGCTCCGTTAGAAGAGAATCACGTGCTTAGCAGTGCCATGAAATTGGGCCCATGCGTTCAACTGCAGTGACACTGATTGCCAATTAATCTGTGATGTAGTACTGTAGTTACCATGTTTATATCTGAAGAAGTTAGGATGGTATATAGTCTTATTGGACATGCTTGGGAAGTGAATATAAAGTGAATATTACATCAGGGGCCCTTGGTCAATCAAGAAAGAATTTGGCAATTATGAGCTTGGCTCGGGGGCTATGGTGTCACTGGATTACAGATAAGGGCTGTCAGGGAAAGTCTGTATTTTCAATACTTTTAGAGAATGATCATTTCCATTTTAGCAGTCATTTGAACTCTGACAATGGAACTTTGTTACCTTGGGATGAGCAGTTTATTCTGGGCATACTTCAGGAACGCGTCGTGATCTTTGGCCGCCTGGCGCAGACACTCCGCATTCAGGCACAGTATCTTGATGCAGTTGAAGAGGTTCAGCAGTACATCGGGGTCTCTCTGTCTGGGTACCTCCTGTACCATGACAGGAACAAAACAATGCAATCAAGACAAGGCAAGCCTAGTGAAGTTGGTTCCAGAGCACACAACATTCTATTCAACTGATTCAGAATGGAAATGAAACATCCACGTAACTTATTGCCTACACATGTATCATGAAAGTACACGAAACAAGCGGCGCCAGACTAATGCACATGTGTCGCAGACCCTACAAGCATTAGGCAGACCAGTGTAAGTCACAAGTGACAGTCAGTCGGTGATATAGGTAACCAGTCACGTGGAGCATCACTCATGCACTTGATTACTTCATCAACTTTGCACAACTTTGCACAACTTTGCACAAAACATATTCTCGAGCAACATTGTACATTTTGGAAGCATTCTCAAACAAAAACCCCCTAAACACATTAGATTTGTACAGATGACACCATCTTTGTAAAAATTCTTCACATAAAGCCTGTCACGAGTGATGACCATACAGTATTGTAAGTGCATTCTAAGTAAATTGTGACAGCTCAAAATTCACAATAATATGTTCCTATTGTCCAGGCAGTTTTTGTGTCTTTTTCATTCTGTTTGTAGAGATTGGGAGAAGAGATTGACCGACTGTACCCCTCACCTTAAGCAGCACATACAGTAGCTGGATTGACTTGGGCAGCTCCTCCAGTTTGAAGCGAGCTTCCTTCTGTGACCCATTATCACCGTCCTTCTTTCCCTTAGAAGTCTTGTCTGCAAATAAAAATAAAAGGTTAGTCGGGTTGGTACAGTTCCACTGCTGTGTGGCCCAGGTTTGATTCCTGTTCAGACCACATGTACAATGGGTTTTCAGTCCCTACCTGATTCCGTGGGTTTTCCCCAGAAAAATCTTTTGGAGTTTGTCTCCCACCTCTAAACTGTAATTTCTTCTGATTATCTTCTCTCTACAAGTTTCTTCAGGCTTGCGAGCTACAGTGCCTAAGGCACTTTTGAGGAATCCTTAGTTTCATTACTTGAACGAAACATATAAAAAAATAAATTAACCCTAACCCCTTGAGCACTTTTACTAGAAAGTATCCTGAATCCACCAAAATCCACCTATTGTTTCACGCACAAAAATGTTGGTGCTGGTGACTGTTCAGTATGGAGGTATCCCGAATCCATCAAAAGCCTGCAATACCGCTAGGCTTACAATTGTGAATCCATCAAAATCCCCGTTTTCAATATGGAGGTATCCTGAATCCAGAAAACTCCAAAACAGGGGTATGGATTTCAATGGATTTAGGTCCATTAGGGTTAAATCTAATAAACGCCAATCAGTGCACATTTGAATTGAATACCTATTATCAACAAGACTAGGCAAGCCTAGTAAAGCTGGTCCCAGAGCACACCAAAAACTGTTCAACCGATTCAAAATGGCTATTCATTTTTATGCATCTGGTCTACACAATGGACCGGATATAACCAATTCATTGGTGTTATGGGGTAATCCTATATGACAGCACTGTCCAGCTCACAAGTGACAGTCAGTCAGTCAGATAGGCACAAAGAGGACAGTGGGCTGACTCTCTGGGACCAGCAAAAACTGCTTGTCATTTCTGTTAAGAAATTGCCTGGAACAAGTTACCGGTAAATTACCTGGTCTGACACAGCCATCACCCCTCCCCCTCCTCCGTCTTACCTCCAGCTGTTGCCTTCTTGACAGCCTTCTCCTTCTCTGCCTTCAAGTCCTTGGCTGATGGCAGCTTGACCGTCTCGGCCGTAAACACCTCCACTGGCTTCATCTCTGTAGCACTCAAGAATCCTTTGCCGGGATCTTTGGTCTGAACGGAAGTACAGTATATGTATAAATCCGATTTCAAGAAACTTTACGCAATGGCATAAATCCAGTTGCGCCACAACTTATTGCGCAAATTGCGCAACATTTCAGTTATGACAATTTCACGAAAGTTTCATAGTGCGAAAGTCCTTGATTTGCGTGATAAATTTTGGTGTAACTTGCGCAATAATTTTAAGTGGCATAAGTTGTGGCGTACCGACTGAAAATGTCCTATTTTACCAACAAATCGTGATTGTCGTGGAGCCTGTTATTGCACAACTTATCAAGGATTATACAAGACACTCACAGCTTTGTGTTTTAAGTAAAAGAATTGCTATTTTGCTTGTGACATATTTTTTAGAGTTGCCGCACGATTAGCCTATTGCGGTAGAATCGCGTCAACGCAGCTTGTGAAATATTGTCTTATTACACACAATATACAAATAGAGGCGGAACGTGCAAAATCTGAGGAAAAAAATAATCCATAGGGTTGTCTAAGGGGCGTGGCTAACTTGGCAAACGGAGATAGGTCAATTCTGAAGAAAGTCGGACAGAAATGTTTTCACATGGAGCGTGGAGGTGATTCAACAGCTGTTCCATGCACAAATAAAAAGCACACACAGACAGCCATCATAAAAGCTGTTATTAACCTCACCAAGATTTAATATTTAAAATGTTGCACAGCTATGACAAGTTTCGTGAAATCAATTATAAGCTTATTGCAAGCTGTGCAAAAATTTGTTGCGTAAGTCCTACGCATGGCATAAGTTACGCACTGTTTATTGAATTCGGTTTCTGGAGAGAGCCACGTGCTATTCACTGTGTGGGCAATGGATGTGGGGGGGGGGGTAATGGATTGGTTTATAGGGCACGTAAGTCACACTTATTTCGGCAATGCCGGCTATGTGCTAGTGTCGATTGTGACGGTTCTTTTACCTTAGTAAACCTCTTCTGTTTGCTGGAACCTCTCTCAGCCATTCGGTTCTTCTTGCCTTTCACATCATTGTTCAGCGCTTTGGCCTTGGCTAGTCCGTCCTCTAGAAACTTCTCAAACTGGTACTCAGAAACCTGACAGTGAAAAGCAAGTTTCAAAAACATGTTTCAAGCTTCACGTTTACTCCCTACTACTGTTAAGCCAGTACAAGTTACAAAAAAAATTATAACAGAACTTACAATAATAAGATTTTGAGAGGGTATATTTTGGTAAATATAAAAGCAGTGTGTTTAAGATGGAATTTGCGTCAGGGTGATGTAAATTCAATATTGGGTTTGCCCTTTACCGACGTATTTTATAAATACAGTGTTGCCCCCCGAGTGATTGTGAGAAAAAAATCAATCAGGTGGAACTCGAACCCACAACCTGCTGCTTACTGGTGCAGATGTCTTACCACTCGACCACCGAGCTTGCCGGGGTCAGCTGGCTGGTTCGAATCAGATATAGCAGCGGGTAATGTGAATAGCTTTGATAGTGCTAGAAAATTTTAAAACACAATAATTATTTCGGTAAGTCACCCCCCTCCCTCCTCAAAAAAGAAGAAATTATTGAAACTAACCTCTGGCATATCACAGACTTTGGTCTCGCTGACAGGCGAGATGTGCTCCAACAGCTTGAGGGAGAGCTGGAAGTAGATACCCCAGAGATCACAGGTTGAGCAAGCCCCCAGGGCCCTGGGCTGCTGGCCGTGGGGCTGGAATTTGCCAGAGCGGTGGTTGGTGCACTGGTGGGGGTCCAGCCAGGTCATGGAGAGAGTCTGGGTCAGTAGAGAGACAAAGTCCTTGGACTGGCTGTTCTCCATGCCTTGGTGAAAGGGCAGATACTGGAGATCCACCTGGTGGGATGATGTCCAAAAGGAGAAATTACATGAGAAGCTTTTTTCCAATCTTTGGGAGTGTGGCCAAGTGGTTAGGGTTTATGACCCATGATCAGAAGGTCGGGGGTTCGAATCCAGTTGCCGGCCATATGCTGTGTCCTTGGGCAAGCCACTTCACCCCAACTTGCCTTTCTCCACCCAGGAGTTTAAATGGGTACCGACATTAGCAGGGGAGTAACCTGCGATGGACTAGCATCCCGTATAGAGAGAATTTCTCAGTCCTTTCATACTACCAAAATCGGAGATAAATGCTGGCACGTTACCGACTTCACTTTACTTTCACTTTTTCCCAATGGTATCTGTGCTCAATTACCCTCCTCAGCGGTTCACAAGAGAAGGGGTTGGGGGAGAGTGAGACCACTGGGTGGAACTCTTGGAAGCATTGCTGGCGACGCCTGATGCTCACGCAGAGATGCTATTGGGTTGTATACATTCAGAATAACAAGAAGTTGGGCGCACTATGCGCCATACGTGCAAAGACAATTTCGGACAATTACATGAGAACACTTTCAACACAATAAATAACTTTCAAAGTTAATAAAAACTATGCTCTAAAAAGCTGCAATTATTTTTCCAAAGTTGTAAAAAAATTGTTTGGCAAATATGTATTTTGTTACCATCACAAGGAAAAACACAGGTGAATCATGAGTCCTATCATAGTAGTCTGGCTTGTCATCTGACTTGAGACTAGATGACTTGTGGTTGACTTGCGATTGACTTGTGTTTGACTTGTGATTGACTTGTGACTGACTTGTGATTGACTTGTGATTGACTTGGATTGACTTGTGATTGACTTGTGACTGACTTGCAATTGACTTGTGATTGACTTGTGATGGACTTGTGATGGACTTGTGATTGACTTGTCATTGACTTGTCATTGACTTGTGATTGACTTGTGATTGACTTGTGAATGACTTGTGATGGACTTGTGATTGACTTGTGATGGACTTGTGAGGTCTTATCCACAACTCTGTTCTACACACTGTTATGATACTGACCTGTACTCTACCACCACACACCAACATTGTATATGGAGGAACAGGGCATCGTGCAGGAACACAGTACCTGGGTGAGTGCATACACGGGGTACTAGACACTGACTAAATGACAAAACAGCTGGGGAAAATGACAGAGGGAACCACCATATACCATGTCATGCAGGAAATCTGTGAGAAGGGAGAAGGGGGAATTGAAATAAGAAGTACAAATATGACGGAAAATGACAGGGGGCTTGGGACAAATATCTCATGCATGCTGAGATATTTTTGCAATACATTGAATCTCTTGAAGACTCGGTGTACTCATGCATTTGTTCAGATTTTTGGGACTAAATACTTAGTAATTCAAAAGAAAGTTGTTGATAACATGTAGATCAACTAGTAAAAAAAGACACTATTCCCCAAACAATGCATTACTGCAGATTTAACTTTAGGCAATACATGTAGTAAAAACAAATTACAACTCTTTGGATAACCCTGGGCTTTGAAAGGAATAATACAATAAATACTTTATTGGACTGAATTCATACAGAATAACAACAGTTCTCACATGTTCTCAAACTCGAGTTGCAAATGCATTTTGGTTACCTTATTGGTCAAATGGGGGTTCCCACAGAAATCTTCAAATGAAATTCCGTGACTTTTAAAGAACAAAATTAGGGGTTTCATGACCAACTCCTACACAATTTTGGCATCTTAGGAGCTTATTTACAATACACTGGCCAGTCACCCCACTGAGGCAAGGGACGCCACTCCCTTTCAGCCTTCCAGTTTGACACAAGACAGCACAAAAGCATCACAGTGTGCACTGAAGGAGCAACAAGTATAGAGCATACATGCATAAAGAGGAGGTGTAGTAAACTGGAATGCAAACTGGAAGCCAAGTACATGTATTACGCATCATCACATATGGGCTGTGCGGGACTCCATGATTTTTCCATGACCTTTGTTTCTTGGAATATCAACTTTCCATGACTCCTTGTAAAACATACAAAATTCCATGACTTTGTCATGACTTTCCATGATAGCTTTAAATGCCAGAATTTTTCCATGAGTGTGGGAACCCTGACAATGGGTGCATGCATACAACCTGCACATAAATGTGAGAAATTCTGGCAAAATGAGACAGAACTAGGCAGAGGTTGAAATGACGGTTTGCAGGTATTCGCAAAGAGATAAAATTCTCCTTACAAAAACGTTTGTTCCACTTCAATCGGATATTCCATTGACAAGTTATGGCTGTTTAAAAATTTGCACTTATCGACATGTCAAAAAAGTAAAATACTGTCAAAAAAAGGACTTTAAAGTTTTGAGTTTTGCAGTAGTGAAAATGAAAGGTGCCAATTGTTTTTCCTTAAAAACACTTTTATTCCATGATTTTTATTTTTTTTTTAAACATGTGTAGCAGACATATCAAAGATTACAAATATCAAAAAATCTGAAAATGAAAACAAAATCACCCCATTCAATGTTTGCATTTTTCTCCACTACGGCCTATGTCCAGTTCCGTCTCCTTTTGCGAGAATGCCTCACAAATGTGATTTCACCTTAATAATGGTTTCTAAGTTAAGTCTATAAAAATGGTCAATCTACCCACCTGGATGACCAGCATATCAAGCATCAGGACAAAGCATCTGAGTATCTGCTCCTCATCCTGTTCCTGCATGGGTCCGTCATCAGGTGAGGGATCGATCGTCACGTGTGGAGGTTCAACGGGTACCCCTCCCATCACCACCCCTCCCTCTGGGGGGCCTCCTGTAGGAGGTCCTGCAGCAGGGGGAGGAGTAGCAGACGGTGGATCAGCAGGCGGTGCTTCAATGGTCACTTCATCACAAGGCTGTTGTTGTTGGTGTTGTTGATGTGCCGTGTCGGCTGGGGCTTCAGAAGGTTCGCTGGAGGCCTGCTGCTGTTGGTTCTTCAGCTTCTGCTTGGCCACTTGGATCTTGGACATGGACGTCAGGCCATCACTGAAGATGCTCAGTAGCAGCTTGAGCGGGATGACGATGTCTGTCTCTGTTAAAATCTGTTATTGGCGTACAGACAAAAATTAAAGGTACAGTCCATCATTCCAGCGCATTGGGACCCCGTGTAAAATGCGCTTTATAAGAATGGTTTACTATTATTATTATTATTTGTAGCTATCCAAAAAGCAACTGACGTAATTATTGCTCAAAAGCATACTTGGTTTAAAATGGCACTAAACTCCCTGTGAAATTATTCTTTCTGGCAAGCTGTCATTTTGAAGAAATCAATGAAAGCCTTTCCAACGATTTGCTAAAGACGCATCATTGGAAATTTCCATTAGTAGTTGGTTTTTGTAAAAACTAAAAACCCAAGGCCAAATGTGCAAAATAAGAAAGGTATGCCTGTGTTTTGCTCTGGTCCCTTTAATCAACTTGCGAGGGAAACCTTCTTCACCACATGAACAAATGGCCCAATTTAGTTTAGTTTGCAATCGGCTACATATCCGTAGATGAGAATTATTTTCCTGAGGGACAAACTTGGGATCATACCGCAAGAGGCACTATTGAGCATTTTGGAAGAAAGGGCTTTTAACAGAAACCCTGCTTTGGGTCAGGAAAAATGAAGGTGCATTATCACAGTTTTCTCAACTCAGATGAAATTTTGACAGATAACTTTTTTAATAACCTGCTTCAGATATATTGTATTGAATTGGATTGTCAAAAATACATTTTCTAGCAAATGGTATCCTTTACCTTAAAAAAAATGTTATTGATCCCATAGGTGGGCGCATCATTAGAAAGCTCTTCTTAGAAGAGACTGAATTCTGTACACTCAGTAACAGCGAAATCTCATTTTTCAACAAAGTCTGAATTTTCAATGTATTTCACGATGTCAGGTTAAAAACTCTGGGTAGTTGTGTCAAGCAAGTGAAATGTTTATCCCCTTTTTTTGAGTTCACACACCTGAAGCCACAAGAGGGCCTTCTCTTGATCGTTGGCGGCCATCCCGCGGAACCGGCAGGCGACAAAGTTGAAGAGCTTCTCGGTGGAGAAGGGCAAGGGGCTCATGTCCACGTCAAAGAGGCGGCACAGGACGTCCTGGAGCTGGGGCAGCTCCTCATCAGGGATGTCACTGCAGATGCACTCCATCCAGTGGGGCATGATGTAGTCCCACACCTTGTCAGGAAAGTTTCTTTTGTCTTAGGCGTCATCTCATTGAATATATTATTGTGTATAAATTGCGGACACATTCACAGTATAAGTTATACATAATAGGCCCCGTTGTATCGGGTTTTGGTGGCAGGATTCTGAGCAACTTCCCTAGAATCCTTTTAGCGATGGGGTTATCAGTATTGTTTACAAACAGATCACCTTCAACTGCTTTTCCAAAACTTATCTTGGGGTATTTAATAAGTTGACTCCTTATAATTATTTCCATTCACACAAGACTCAGATAAACTAAAAAAGATGATGCGGTCATTGTATCTAACAAGGCAGAGACATTATGTGTAGCGGCCAACTGAGAAGCTGATCTTTGTTTGTTTTTTTGTTTTTAGATTCAGTAACACTGAATGTACACAAGGTCTCCTCAAACCTATCGCAGCAGTACAAAAACACTGACCTCTAGGATGGCGGCAATGTATTAGGTCTATTTCATTTTGAAATCTAAAAGACTGTTTGCCATTTAAAAGTTTATACAATTGTAATTTTTTCGCCTCAGTGGCATGATACAAAAAAAGCAGGCACATAATTATAAGACCACATAGTACATAGACCTTATATGACCATGCTACACTTCCACACACTCACACACACAAGAAGTAAAAGCCAATTAGATCATGGCCAAGTTACAACTGCTGAAAAATTGTTGAAATTTGATACACCATTTGGGTATTTTTAAAAAAATTTCAAACCAAAATAGAGAGTCCCATTTCTAGAAATTTACTTTTGGTTTAATTAATTAAATGAAGTTGCAAACAATAACCTTTTGGATAATAAGTTGGATTGGGTACGTGGGATTTTGAAGTGAAAATGACAAGCAAGATGTTACAATGAAGAAGCCTAACCTCAAAGGTGATGGCATTGTATGGTGTCAAACTGAAGACCTTTCTTAAGCCTCCCAGCAGCTCAGTAATCCTACTGCACAGACTGTCACTGTAAAGTAAATCAAGTCTCCATAATTACTCTATTACAGGGGTGTGAAAGACCACTGATAAAAATAGCTGGAAACAGCTGAAAAAGGTGTAACAAAGCTGAACTTTTGAAATCTTCTATACTTTTGTACACAGCAAGTGAGGAAAAAAGCTGAAATCCAAAACAAAAAAAGCTGAAATCAGCTTTAAAGCTGAGATTTCACACCTCTGGTATTATTTAAGTCAAACAAATAAAAGTATTTCAAGTTTTTGCAAGAACATGTTCACCCTGGACCTGCATTCCATCACAAGTGGTGACGCATTTGAAAGTCACCACATAACATGAAGAAAGATAGGATTAAATAAAAAACCTCTTTATTGAACATGTATACTACACAATGTTAACAAGTTATAAAGTTGATATTAAACTTTTCTTTGAGGTCACAAATTAGGTACTTTCATCATCAAAAGACTTCAGATGGCCAACTACAATAATTTCTCAGTGTTTTTAAAAAGTTCGTAGTTGAGTTGTTTATGAAATGTTTTGAGCATACACATTTAACTGCAACACTGCAAGTATTTCAAGCGGCATTGCCGTATGGGGTTTTGTAGAAATGTATAACTTATTAACTCTTCTTAATTCACATAAATGACTTCCTGGCTATATATATATTGAATTTCTTAATTTTACAACACAACAGGAAGAGATCATATGAAGTTTTTGTGCAAATAAAATGGCATGGGTGATATGAGGCACGTTTAACTAACACGGCTATGACTTGCAATGACACATGCGGCTATGGAAGCGGCTGAAGTCACATCCCATAGACATGTGCGGTATTGCCAGTCATAGCCATGATATTCAAATGTGGTCTCATGTGGACATGTAATTTTAACTTACTAGTCCCCACCAACCCTGGCATAGTCTGGTGGCAGTGGTAGCAGGCAGGACACAAAGACAGTGAAATGACTCTTCAGGATCTTCATCAGCCAGGTGGTTACATACTGCAGGAGACGGGATACCATACAACCAGGTTTACATTGTGCATTTCAGCATGGATGGCTTACGTTTTAAAGAATGTTTTAGCTATTTTTTAGAATGTATTCATTTCATGCATTAATCAGTCTGTATCATTAAATTTAAGCAATCAAAACAAACACTGAGTTGGTGATATACGTCATTGAGAAACACACCACCACCAACTGTGCACGTGGACAACAACACCTGCCCTTCTCCAATGCCTTACTGCATGTTTCAGACAAATTCACATTGCATGTGAGTGCACGCAAGTTGGACAATAGTGCACACATGTTGGACATGAATCACAGCTGTGATTGGTCAATACATCATGGAGAGCAGGGCTTAGTGGATTGGCCATCGGACATGAATCACGGCTGTGATTGGTTAATGCATCATGGGGCAGGGCTTAGTGGATTGGCCTATTAAGAGTCGGGCTGATGTCTCTCAAGTAGGTCAGTCTCGTTATTAAACCCAATGTGTCATTTGTCAAAAAGTGATTATTATTACTGAAATAACAAGATTTTTTGGGAAAAAAACTTACATCTGCTTTAAGACTCTCTAAGGCAACACTATCTGTGAGTGGGGAAAAGGAGGAAATGGTACAGAATGAATTCCATATTCACAAAGCATGAAATTAAGAAATATCAAAGACGGCATTAAAGTTCTTTCTGTGCAGAAACTTCATGACACATGAAGGATAACAAATGTTTACCTCAAATTAATTTTTTTATATATACGTTATAACAAACTCGTTCAGACCTAGCCATATTGTTTGTTATATCAGAATTAGGTATTAAGAGGAACATCAGTCCCATTCATTGTGCATGTAAATGCAGTCGGGACCAAGGCTTTATGTTTGTTATAACCAGAATTTTGTATTAACAGAGTTTGTACTAACGAGAGTCAACTGTATATTTTAGCCAAAACATTCCTAAAAACTGTCCATTGCAATTGAGCCATGGCAGTCATGAAAACTTGGGCATGACGTATGGAAAGTACTGTAATTACCTTGCGTCAGCGTGGCAGTGAACCCAAACCACTGGAAGGCCATGCTCAGCAAGCGACCCACAACCTCATCCGGAGTCCGATCGGTGGGGTTACACTTCTCAATCAGCAGCCACAAGCCAAAGCGGCTGAGCAGACGCGAGTCTCCCTCCACCCCTTCCAGGTCCACCACCTCATTCTCTGAGGGCTGGCTGTAGTTGTCTGTGGTGGTCTCAGCCTCGGCGGCTGCCATCAGGGGATCCTTCTCCACCACGTGGGCTTCCTTCAGAAGGCTAGAAACAAGACAAGGCAACATTGTATTGATTCAGAATGGCTATTCACTGGAAGTCTTTTCATGCATCTGGTCCAGATTTAGCCTATTCCAGATTTAACCTATTAATGGGACAGATTTAGCCTATTACAGGGTCGTCCTTTAAGAGAGCACTGCCCATCTCTGCACCGGCCGACAACTAGGTGAAGTCACAACTGACAGTCAGTAAGTGAGTCAGTGAGTCAGGTATACAGAGGACTATAGGCTGCCCCTCTGGGACCAGCAAAAAACCCAAAAAAACCATAACATTTTCAGGTAGACTAGTTTCTTTAACCCTTTTAGAATTGATATTTGGGGACGGGAACCAGTTAACTTACAGGGCAGATCTGTTTATGTGCAAAAATCGCCCAAAATATGAGCCTTAATTTTTCTTGGGGTTACATAGCCCAAACTAGAAAAAACGCAAAAATAAAACACTCATGGGTCAAAATTTGTTCACGTTTGTTGAAGAGCACGGATACTATATTTTCTGGTAAACTTTAACAACAAAATATTTACAGGACAATCACAATTACTGTGCAGGTGGTTCATGAACACTCCGAGCTCCTTCAACCAACTAAATTTTTCAAACTACTTGTGCATCTGAAAACAAACATGCATGAAGCATGCACATGGAGTGGAGATTGATGGCACCAACTCAGATCAGTCTAAGGTTAACCCTATCAGGACAGGGGGCACAATACCCCCCTCCTCCCCCCCCCCCCCAATAAAACCTCCTTTGGCCAATCGGCATGAAATTATTAACTCTTCCTAACTTTTATAAGGGTCAATATGGTAACTAAATAAACTTTAGGGTTGTCCACGGTTACCATCGCAACTGATTTAAAAACACTAGTAATCATAACGTTGGGTAAGTTTTGTATAAAGACAACAGAAATATGCCTTTTTGTGAGTCCGAACCAAGCGTTTTTTGCCTGGACCTATCAAGTATCCAGTTGAGACAAAAATTCATGGTCACGTGACCAACTACAATGCATGCTGGGAATCCAATATGGCCACCATTGGCGCAAAAAGCCACTTTAAATGTTCACCTTTTCTGCACAATTGTCTTGTTTGGGGGGGAAATGCAAACCATTTATAAAAATTCCCATAAGTACTTCCTAAGTGCCACTTTGGTTGAAAAAATATCAATTTTGATTTGAAATGATGAGAGAACAAATTGTTCTCTTTAAAGGAAAGGGGGAAGCGCCAAACTAGTAGTAATCTTACCTGATAATTGCCTCACACAGGTAACTCTGGGTCTCCTTGTCACAGGACAGCGGGTCCTGAGGGAAATCTTGCATGATGTGTTCCTTTCTGTCAGAGTGGATGTAGGTGTTGCAGCTGGTGCAGTAGCGGATGGGACGGTTCCCCTTGTAGCCTGTGCACTCTGAGGAGTAGCAGGTGAACAGGGCAGTTTTGTCGGGCGACGAACAGTTCTGAATAGGTGGGGGGGGGGGACCAAAAACAAAAACAAGGTTGAAAATCAGAATATGTTTGTGTGGGTTTTACTGGTTGCTCCATCGCTTAGATCTGTTTACTTCAATCTGACTCCAGCATTAGACTGGCATTTTAGAGTCGCATCAAACTGTAGGATTGCAGACAGTTTAATTTCAGTGGTCCGAATAATCACATGTCAAGCTTATAAAAATGGCTGTGACATCATTTACGTCACTCAAGTTCTGCCTGGCACATCATTTGCATAAAAGGGTTCAGCGTGTACTGCAGTATCTAACCAAACACATCATACATGGAGGCTACGGCATTCATATCTAGCCACAAAGCTACTGGGATGTGGGACATGTTCTTTGAACACTCTAGGATGTGCAGCACTTGCAGCTTCACAATGTGTGTCAAGCAATCACATACCTTGTTCTCACAGATCTTTGAGACGACCTCCTGGGGCTGAAGAACATTGAGGAATGGCTTGCAGTCACTCATCTCCCTAAGTAAAAGGATAACAAAAATAAAAGTGTCTTTCCACTGTAATAAGAATCATGCCACCAGGTCTCACGAAATGGTCTTTAAGGATTTTTTTTACTTGATAGGTTTTCATTTGCAGTAGAATGTTCACTGTTTCTTTTTACTTCCATTGTGCTTCTTCTTTAAATGCAGTCCTTGAGATTATTGATTTGTTTCGTCATGTTGTGTCACATATTAACTGTGTCCTTTCTTCTGACCACTAGAACCTCTTTTGTGGCACAATGTTGGCCTTTGGCTTGTGTGAACCAATCAAATGCAAAATTTGGATAATTTATGCACAGGGGGCAGGGTTTTCGATTCTGATTAAAGATTGTGTTGACCAATGAATCCATGAATTGGATAATTTATTCAAAAAGGGCTGGGTTTTCACATTTTGATCTAAGATTGTATTGACCAATGAAAGGCAAAATTTGTATAATTTAGTCAAAGGGGGCGGGGTTTTTCACATTTTGATTAAGGTTGTGTTGACCGATGAAATACATGAACTGGATAATTTAGTCAAAGGGGCTAGATTTTCACATTTTGATCTATGATTGTACTTACAAATGAAATGCGAAATTTGTATAATTTAGTCAAAGGGGGTGGGGGTTTTCACATTTTGATTAAGGATGTGTTGACCTATGAAATACATAACTTGGATAATTTAGTCAAAGGGGCTGGGTTTTTCGCCTTTTGATCTAAGACTGTAACGACCAATGAAAAGTAAAACTCAGATGATTTAGACAAAGGGGGCAGGGTTTTGCACTTTTTGATTAAGGTTTATTGACCAATGAAATGCAAGAGTTTGATCATTTAGTCAAAGTGGGCGGGGCTTACATACCTATTGACATAGTCACTGCAGACTTGACAGAGATACAGTGGAGGTGGGTGTTTGCTGTACTTGCCAGCTATCACTGGGTCCATGCACATCTGAAAAACAAAACACACCACAAACAAATTTGAGGCTATCTGTGTTGTATTACACCTCCTACCTAACACACACTTCACTGGTCAAATGCGTTGGGTATTAAGAAGTAGCTAATTCCCCACAGTGTAATGCATGTGTAGTCACTTCCAGCTAGTTGGTAGGAGTATGCAGTAGTAGTACCCCAGGCTAGCTCCTAGACTCTTGACAAGCCTATAAAGGGTCCGCATTGTAGAAGCCTTGACTTTTCCCTTTGCATGCAAGTTTCAAAAGCACACTTTATTTTATATTTCCTGCAGACACGACTGCAGACTGGTGTGCAGCTCGTCAGAACGGCACCCCAATGACTCCAAACGGAGTTAAGGGAGCAAGGCAAAGCAAGGCGCACTGCAGGCAATACAAAGGGTAGAATTATTTCAGCCTATAATATGGGCTTTGCATTAAGGGGCAGTGATTTTTATTGTTGCTCGTGTTACAGATCCCTAGTATAGCCCTCACAGAGGCACATTAAGCAATAAAAATGATTATATAGAACAGTTACGTGAAAAAGAATGAAGCCAAGGCTAACTTTTCACGTCCCTACCTTCACAGCGGCATTGTTAACAGGAGATAGACAGTTGGATCTCTGGCACATGATCGGCTTCCAACCTGTGAGACACAACAGAAAAATAAGTACGCATAGGAAGTCTCTGGTAACTTTGATTCAGTGGCATAACTAGGGTTCAATTTACAAGGAGACTATTGAGTCATGTTATCAACGTAAAACGTACAATTATTGTTTTCAAATGGAAATAACCTCTGCACGTCCAGAAAGTTGTACATCCACTGGTGGGATGTGCAATGCAATATGTGTTGCATAAAATCCAGTGTCAGTTGTCCCTTTCATGTGATACTTTACGGATGACCTCAATATGGACTCCGTGAACAAGTACCCCATCAACTGTTGGGGAGACCACTGGGAGGGACATTCAAAGGCATTACCGTCACGCCTGACGATCAGCCCAACACACTATGGGTTTGTACACGCTAAAAATAAAATCAGCTCACGCTACTTTGTGCATTATGCACGCTAACCAAAACACTCGAACGCGATGCGACTCCCACACAGCATTCAAAAGTGGTAAAAAATCACCATCTAGTGTTCGTGCAGGAGTCCATACCAAAATGAACGACCCAGAAGTTCTCATGTCGTCTTCAAATAATGGACTTTATGCAACAGTACATGTAACCCTCCAGAGTTACAGAGAGACATATGACAGACCCTTTAACCCTCATTTTGTTTGATCAGTCACAGACAGTCAAAAATTCAATCCTGTTCCCCTGCCATGCCTTTTACAAAGGCTAGTCACCAACAGTCAGATCATATTTCTTGTAGGCACTATGAAGGTCAACTTCCATCAACAGACAAAAGCAGGTGACTGGTAGACACAGTTGGCTTATCAATTTCATAGTATACAGTCAAAACATCCCCACTACAGTCAAAGCAACAATCACAGCCAGTCAATCCTGCTTTATGAATGCAGGGAGCACTCAACAGTTAAAAACGGTCACCTGATTTATTTTGACTGCTGGGTTGGCCTTGTTGAAATTGCCAGCCAGAGAGGGAGGGTTCATGTCATTACCACTATGAATTCCGTGCACAAGTGCCCCCCTCAACGCTTTAATAGGGATAGCTGAGATGGCCACCAGGAGGGACTCATAAACACATTGCTGACAGCAGCTGACATCAACACGAAGACGCTATGGCTTTGAGCACATTCAGATGTGCTCAAATATCTACTGTTTGTGCACGGCGTCTATACATCCAGCAAATGCACACTGCGTGTCCCTCCCACTGGTACTCTCATGAACGGTTCACAGTGCCTTCACTGGTATGCAACTAGGAATTTAGAAAAAACGAGGAAATTCCAAACCACACAAGTGTACAATTTTTTTTAATTTGTAATGGCATTCATGAGAAGTAAAAAAACGAGGAAACCTGCAGTTGCATGCCTGCTTCTAATGTGGCTGAAAGTCCATGAATGCTTTCTAGATTGCCAACACACTATGCTTACATGTATAGGAGAAGTCCCTATCTTCTACGTTGGCTGGCACGAGGGACGGCCAGTAGTGGAACAAGAGGTTGGATGCAGCACCGCGTGCCGAGGAAGGACCAAAGGCTATGGTGCACAGAATGTCCTGTAAGAATGGATCAATGTAACATCCATTCCTTTATTTATTCATTGATTGTTTATTTAAATGATGCAAAGACCTTTTTGTCAATTCCTTTGTTCAAGGGGCGCTGGTCAGAAGCCACACACCTGTATATGCCATGTAGCAAGGGATCACGCCCAAAGTCACGATGCTAGCAATATGGGAGAACCGCCAACTGGATAGCTCAGAGGTCGCAGGTTCAAACCCCGCTCCATTCAATTTCTTTGTTCGACTTTAAAATACTACATATAATTATAAATCGCATTGCACTTACTTTAAATATGTCTTTCTTGTACGTCATAATACATTCCATGAGCTGAGCATGGTGAGCTGCAAATAAAGAAAGTTAAACAATAATAACACGCAATTTCCATAATCTGACTATATCTGTGTTCCAAAACTTCAGGAATTTTAGAAGATCGTAAATAATAAAATAAAAAATCTACTGCTTGGAAAGCTTTAAGTCCATGCAAATGCATTCTTTTGCAGAATAAAAAAAAAAAAGTGTGACTCATTTGTCTCCCACCTTTGTTCTTGCAGTGCTGCAGAACCAGCATGATGACAGCAGATACTGACATTTCTGCATATGTGTCTCCCTCAATGGACTGAACTTCAGCTGCAAACAGAAAATGGGAGCAAGGATATTTGAGGAAACACGACAATCAGAGAAAACCATCCAATATTTTTTGGGATCTCATTCTTAAGTTCGTATCGCACGCTGTAGTCAAGTCTGTTTCGGTATCCCTCAAAATAAATAAAAAGGACCCCATTAGGCCAAAAAAAAAAGGCTCCGGTTTCTGGTATGCGCACGCGTCGCCGTAGCCATGCGCATCGGCAAAATGAAATTTTTTTTTTTCAATGAAAGATGATGTCTCAAAACCGCCAAACTCACTGGTTTAACTGGAATTCTGCTGCTGCACAATTTTGACGTGTTTTTAGATGGGGTTATGATCGAGAATAAGCTTAATGTAGCCTCTCTGAACTCCCATATATTTGCACTAAGTTTAGTCGGGCACCATTTGCAGTCATCAGTCGACATTTGAAGCAAAAAAGTCAGGTAAAAAAAAAAAAAAAGCCGCGTCGCCGCACCACTTTTTGGACAAGCTCCATACCAGAAACCGGAGACTTTTTTTTTTTGGCCTTATAACAGAAATATAAATTCTTGAATTTATATCTTCTCTCAGAAGTCTTACAGGATGAACGTTACTTTTCTTTTTGAAACGTTCCTCTTGCAGGGGAAAAACTACTTCTAGTCAAGTAAAATCTTTAAGCTGCAGTCAAGTAGTATTGAACCTGAAAATCAAGCTCTGCTTCAAACCATACTCATGCCACATTATTGTAATGTGTAGGGAAGTCAAGTTGGTGCAGTTTTCCTTTTCTCACCTTCCGACTCTGTGACCCAGGCTCGAATCCCACCCAAGCTGACACTGGGGTATTCAGTCCCTACCTGTTTCCAAGGGGTTTCTCCTGGGATACCATTCCAAATTAACCTTAACTCCCTAGGCCTTTTTGCTAGGATGCAACTTCAATCCTGCAAAATCCTTCAATTAGCCTCATGGAAAAACAGCATATATAGCCTGAATCCTGCAAATTCCTCCATTATTTCTTGAATATGGTCCATGGAGGGTTGACCACTGCCTGGATCCCGCAAAATCCTGCGGCAGTGACTGTCAATATTTAGAGGCTTGGCCAGTGACATCCTGGAGCAGTACGGAGGATTTCAAGCATAATCCAGGCCCATATTTATGCATGGCTGAGCAAAAACAACACAAAGTTCTGCCAAAGACCTTGACAAAGTGCATCCTACGAGATCAGTAAGGCACTTTTGCCATGTAACCTCAATCCTCACAATTCCTCCACTTTGGCAAAGAAGATTTTGAAGGAATCAGGGCGGTTGGGGTTAATGACTGGAATATTACTGATTCAGAAACAAAACTGCTTACACAGACATATTGGGAGTAAGGTGGTGCAGAGCAGATCCACCGTTTCTTTCTGCAGGGCCGTGGGGAATATCGCCAGCGTAGAGGCAACGGTGTGGGGGATGGTGTCCACGATCTCAGGCTCCAGGAACCACAGGATGCAGCCGAATAACTGCTGAATGGCCTGGCCAAGATCTGTCAATGACATGTATATGAACAAATCTTTAACACAATTCAATTTTGGGTTAGTTCATAAGAAATAGCCTGATAATCAAAAATTAAGAAATGAGGCAGTTTGCCACATGAACATCCTCCGTGAATGTGTGAAAGTTGTGAGTTTATACTGTGTGCATGTTAAACAAACAAAATGTAGTGTTTTATTGTTTTGAAAAATGTTCAGAATACATACAACACTATGCAGGATAAAATGATTTTGAGCAGGTTTTGAAGACTAATTCCAACAATAAATGACAAACATAAAAGAATTCTTCACTTTTGACATTTATTTTTTGACTTTCATTATTTTTTTTTTTTTTAATCAAAGTGGACAATTTTATTCTTTTCAAAACCGCATTGTTTATTTGCTTGACTTGTCCCAGATCTGTATTCTTTAATCATTCATGCGGAAATGAGTCTCGGTTGAAGTGCTACATTGTTTTTTTTAAAGAGTAGAAAATACCTCTAAACCAAGAATCCTATTTTAAAGATACGTTCCCTGTGCTATTTTTGAGTTTCAAATCGAATATAGATTTGTTTAGTTATACAATTAGAATTATTTCTGCATCAAATTCAAATTATTGGCTACCATACAATAATTCAGCTCTCACAGGGTGGGCTCATTTGTGTGCAAAATGAAAGCCCTTTTTTTAAGAGAGTTGCAGACGCCAACAATCAAAATACAGTAGTTTTTTGGTTAAAACAAACCATCCAGATTGAAAATTTGTGAGGAGAAACAAATACCATTTTTTTAAGAGCACGGTGTATGCAATGTTAAAAAAAAGAACCTCTTTTAATACCTGATTGGCCATACTGTACACTGGGTACAATCTCAATAAGGCTATCTAGGGTCTCATACAGGCAGAGATAGTCCAGGCTTGGGTAGTGAGGCAAGCGGGGATTCAGTCGCCTCCTGGCAGATTGCTTCAGGTCCCCAAGGTCAGCTGGCGCCTCTTTCAAGATGCTACAAAAACAAATCACACATTTAAAGTTTGGATGGAAGTCCAAACTAAAGAGTTGTTATCCAGCTAATTCCAAGTTTCTCACAAACTAATTTGAGAGACATCCAGGGAGCAGACATTTTCACTGAATGAGTGTGATCGTAAAAAGGTACTGTAATTAGATAGAATGGAATTTTACCGGTGAACACTAGGCGCGGTCTGGTAAGTTTGAAAACAAAATCATTGGAAACGCATCAGAGAGCATATCCATTGTTTAGGCAGAGCCATACGAAACCCGTATTTATTGATTGAGTATCTCTGTTTTGGGCCTTCTAGTTTCATTTGTTTGAAATAAAAATTAAAAAAAACAGATATGGAAATTGCCATACAGATAGCCATACAAAATTTCAAGCTCTTCGAGCAGTCCCAACTCCCAACTATAGTTGGAGCAATCCCAACTATGGTTGGGACATCCCAACTACAGTTGGGACATTCCCAAGCTATAGATGAGGCACTCCCAACTACAGTTGGGGCAGTCCCAACTAAAGTTGGGATATTCCCCAAGTATAGTTGAGCAGTCCCAACTATAACTGATACGATCTCGTTTGGCTACATTCATGTAGTAGTCCTTTCCTTACTTTCAGACAACTACTTCATCCTACCTGTGTATTGGAACATACCTTCTGAGTGTGTGTATGAAGTACCTCAGAGTATTGGCAATGTCTGTCCCTGTTGGCAAGGGGGCAATGTTGTGCAGGATCCGATTCTGGTAATCCGTCAGGTTACGGATTTTAGCCGAGACTGTCATTGAATATAAACAAAAACCGGTACAGTGTGATTATAATGCCAAGTAGGAAATATCCACACCTAGGACAGACATTACTGAATAAATTAAGCCTAAGCTATGTTTGTCACAAGAAACAATTTTAAGGTCCACGAAAATTGCAGTCTCCAAGAATAGGACAGGTATTCCTTAACTCTGTGTAAGATTTTTGCAGAATTTCCGTAAAAGGTTTCAAAATGTATCGTTTCTTTGGTCTGTTTATAAAGCTGGGAGTGCATGTACTTGCTTCTAAACTGCCTGTGAGAATTGCTTCTTGCAAAAAAGCTTATAGAATTAGAAACCAGTTTATACTTTTTTGGGGCATACCCAATGCAAAGAAATTCAATTTAAAAAAATGATAATTAAGAAATAAAGATGGATAATGCAATTTCTACCGGAAATGTATTATTTAACAACATAACTTACACTGCTCTGACTTGGTAGACATTTTGGAGTCTCATAGAATGAACAGCACTGTAATGAGTCTGATTCAACGGTGCATGCTGAGAGACTACATCAACCACACCTGTGACATGATGTATACCGAGGGAAATTATACATTAATAAAAATACTGCAAACATTTGAAGAAGTGTTTTACCACTTCAGGCCTACAAAATCCATTATACATTGTATTTTATATACGTCTCTAATGCTGCTGATTTTATTCAATTATGAATAGGATGCTTGGTTTGATTCAAATCAGAGGTCATATTATGAGGTCAGTTTTTTTCCCCGTAAACAATTCAGTGAACATTACTATAAAATAATTATAAAGTTTCATTGTGGTTGACCTTCAAAGATATAGGGATTACTGTGTCTTAACGGTGCATAATTTAATTACAGCTGAGCGCGAACATCCTGGAATTATGAATGAAATCATTAGGGAGACGATATCAAATGGTAGGGAATCCTGCGAAATTGGGGTTTCCAAATCGTATCAGCAACTGTGTAAAAATGGGTGCAAGTTTCACCTTGTTACTAACAGATCATTCAAATCCAAAAATTATATCAATTTTCATCTAATAAAGAATGTACTTTTCAATTAATTTTCCTGTTTCTAACCAAAAAGACAGTTAAATACGTCAATTGTAGTGTTGAAGTTGGCATAACTTCGGAGCGCATTTGCTGATTGGCAATGCCATCTTGAAGAATGACATGAATAACGTCTTTTGATACTGAAAATTTCGGCTCGGTATTCCTGCCTTTTAACTAATGACCTGTATAATGTGGTCATTTCTACAGAAAAAAAGTGGCAGCTTTCACATGATACCAAATTCGACGCAGAGATGTTGATAGGGAAATCGCTGACGAATTTGGAAAAAGCAATACAAAACCGGGTAATTTCTTCCAATTTTCCCCTGACAAAGTGTTAAATTTCTTTTATACAAATTTTTTGACACCATCTGAAACCATTATAAATTTTAAAAATGGACTCTTTTTTGTCAAGAATTACATTTGAAAGTTGCAAAAGACCTTTCTTAAAGAATCGCCATGGTAAATAATCGACATTGCACCCAAACTTTTACGTTGTCGCCATTTTCTTGCGTAGCGACAATCAGAATGATATAGTCTTGCACCATAATATGTTTATAGTGTAACTTAGGTTACTATTGGTCCATTGCTAGATTTAATACTAGTCTGGCATGCGGGAACAGCGATTGCACGTATGTAGGCCTATGTTCCGTGTTGTCACGTTGTGTGAAGCGGGATTGGAACTGTATTTTGCCTCTATCTCATGGCAGGCCGTCTTGGGCACTGTCTGGTCGTATCGCGGTGTGGGCACGGACATGGTTCTGACATCTTACGGTGATCCGGAAAAAATATTATAACTGCTTTTGTAAAGAGAAATAAAATTACAAATTTAAAAGCTGATTCAAAAATCAAATTATTGTTTATTTAATAAGCATTCCAATGATATTAAACTTTTGATAGGTTTGGAAAATTTAGAGTTATAAAAATAGTAGGCTAGTATTAGTAATGGCCCTATTTTTGACACTAAAAATTTTAAATGACCATGACACTGACATGACTGACACGACGGAATGTTTTCACTGAATTTTGCCATTTAAATTGTAAATGTAATATCTCCAAAACGCAAGCTCATATAAATGAAAATGATTTACACTTTATTCATTTTGTTGTGTGAGTCTCTTTCCAATGATACCAAAATTGTCCGTGTGTTGTGACAAAAACTCCAAAAAGGTGCCGGACTCCCTACAATTGGAAACAGTCTCACACTCACAGAATGAAACTCGAAATGATTGAACTGTCCGAGAAATGGGCAACAACACTAAATGCACAATATGCACAATATGCATCTTAAAAACTCACACTAATTTAGCTAAATCATCAAACGAACGATTTAAGTATTCTCCTTACAAACTGTGAGTAAATGAAGCAGTCAAAATTGGCTAAAGGTTCACACATTTTTGTACTCACTCTTTTCTTCGTAGTCGTACGGCCATCCCCTCATTATTATTATTTTTCACTGACCTAGATTTGACAGGTCAGTCTCGTTCAAAATAAAAAATAAAGTATTGATTGCACGGTCCTGATTGTATGCGATTCGATGTACTTTTTAGAAAAGAATAATATCTTAATGTTAAAATCAATATTAAAATTTTATTTTTTAAAAGAGTGAACAATATATAGGGTATTTTTTTCTAATCATAATGTCTAAGTAGTGTCGAAAATTTCTGCGCTATTTTGCGCGCGCGGCGCACATTATCATCGCTTCGCTCGTAGTCGTACCCGGGCCGGGCGGGGGGTGCGAGCGAAAGTTATCGCTGCATTTTAAATTCACGTCCCGCGTGGTCGCCGGTCTTGTTGTAGACCTACATGACCTAAGGGCATGCAGTTCAGAAAAATCAATGTTAAAAAAGTCGATCTTTTTTTCCGAAATTGTTTTGACCCACCTACCCACCCCAAATTTCGATTTTTAAATGCTGATTGACTATTCAATATATCCTATACACTGAAGAACAAAGTATGCTTCAAAAAATAATGATGCAGATATTTTACATGTAGTCAATGCCCTAAACTAGCTCACGAGTTTGCAATGGCTTTTTTTTCAGGCTTCCAGCATGCAACTTGGTAGTTGAAACAGATGGAAATTGCCAAGCACACAAAACTTTACACAATGTTTTTAGTTTTCTCAGACACTATAATTTAAAAAAAAAGAGAGCCTTATTTCGGCTTTGTTATGATTAGCCTTTGCCGTGTCCAATGACAGACATGACAGACGATCTCGAAGAGGCCGCTGGGTATTTTTGTCCCTTCTTCTTGTAGTATTTTTTCTATTACTTTAATTGAAAACTGATATTCGATTTTCACTTATTTGCTTTGACCCACCCACGCACAATTTCGAAAACGATCGAAATGTTTTAACATTGACTATTCAGTCTGAATATGGCCGGCCCCTAAAAGAATGCTCGTTTGGTGCATGCAATGTTTTAGTTCATCCGTGAGGACGGCTTTTCCACAGACAGATAGCTCTCGTTGTAGTCTGAGTAAATTACTCTTTGAACGGAGACTGCTGGGCCAGCGTCCATGAATTTGACTGCAAATTTATGTCCAGCTTGGCTGGCTTTGTTGTTAGTTCTATAGCATTACTTGTATTAGAGCCATCGAAGACGACAACAACTTTATGGTTAAATTTGGTATCAAAGCCTTGCGACCCCGAACACAAAATAAAATGGGAAAGAGTAATATATGCGGACAAAGACAGATTAGCCTACTTATTTGCATAATTATAGCCTGTCAATGAGCAATTACTGATGTATCGCACGGGTACCGGGTAGGCCAACTTGTACAAACACAGTATACGCGTGAACCATAATGGCATGGAGGAAGGAAAACACATACTTAGGGAACTAGCATACCAAACGTGAACTGCCTATTGTGCGCGTTGTATTATAAAATCAGTCAGTTGGAACGGTAATAATTAATTTAAACATTTTACATACATATTCTTAATTTGTTTAAAAAAATTAAAGCATGTAAACAATTACACTTATCCAAAAATATTCAAGTCCCTTTTCTGGGTCACGGTGCACAACTTACATTGAGTACCATTATAGGCCTATACTCAGTTCTCAAGTTAAACCACACATTACCAATGATGGTAATAATCACGCCCGTGCTAGCCGTAAAAAAATATGGTTACGCCCCGTAACCATTTTTTTTCCTTCACCATATTGTCGGTCCGTTATTTCACTATTCAACACTATTTGGTACCAATTGAATTGGTATATACACCATTCACTATAATAGTGGTTACCAAACCACCATAAATTCCGTCCGCTCATTCGGTACCATACAATGGATAACCTTTCAGTTCAAAACCAATGGTCACCATTATGAAGTCATACAAGTAAGTCTACGTACCATTCTGGACTTTTTGAAAAGCACACAGTGCTCCGAGTCTAGTGGTTACCATTCAATATTGACAACCATCAGAAATGGCGCATCGGCTTGGGCACCAATAATTTTGGTAGATACATTATTAGCATCATAATCTTTATCGTTATCATCTTTCTTGGTATTTTCGTTGTGTCTTCATCGTCACCTTCGTTTTTCTTTTCGTTTTCAAATAAAACATGCAAAGTGAATATTCATAAGGAGAAAAAAAAATCTAATTTGTTGGAGATCAAGAGTTTATTTTGGTCCTATATGAATGGAGCAATACAGCGTCGATGGCGGCATGGAAGACGGAATATAGAGCTGTACTGTAGCAATTAATTGAACCCTTCCGTCGACTTGTTCGACCCCTCCTAGTTTCTCCCTATCAACAGATATTATCGACGCCTTGTAGTATATAAGTATTAAAAATGTACAAATCCTGGTTGCGCGCTGGCGATGGGGCGCCGCCCCCCCCCCCCGGCCCCCGTACCTACCCGACCCCTAACTCCACCCCTCCACATTATTTTTTTACATCGTGCATTTATTATTGCGATCCACTGGTATTCGTCATGTCACAGGACGTACGCAGTCGCATAATGAATTGAAATGGGACCAGTGAACCAAGCCCATGCTCAAATCTACCGTGCAAAAGACGAAAACACGATATTTGCAGCTAGTGCAGGCGAGTCGAGAAAATGGCAGCTCCGCTTGCGTTTTTCGACGATCAAGGCGATCCACACACCCCAAGCACAGAAGAATATCCGGAATTTATCGAGTATAGGGGACCCTCTGCAGACGACATAAATTCCAATGGAAATGCCTTCCCGGTGTTGTCGATAAAAGAGGAAATATGCCCGGACAATTTCAATGAACGAACCATGTCGATTGAGGATTTGGTCAACAACTTTGACGACAAACTCGCCGTGTGCTTCAGGAATTATAACCTGAACACGGAAAGAATTGCACCCGTCAAAATTCTCACACAGGAGGAGGTTATGAAAAATTGCAAGTGAGTATGCCTTGGTATATGCGGCATATCGGCAGGTATCTTACATAATTTACATTTTGCTTTAGTTTATGTTACGTTTAAAGCACCGAATACCGTAGACGGTTATGACACTTGACAGATCCCATGCAAACAATTGCAGTCTAGGCCTATGCAGATGATCATTATGATGATCATGATGTGCATGCCCTTGCATTTAATTATATACCGGTAGGCCTCCTGTGGGAAAGAATGTTGTATCTTGACGCCACTTTTTTATCATATATTATCTCAGTGAAGGTCAGTCATTACAAAAATGTTGAAAAGACATGAATCTGGGACTGAGAAACATTTCCAAAATGTTACTTGTTAGAAAATACTTTGAAAATGCACTGAACTCTCCATAGACTTGTAGTTGTACACAATCAAAAAGTGGCGTCTGGAATCCTGGTAATACATTCTTTCCTTTGTATTAGCTGCACCAGTTTTCTTAAAACGCTAATTGCCTAGACCGTTTCCCGGCCCCCCACCCTCCCCCCCCCCCAAAAAAATATGGGGACCGGTAGCTAGCTCACATTTAAACCCATTGATTGGGTCACCTCTGTGCGCGCATCATGATTATTTATTTTTGAATCTTTGCTTAGCTTTGTGCATGGATGGTGAAAACACACGATTATCAAGAAATGGGGACAGGGAACCAGACTAGCTAATTGCCATAGGAATCAAAGACGACCTCCATATATCCGCCGCCTTCAATTTTGGATGGAAGTCAAGTTTTGTTCAACATTGCATTTTAGTTGTTTCAACCATTGAACCAATGCCATATCAATGTGGATAGATATCAAAACAGGGCGAAGTCCTGAAGAAAAAAAATACCAAAAAAATATAAACTAAATTTTTGAATAATGAAAGTTATTGTGGTCTACACATATTGATGCTTAAAATTATAAGTTTGTCATCAATACATCATCCACATTACACATTAATAAACCCTCCTGCTGTTTAAAGGTCACAAATTGTCAAAATGTCCAAGACTCCACTCCCCATGGCTTACTACTTTTAACAAACCAATGGGTCACTTGACCAATATTGACCCATGTAACAGCATGGCTCAGAATGGAGGTTTTCATAGGAGGGTTTTAATTAATTAATGTAAATCTAGTATTCCTCATATCATTAGGCCCCCCCCCCAAAAGTTCTGCTTCCGGTTTCCCTACCTACCCTATTCTGACAGGCCCTACCCGAATTTTTTTTTTAATTGGAAAAATGAGAAAATAACACCCAAAACCATCAATTTTTACCTTTTACCCGTGACATGCTTGACTACATGCAGAAGCCTCCATGTGATTGTACACAAAAAAAATGCACAAAAAAAAAAATTACCTACCTACCCTATTTTCAAATGCCATGTAATCGGAAGCAGAACTATTTTTTTGCCTTATTATCATTCCCCATCCCTGTCAGTTGATGTATCATAAGATTTAAACATTAATCGTTGACAGCAAAATGAATTTCTCTATCATCAAAAGTAAATTGACCATTTCTCATAAATCCATTCTCAGTAGATATCCATCAAAGCCAATCTGTCAAAAGTCCGAAGGCCTAATCGTTGACAGAAAAGAAAAGAATTGTCACTTTACATCATCTATTCCTTTCCTTGTTCCTCATCTTCATCAAGTTTTATTTTTCAAATAGTCATCTCTAGTTGTCATGGACAGGAAAAAAGTCAAGCTAAAGAAGTCCCTCCAAGATACATTTATCAAGACCTTATTAACCCTTAGAACCACCTCAACTCCATCAAAATCCATCCCCCATTTTGGTGGATTTTGGGGGACTTGGTCTAGGAGGCCTGGCGTGACTAAATATTGATGGAGTATGATGGACTTGGGCCTAATGGCCTGAAGCAGTGCTAGGGGTATCTGATTGATTTTGCCTAGCTTCCTGTACTGCTATTGTGATAAAAGCCATGTGTAGCAAGTCCATGAATGTCAACCAGTGCGTCAGTGGTGGATTCCATGTCATGTACAGTTTTGTATTGGAAACACAGTGATTGATGGATTTTGATGGACTTGATCCAGTTCCTAGTGAAAGATGGTAGGGAGATAGGGTTAATTAAAGTGTAGTAAGAGGGCAATTGTTTTGTAGCGCTTGGGTAGGCATGAGCAAACCTTTGTGTATTCATTGTTAACAAATTAAATAACAAAGAATCGGGCCTACATGTGAGACACCCACAAAAGGTCTATACCAGTATTAATCAAACAGTTATCACCACACACACACACAGTGATGTTTTTGTATGCGTCACCAATAGTGCCATTCTTCATCGTGTTCCTCTCCCATCCCATCATGCCCTGTGTGCCCGAAGTGATGTCTGTTGACCTTTAAGCCACTACCATTCAAACTGGATTATCAATGCCCTGCGAGTGAGTGTCCGTCTTGCACTGTACTACAGCCGCCAGTCATAGGACACGGACCTTTTTTTCCAATATCTATGCTGGTCCACCGACCGACGGACCGAGATCAGTGTATGGTTTGTGCAGTGCCAAGGGGCAACATTGTTGTGATGAAAGGGAACCGTACGTAGGAGAATTATGAAGGAGGAAAAAAGGAGTTTGGGTGAATGGGTTGCGAATGGTATGAATATATGAAGGGTGACCAGAGATACAAGATTGCATTGTTGGAGAATGGTCGCTTGAATTCTCTTAATCAAGACGTTCCTCAGGGCATCGAAATAAGAGGCCACTATGGAAGGTTGAAATCAGAGTGTTATATACACATGTATGATGAAAATGCCATACGTGTAATGTCAATATAAATTAACCCTCCTGCTTTTTGAACAGTCACAGACAGTCAAAAATTCAATCCTCTAGTCTTCCCCTGCCATGCCTTTTACACAGGCTAGTCACCAACGGTCGGATCATATTTCAAGCAAGCACATGTGACCAGTCAAATTCAGTTAACAGACAAAAGCAGACAAGTGGTAGGCACAGCTGGCTTTAGCAGTCACAGCCAGTCAATCCTGCTTTATGTACATGTAGGCTGGGAAGTGTTGAAAACAGTCACTTGATTGATAATTTGACTGAAAGGATAACTTTGCACAGAATGTAATGTTTGCATAGGAGGTTACATGTAAATGGCCCAAGAACCTATTGTCTAAATAGACGTAAGTTTCATTACATCACAATGAATGCATCTTAACCAGTTCGCGCCGGGATTATTTTGACATTGACTGGACCCAGGCGCAGGATTGTTTTTCATGAACCTCGATACCAGACGGGTCTGGCCGTCATCTGTGGGTTGCACACCCTGATGATATTTCCGCCTCGCTCGCTGCGAGCTGGTCGCTGACAGATATTTCTGGCCTCGCTCGTTGCGTGTTATCCGTCATCCGTTCCGAATACCACAAAACCTTTGCGTGTTTACACACGCATGTCACATTACATATGTCAATATGTGAACATCATACATGTTCTGTAGTGAATAAAAATCGTTAAAACAACAGTTCTTGTATAGCACTTCACACAAACTAAAATAACAAAAGAATCTGAATATAAATTGTAAACAATAAATTTAATATCAAAGGAATCAAAAGTGCTTTTAAAACAAATGAGTCATAAAACATTGATTTAAGTGAAAGCAAAAAGTAATATCATTTGTACCGGTACAGACTACAGTGTACATGATTGCTTTTTAATAGTGCGTATGCATGGACCAAATGCGATTCAAAATGTGATAACACAATTAGGCCTCAATGAATATTCTCTCCCGAATTCAACAGATTGAGCATTTCAATGACATTCCCAACGTTCCTGATGATGACTGCAGGTTGCCATATGAGTCATAGTGTGAATCAGTATTTGCATTCAGTGATGAAATAATGAACGAATCAACATCCTGAACAGTATAGTATGCACACACACACACAACGTGTGTACATGTACAGTACATGTACATGGTCCAGACTTAGCAGTAAGTGTACAGTATGTATGGGCACTATTAATTAAATGAAGCCGGTATGTATGTATGCCTGCAGGTCTAGGTGTAACAATTTAGTATTGCATTTATGAAAATGACTTGATCACGAGCAAAATTTATACTTTGCACATGGGTAACATCTAAGACACAAAAATTGCTCCAACCAAATGAATTGGCATAGTCAATTTGGAGCTGTCAAAGTACTTGATTGTAAAGTTTAAATTTCGACCGCAAACCCTCCTTTTTTCCTTCCTCTTTTTACAAATTAGGTTTTAAACTGTTGGAAAATGTCTGATTTCAGGTCGTTATTTCACACTCAGTACCAAATGTACCAATATACGGATACATACATTGTAGACTGCAACAAGTGTGTGTTATGCCTATAAAAACTAGGGGTGTGCCAAATACATGTATATACTAAATATTCGATCAACCAAATATCGGAATACTATTATTTTTTTTCGATTGAAATACTTAAACAATGTGAGCAGTCTTGAGGAGATGATAAAAAAACCATCCACGATGTAAGTTGTGTGGTTTTATATTGTTTGTCAAATGCCACACTTTCGCACATGATTTCAGAGCATTAGCTCAAGTTTCTTCTGTAAAATTGGTCAAATATCAATCATTCCGCTATCTGTTCTTTATGTTATTTTAAACAGCTCTTTGTCGAGTTCTGACCACTGACATCTCAAAAACCTGGACCAGCTATTTTGCCTAAAAATCCGTTAGCAAGGTACTGCGTCTCATCGAAGCGCATAAATGCGCAAGGAATATCAGAAGAATAAATGGCAAGGAGATGCTCTTACGACGCTTCGTTTTTTATTTACAAGCAGACTGAGCGTTCGCATATAGGCAGTAATTTGCTGAGGGAAACAGCAACTTACGATGTACAAAATATTATATAATTTGCTGGTCTAGGTTTGTTTAAGATGTCTGTGGTTTGGACAAGTGCAGGTGCAAGCAAATCCCAATCGGTTGCAAGTTTAGGCTGGCGCACGTTAAACCTGATCAGTGCATTTCGAAATCCAATATCGAATATTCAATCAAGTTCAAGTTGGAATAATCGTATACTAAATTATTTGAAAATGCACAGCCGTAATAACAAGCTCGATCAGATCTCGGAAGCCGGGGGCCAACGAATGCGTGTTCATGCATGAGTCATGTGATCGTGCCATGTAATTTCTGGAAGGAGTAGTGTTTTGGAAAAAAAAAATTGTTTTTGACCCCAGGTTTTTGACCCCAGTGACCCCATGATGACCTTTGACCCCAGTTTGGTCATGTGACATGTTGGGGCTGAGCTACCGGTACTGATACTTTTGACAAAGTTTGGTTGAAATCGGTCAAAATATGTAGGAGCAGTAGTAGACAATGTCAATGTGTGTATACTATTACTAACCAACGGACTAACAGAGAGACATGATCATTTGTTGAGCTGCTATCCCGCAGCTAAAAACAAATGTGTATACATGAAATTTGTTAACATTATGTAAAGTTCTGTTAAACATGTTTACATTGTAACAGTACATTGTACCAATACATTCTACAGAAGGACATTCTTAAAATGGGAACTGACGTTTGCAATTAGCATGTTATCCACTCCCAATAGTTGTTTAATAATTGAAGCAGGGCATTGCCTGATCAAATGACATACATCATACATCACTGCCGGGCCTTACTTACCGTAAGTGTCAGGGTGTCAAGTGATGAATTATGAATCCTGTATGGTAGTTGGGTATTACATTATTGGAATTCTTGTCTGCCGGAAGGCTGCAGGATCTCAAATATAAAGATGATCTTCAAATGACACTTAATTACGTTTACATCATGTATGGTTTACAATGTACATGTATTTCTAGGCTACGTGCCAAATATTTTCTAATTGGAACACCTTTTTATGGACAAAATATACATGAGTCAGGTTGGCGTAGCGGTACTTTCCTCGCCTTCCACTGCTGTTACCCGGGTTCGATTCCTGCCTGGGCTAATATGTGGATTTGGTTTTCAGTCCCTACTTGATTCCGTGGGTTTTTTTCTCAGAATATTCTCCTGGGGGTTTTCATCCCACATCTAAAACTGTAATTTCTTCACATTGTCATCTCTATACTGGGTTGTATGGGAGACCAGTGAATTCCATTGTACGTAAAATGAGAATTAAATAAAAAATAAAAATACCAGTAAACAAGTTGTGCAGTAAGGTGTTGTGTTGCAGAATTTTGAAGAATCGCTTAAGATACGCAAGTACCAGTGTACTTGTGTAAATTTAATGTGGCGTAGTCATTTAAGAGATTAAAGTAGGCTACTTTAACACAGGCATGCAACTTTTCCTTGGATCAGCGGATTTCCTAATGTTGACGTTTCTCGCATGCCGTAATTGCCATTAAAATATTGAAAAAGGCTGCGTAGAATCTTGTAAAGCTTGGAATTTCCACATTTTTGTGAATTCCTACTTTGTAACCCCCAGAACAGGCAACGTTTATTGAGAAATGTAAATTTATGCTGTTCTTGTTTTTTTTCCCCCAACAGAATATGGAAGAAAGTGACAGACAACATGGGGCAAGTAATGCCACTGGACTGGAAGAACTCACACACGCGGAAACTACACATGCCAACACTCCACCTGTGTACAAAGGTAAACTGTGGTCATTCATAATCTATGCTGACATCTACAATCCTGGCCAAAATGGTTGGGACACTTTCTGAGCCTGCCACGGTCACCCACTTTCCCGCTCCCCCAGTCAATGTTGTTCTCTCCAGCTGATGGAGCACAGTGCGTGAAATTAGACAAAAAAAGTGGTCAGACAAAATGTCCGAGCACAATCAAAAGTGTTCTGCCATTGTCAAGTTTTGATCTGCCATTTAGCGTTCCAAACCTTGCGAGACGAACTTTCAAAAGGCCGCGTTTACTATACTTCAAAGACGGTACATACACGTGTGTACATGTACAGTATGTATGTTTACGTACGTACGTATCCATCCATAATACACACTATGTAGTTGCAATGACAAGCGCCGGGCATTCACGCGCTCGTTTCTGTAGTAAGCCACGTTGTGAGAATTTAGTAACAATCACGCACTTAAAGCATACCGCGCAACACAACGTACTTTGATCTTGCTAAATTCTCATTACATGTATGCGCGTCAATGTCCTTATAATACTCTATAGTTTAGACTCGTCACTATACAGACTCGATTCAAGTCTGCAGAACACATAACTTAAACTGGGTGAAATTGCAGTTTTGAATGTCCAAAGAGGCTCGATCGAATCATTATACTATAGCAAGGAATAGAGGTTGAATCAGGTCCAATTTAACACTTTTGCCCAATAGAAATTAACTGGGAATTTCACAAACGGCCACTGCTCATTTCCATAAAATGACTTGAAAAGTACAAAAAGTTGTATTAACTGATTTGTAGAAGAAACACGAAGACTGCTGATCGAAACACAATTTATCGACTTGATTTCACGTCTATTTTTTTGCAAACGGCACGTACGTACGAATGCCAATCTATCGCTGTGCACGCCGCGCTGTACTAGACTGTGTAATGATTGGGGTGTAAACGCGTTGCATCTATTGCGTGAATATAAGACAACACGTACATGTAGTTAGCAGCCGCTCAGCGTACGGTAAGTATTACAAACCGGATCATCGGAAATAAACAACAAAATACTTTTGAGTGCAAGCGTTTATTTCATACTTCTGAAAAGACAACTCCACAAAGAATACATAAATCGCTCGGACATTTTGTCCGAGCACATCTGCATTTGGTCGGACAAACCATGAAAGTGGTCGGAAAATGTCCGATGTCCGACTGTAATTTCACGCACTGGAGCACACACCACGCAATGAGAGACAACATTGAACGGGAGCCGGGGGGTTGGGAGCCCAGCGAGATTTGGCCAGGATTGTAGCTAAAGGCTTTCACAATGTCGTAAATCTCCGTATTGGACGTGGGTAGAACCCTCAGATTTTGGCAAACCCTTTTACGCTTGGAAGAATCCAACACAGCCTCTACAGAGGTCTGGTGCTCCCACGGGTAATCTGCTCTGGTCGAGACCAGGGTAAGTGCTACCCGGGTAGAAAACCAACATTGTACAGCTGACCCATGTACAGAATGGTGTAAGTGTGACTGATATACGTTGTTAACCGGTTTTCGATTGGGGTCATGGTCCTGTGTTGATTTCAACACAGGTTGGCAAGACGATTGTGTGAAAATGTCTAAACTTTAACACTGCCCGAATGAATTAAAGCATTACTCTAGGTCTTCCCGTGCTCAGGGTCAAAGAAGTGTGTTGTCAAAGCAAATTTATGTATTACCCAACTTCCACCCAAAGTACATGTAAATGTTACATTTAATTGTATACCCAGTTGTACACAACTATGTAACACAAGCACTTGTGCAAGCTGAAAATATGCAGATCAAAATCTGAGCCGTTAGTCCCAATACGCCCAAGACTGCCCTGCGCCACCCAAAACTGCCTGAGCATGCTGTGGTCTTATGGATTCTTCAGTGAATGCTGCTACAACTTGCATAGCAGCCATCTTAGAGGCAATGCCTTTGTTTTGCTGGGATATGCACGAGTGAACCTTTTGTGCCTTCATTATTACTGTTCTGCATCATTGACAGGCACTCAACAGTGCTGACCCACCTATATCTGTCAATGTCAGTCAAGGCATGGTGCTCTCAATTATTACCTACCACAGCCTGTCAATTGTACCAATATAAGCCCAATTTACAGAACTGCTGTTACCTGATAGATTTGGACGTATAGGGAGCACAAAACATAAGAAGAGGCATCATAAAACAGAATCCCAGATGTTGAATACAGATTTCACAGATTTGGATATTCAGGCCAAAATGACCAAATCAGGATATAGGGATGTACGTATACATTGTACCCTTCTGCTTCCCTTTCTCCCTTTGATCCTTCGTCAAAGTTTGGTGAACGGTGCACTCCCGTTGTGTGTACCGTTTCATCTGTCAAGCAAGATGCTTCCTAGATGAACTTGTAATTCCTGTCCGGAGTGAACGACCACTTAACAGCGTTCCGTGGTGATTTGATACCTTGTTAAAGCGCTGCTGAGCGTCCAGGAAAAACAAGTCCATCTGTGTCATGTTCTGACACACTCCGCTCTCACGTTTACTCCCAAACCTTCTTATCAAAACAGCACTCAGACTTCTGTACATTTGCCTACCTGCACTTGGTGTTTGCATTGTAAAAAAGGTGATGTTGAAAAGATCACTTACATTGTACATGTACACTGTACAGTGCAGCATTTAATTCTTGCTACCTGATCCAGGAGCATATTACAGTAAACATCGTTATGCACAACAAACAGTCTCTACTGCAGCTGTCTAACTAGACTTTTGTTACAACGTAAGTTCAGAGTTGTTACATTGCAGGGCCAATTTGCATTGGCTAAAAATTGAAATGAAAATTGAGAAATTTAAGGAATGAATTTATAAAAAAATTATATAAAAACATTGTACAAGATTTTTTTGTTTTTGTTTTACATCTCTATACGCAAAAAAGTCAATTATTCATGTTCAATGTATAGTTCTAGATTATTCTGCCTCAATACATACGTAGTGTTGGAACAGTATCTGCCCACATTTATGCTTTTTCTATGTTTAATCATGGTCATGCACTAATCAATTTATAGCCATTAATTCATGATGCATGCCTGTAATTAATTAATATTTCCAATTTTTAGAAACAGAGTTTTTAAGTTGCAACATTCATGACTGATGGACTTGAAGTGTACAACTTTGACAAACCTCAATCAATAAACAAGCGTTTCTCTCTCCCTCTCTGTACAATTCCCGAGCAGAGAAACGGAGACAATCTGGACTTGCCGGAGGACCATGAACTGACCCAGTGTTTTGACATGCATTCCATGGTTCTGTCCTCGATGCCACCCGAAGACCAAGACCCATCAGTCACAGCGGATCGAGTTATCGAAGAAATTGACGAGATATTCCAGGTGAGCCAAGAGATTCATTCTTTCTTTCTTTTTTCTTCTCTTTTTTTTTAACTCTAATCCTCCGATATTGTTAAATCTACCTGGAGAATAAAAGTCTAGGAGTATATTTTAATTTGTACAAGAAGGATAATTTGTAATTTGCAATAGTGTGTACATGTATACATGTGTACAATACATGTCGGTATGTGTTCAACATGTACTTTCACTGCGCAGTATAGACTGATTCGGTGGCAGCCATTTTCTGAGGTGGCACCACGCCCGCGCTCAGGTAGTCGCGCTCAGGTTGTATACCGCACTCTGGGGTCCTTCGACCGATAGGGTTACCAAAATGCATGCACGCCTTGTCTTTAAGCGCGCAGACGTGGCGCAACCTCAAAAATGCCTTCTAATTTTGTACGGCAGATTACACTATGGACTTTTCTCTTGCTAACTCGTGGTTGGTACTTTTTTGCCGACCATGGGTTTAAAAACTATAGAGGGTCAAAAAAAGCAAAACTGAATAAGATTTAATAATTTTAATGATTGTTGAAAATAACCCCTCAAAAATAACCAACAAACCATACCAAAGACGTAATAAAACTAACTTTTTGCTACATAATGAGGGTTTTAATTTTCAATTTTTGGTAAAATCAAAGTCCTGGTAGATTTTGGTGGATTCTGGAGGATTGAGGCTGAATGCAACATACACTTTAGGAGGATTGTGGAGGATTGAGGGCACATGGACATTCAGTAGGACTAGTGGTTGATTTTGGAGGATTGAGGATGAATGGTGTTTGAAGTAGAGGAGGATTTTGAGGATTGAAGATGAATGCATTTTTGAGAGGCAGGACTGTTGGAGGATTGTAAAGGATTGAGGCAGTGGGTATCCTTCATTTGAACATGCCAGTATGTAAGTTCAACATTTGGGATGATTTTAGAGGATTGAGGATGGTTCCTAGCAGAACGGGCCTAGGGGGTTAGGGTTTTATACATAAATGCTCTTGTGGCAGCCCATGATGCAAAATGGAGCTCAGCGTTTACAAATTAAGAAAACAGTTGAAGTGACAGTGTAAATTTGTACTTGCACAGTCATGACAGTGTACCGGTACACACATACAGTAGAACATCTTTCAAAGTGTAATCTGCCTGCTGTGAATTTCCCCCTTAACTGTCTGGGCATTAAGTTAGTAGATTTTTTTTCCCTCTTCATTCTCACTGCCAAGGCCGGCATTTGCCAGGGCCTCCAATGCATCGCCACACATGAATCAACGGTTGTCATGTGGCGTGGAAGATATTGGTGCCGTTCTGTCTGCGACATTTTCCGTTGCAGAGTGATAAATTTTGTCAATAGGGCAAGAGGAGAATCTGGAGCCAGCATGGTGTGTGATGCTTCATTTGCATCTGCAAACATATCCAGGGTTTTCTGGCAGAAAACATCATTCTTGAAAAGCAGCTGGTTGAAGTGAGCGCGGATCAGTTAAGAGTAAGATCTGGAGTTTTCTTGAAGGTTTCTTACCACATGAAATATCTTAGAAATTTGCTGTTTTTGTAAATGTTTTATGGATGTAAATTTGCATCATTTACATGTACATGTATAGCATTTTCTCTTTAACGTTTTCTGTTTAAAAAAACATTTGTACAAACTGTACACTTGTATACATTTCTCATTCCATAGATATGTGGAATTCAGTTCCATCGCAAAGGACAAAGCACAAAGGGTTTGTGTGTGTCTTCACAAGAAATTCATGAGTTGATCGCGCAAAGCGGGGGCTCGCCCACTATAGGCGGCAAAGCAGCCTCCCCCGTGAAGTAGGCAATCCAAGCCTCGCCTTTGCTATTACTGTATATTAAGGACTTTCAGGAAATATGTACCGGTAGGGCCTACATTGCATTGCATGTTTGGGAAACCATCAGATTTCTCCTACCGGTACGGTAGTGGTCAGCCACAGTATTTAGTAAGCAATTCCAGTTTTGTATACATGTACATTGTACATGTACATGTATTTTTTTTTCAGTATGGCCATGCCCCAGGCCACGCCCTCATTACATAATTACTGATCAAACCTTGTTTTCAAACATATGCATTGTGGATGTGTACAAAGGAGTTGTGTATGCGAACATTGCTGTAAATCAAATTAAAATCATTTAGCTTCAAATGCCCATATTAAAGTATCAAAACTAAGGATGGCCTTTGTTTGCGTGAGCTAATTTTATTCAAAGGTGAATCTGTTAAATCCTCAGTGGTATCTAGATACTTCTGATTACCCCTTACCCAGAGCGTTCCCCCCCCCTTCCAAAATCTTTCAAAGTCTACAAGAAGGTTTCAATATTTTTGAAGGACTCTTAGTGACTGCTTCAGAATGTGGCATGGGTAGCTTTTTGGAGGATTCAACCACAGCACCTCGGGAGTTCAGGTTAAAGAATCAAGCCGACACAGTGAAAAATGTAATCAAGCAAAGGCTGATTCCGTCTCCGAGTTGGTTGGGATAGACTGATCCGTTAAGCCTCGCCCCCTTGTGTCTTGACCAATCACAGCCATAATTAATGGTATGCATAATCACGTGCAAAAGTCTGACATGGGCGTCTGCTTGTGCAACTGGAACATGCAGTGTTGCATTTAAAGGGAATATACATCATTTGCTTTTGCTGTAATTTTCAGAAATGGATGGAATTGGAGGGTTGGAAATATATAGCAAGTATAGTTACACTGACTTTTTTGAGGTTTTGGGTTCGAAAATGCTATAAAAACCAAGAAAAACAATCATTTTCCTGTAGTCTGGTTCCTTGACTCTTTTTAAGAAGAAACAGTACAGTTTACATATATTGGGGAATTGTAAGGTCAGGGAACCAGTCTAGCTGGCTTGTACCCGTTCATAGGTGTGTAATCGATTGCAAACAAGTGCGATGGTCAACTGGGGCCAGTATTTGAAAAAAAGCCAGTTTTTTTCAACGCTGATCGGCCGATCAGCGTTGGAAATTGATACAAAAATACCACTTTTCTTGAAAATGACAGTATACCAGGTGCCATGATTTTACAGGATGCTTTACACTGTCATTCACTAACAGTCCAGCAAGGTATTTCAAAATGATTTGGTAGTTTTATTTTTTGATGTTTGCAAATGTTGTATTTTCCCTTTAAGAGGAGGATGTGTTGTTGACCATGTGCGTTGTGGGCGTGGCCTACTGAATCAAGTCTATTGCACATAGTATAAACCAAGCAATAAACATACACTATTGCTCATGCACTTTGTCTGGCTCAGTCACGTAATTAGGACGTCTCCCATGAATGCTTCCCATGTGTGCAAAGTTGTACACAGTAAAAAAAAAAAAACGGCACCAGGAAGGTTGATGGCGTATATTGCCTCTCAAGAAACACGATGAGATGATGTGAAAGCGGCTCAGTCTTGAATGGGTAACTAGGGCGGGATTGATTGCCCTGAAATGAAAGAAGCGGAATGTCATTAAAATGGGGACTCTGTCAGTGTCAGTTAAGTGGTGAATCATTTACTTTGCTAACCTGGAATTATGTCTAATATGTACTGTATATACATACATGTACGTGTATACATGTGACCAGAACAACAAATTGACTTTTTAGGATTTTTGTCAGTAATGGTTTTTCAGGTGCATTAGAAAGAGAATACTGAGCTCCTTACTCTGATAAACCACTCGGGTTTCCGTATAGACTGTAGACGTGATGTTTGTGTTAATGTAGGTGGTTGCTCATGATTTCCAATTTTCCATTGTTCAAAGGCTTATTATTAGTTCTGTGCATTTACAAATAATGTACAGAAGTGTTTGTTTATTCAAAGATGAATTCACTCAAATATTGGAATATTTGAAACACGCCAATCAAGCTTTACATGGGCCAACCTAAACTGCATAGGTCTACCAGTCGGAAATTGCACGTGCAAAGTGCATGCACACACCCTGGTTGAAATTTGCACATCGATCGGGAATAAAATAGTCCAGTGATCAGGATTTTGTGCACAATGAGGTTTATAAATAAAGAACATCATGTACGGTGTGCATCGATATCATTTTTTTTAAAGGTACATGTAGCTCACTAGCTGATACTTGAAAGATTTTAAAGATGCACACAACATATGATTAAAACTCATCACTGGTATTGCTCTTCATCTTCTGAAGACTGTTCCTGTTTTTTCGAATATTCAAATCGTATATTTGGTCGTAGATTGAATATTTCAATATCCGGTATATTCTGCGCAGCCCTAAGGCTTACGCCTCAAAAGTGGATAAGCAGGTTTCTCAACTTCTGACTCATTTTATTGGATTGGATCGCAATTTATTTCATGGTGGCTATCTCTTTGCTTTGTTTTAAATTTCTATCCTGAACAGTCAACTAAATGACCTTTTGTTTCTCTCCTATTTTTTTGACTTTGTTGTTTTGCAGTCACAATCAGACTCGTCACCTGATGACCAAGTGGATGAAGACTCGTTATCCAACATTTCCCGAGAATTGCAAGCCCTAAGAGACCGTTCCATCACCACCAGTAGCTACGAGGAGAGTCAACTTGCCCAAGGTGAAAACCCAAGACCCTTTGAAGGTTTACTTTCTGAACGAATTTTGACCACTTTTGTTTGTGTCTGTAACATAATGCCTTTGTGGCAACCCTTCTCCCTTGTTGGTTATGCAGCTAAGTGAATGAATTTTCATAAATACCTGAGACAGTTTACGCATTCCGACCGATTTATTGAGAGCCTGTCACGGGGGTGGTCTTAAACCACCGATGAAACACCGGTTTAAAACCGGTTGCGAGACGCTGCACCCTGCGCCACATGCACGCAGCACGTGTCGCCCACGCCTACAACTGTACAACAAGGTGCTTGAGATATGGAACAAATAGACTGATCTGGGCAATGTGGTCAACAACATGTGCGCCTGTCCAATGCCACACTGCATGTTCCAGCCACATGTGCATCATATGTGCATGCATCCATGTCAAACATTTGTGCACTAAATAAGCATGCTGGCATAAGTCACAGCTAGTATGATTGGTCAAAACATTGTACTCGGCAAGGCTTTGTGGGTCGTTCTATTTTAACTTAAAAAGTTTATTTATTTCACAGCTCAGTTTATCAAGGTGAAGCCAAAAACATTGCCCAACTGAGAATGTTAAGGTCCAAACATGTCGGAACATCATGGCACTGTGAAAATGTCTTTGTCGGATTCTTGTACATATGTTTGTATACACATGTAGTCATGGTACAGTAGTTGCTATTGCCTGGGAGTGAGTGGGAGCACAAATTCTAACACCATGGCAAGTTTTCCGGCTTTTAATTTCCAAAAGTGGAATGCATTTTAGATTTTTTATACAATTTGCTTGACATTTGCATTAAGTTAAAGTATGAACTAGTCTTACTCCCTGAGCTCTCTTGCCCAGAAGCAGCCTGAATCCTCCAATATTCTCCAATGGCAAAAGAGTGGAAAAAAAACAAGAAAGCTCTAAGAACCTGAATTCTTCAATATCATCTTCCTGAAATCCTCCAGTGGGTTTGCTGGCATGTCATTACATTATTGGATTTTAATGCTCATTAGGCATTTATTGCAGTCCTCCGCTGTTATCTTGTATTGTGGATTGGCAATGCCAAGGCCCTAAATAATTTGAGTACAGAGGCTGTACCATAAGCACTGGTATATGCTGAATGCCTGCCCAAATTTTTGGGTGAATGGGTTCACTTTAATGACACGATTTTCATGTACCGTTACCGTTACGATTCTGTTTTTAAACCCCCAAATGTCATTTTTACTCCCCCACCAATTTCCTAAAAATATATGGCGTATTGTCCTTTTCACTTTCTTGTCTCCGTGTGGGGTACATTATGTGCACTCCCATTGCATGTACTTTCACAATCAGCCGATAGCCACACACTTCATGCACCCCCATGGGCCACTCCTATGCTGTGATTCACATGACGTGCATCTTGCCCCGCAGTCTGCTGATGATGCTCAAAGCCGTCATCGTCGTTGCCCGCAAGTAAAGATGATTGGAAATTACCGTACAAGCCCCAAACTCCGTAACTGGCGTCACTCATTGCTCATCAGATGGGCCAGGCAGTGTATGTAGACCCTTGATGATGTATTCATGTGCAGATGCTGGGGCCTTATGTCTTCGGTTCCATCTGATTCACTGTCTGACCTTACAATGTTACTCATTACAGCATCGATCCGCTCTGTTCAACTTGCGCCAAGGCAATCAACTTTTTTTTCTGGAAATGTATTAGAGTGCATGACCAATAATGTAAGGTACATGTAAGGACCTGTGTGCATAACCATACTTTTTTCTCTAAAGTTTTGACTGAAAAAGAAAATCATCCCTTGTTTTCTTATTTGCAACAGAATTATATATTATATTAATTTGTCTTCTAAATGGATAAAGTGATTAAGATGGATGAATTGATTAACTTACAATAAAAAATTTAAAAATGTGCACATTTGCATAAGAATCAAGACATCAAAACATTAAATAAAAAATAAAAAAAAATAAAAAAAATTACATTTTTATTTTTTGGGGGACAAATCAGTTGCCATTAATTGACAGCACAGTGGATGATTTTGGAAAAGTCGAAATGGTTCCTTTATAAAAATGTCTTTTGTAAGTGTGGATTGAAAATGTTGAAAATTTCAATGATGAGGCTGGCGACAATCCTTCTCACAAGTCAAGGCTGGTTTGTACTGTAAATCTGGAGTGAAATATCATAAAACTTTTGTCCTTAGAAGCATTGCTTCTATTGCCGGAGTTTGCTCTTATGAAAGTGTGGGCAAACCTCTATTTTGCAACAACCATTCAAATTATTTCCCCTTTTTATACCACTTGATGGCAGTTCGAGAGTGCAGTTACATGTAGCTTTTAACCAGTTTGCATCGGAGGACTCGATAACACGCACTGGCTGTTTTTATACACAGGCACAGCTGATGGGTTAAAACGTCAAGATTGATTCGCCTCCGGGAGACATCTAAACTTGCTGATCCCTTGTGCCTTTTGTACACAAACACACACACATAAAGTCCATGAAGTCTGTGGAGGTGGACTGTGTGTTGATCTTGGATTGGCCGCTGTGCACGGCCTATTCTACAATTTACGCTCAAGTGCACACCTCGGAGTATTGAAACATTAAACATACGTATGAGGTTTTGAAAAGAAAAATCGTACAAATACTGTTGAAATGACTCTTGCGAATTAGTATTTGTGGCGTTAGGCTGTATATCAGAAGTTGGCTGGAAAATTTTTCCTTTTGCGAAAATCGAAATTTTCAGCAAAAACAATCCCGGCCCGAAGTGGTTAAGGAAGAGATTTGTACACTGTACATGTACAGGTATGTATCGCCACTGGAAATGTAAATGTACATGGCCTAGCTACCCCTGGTACAATGAATTTTTTTTTATAACTGTGTGTAATTCCACGAATTAGAAAACTTTCATGTCTGATATTTAAATTCATTATTCCTCATTCAAGAAATGTGTACATGTAGAAAAGTGATCTTGAAAGTCAAGCTGGTATCCATCCGTTTATTAATTTATTGCGTGGTGAGCAGTAGAATAAGCACTTTTGAATGAGTCAGTTTTGCAGAACACCCACACGTCAACGTGCCATGTTTGATGATATGCTGGGTAGTTGTGTTGATTGAGTGCAATACATTGCTATCCACCTCCCACATTCCCCTCTCATAACATCGTCTTTGAGTATTATTTCTGTAGAATCGCTGTCTGCCGGGTAGCTTGCGTTACCTACCTGTATGTAGACGTACAATGTACATGCACAATGTACATGTATATACACGTAAAGTGGATCAGTATACAAATATTGAATGGCTCTGAGTGGAATGGGAGGAATATTATCGCAAGGTAAATTCTGGACTTTTTTGAGGCGAAGCCGAGTGAAATGGAAAAATCCACAATTTACCGAGCAATAATATTCTTCCCATTTCACAATTTAAAGGGAAAATACAACATTTGCAAACATCAAAAAATAAAACTTCCAAATCATTTTGAAATACCTTGCTGGACTGCTAGTGAATGACAGTGTAAAGCATCTTGTAAAATCATGGCACCTGGTATACTGTCATTTTCAAGAAAAGTGGTATTTTTGTATCAATTTCCAACGCTGGTCGGCCGACCAGCGTTGGAAAAAACTGGCTTTTTTTCAAATACTGGCCCCGATTGACCATCGCACTTGTTTGCAATCGATTACACACCTATGAACGGGTACAAGCCAGCTAGACTAGTTCCCTGACCTTACAATTCCCCAATGTATGTAAACTGCTCTGTTTCTTCTTATATGGAGTCAGGGAACCAGACTACAGGAAAATGATTGTTTTTCTTGGTTTTTATAGCATTTTTGAACCCAAAACCTCAAAAAAGTCAGTGTAACTATATTTGCTATATATTTCCAACCCCCCAATTCCATCCATTTCTCAAAATTACAGCAAAAGCAAATGATGTATATTCCCTTTAATTAAAGCCACTCAGTATATAACTGACATCCTTGTCGGGAACAATACGCGCGACGCTCAACGCGCACGCCAGCATGCATTTGCACACACATACTGTGGCATGGAACAAGGTTGATCCTAACTGTTGAATACTACATCCCTTTCACCATGCGCGAATGGGATTTTTTGAGCCCCAGCGTGAAAAAACCTGAATGGGAGCAATAATGAATGTCACGTGATGTGAGTTCCACCAATCAAATGACAAAGATCTGTATGTCACTTATATAATAGCCACTGCATCTACATGTACCGGTATGTGTATGACTATACATGTACCGGTACGTTTGAGATGTTTTCTTTCCATGTTAAGCATTGCTTAGCACAAAATTCTGGTGAATGTTTTTACATGTAAAGATACCATATGTTCCAGCATTTGTTTTTTGTGCATTTTTTTGTTTGTTGAAACAAAGAAATTGCTCCAAATCTTAAGAAGGGTGCTTAACAACTAAAACCCGGTTTATACTCGGTGCGAAAGTGAATGCGAATGCGAATTTGTGACGTCATGACAAGTATTCGCGCTGCGAATTTGTAAAAGTTGAACATATTTCAACTCAGGCGAATTTCGCAGCGAACGTGCAATGACGTCCAATTCGCTTCGCATTCGCATTCGCGTGAAGTATGAACCGGGCTTAACCCATAGAATTTTTTTGGATCAGTGGCCATTATGCATTTCAAATGAGAAAACAGAGAAAACATATGTAATTTTGGGGGATCTTGAAAATGGATTCTCTTGCCAATACACGTAAAAAAAAAGAACGTGTTTGCAATGAACAGTTCTTTTTAAAAAACCGTCACGCGTCAGTGATGATACCATTTCAGACAATAATTTTTCAGGGTATTTGGTACCATCCCTACATATATCGTCACTTTGAGCAAGCTTTTCTTCATTAAATTGGTAGGTCTGTTTCCGGATAATTACCAAGTTTCCTACGTGCGGATGTACATTTTTTGGGTGTACATGAACGTATGTATTTATTAAGAGAACATGTGTCCAAGACTGCATTTTTCTAGCACACTCTACACGTTTCGT